CTTCCATCCTTTAAAACCATCAGAAACTCACGAGAAACTCTCTGTCCCACGACGACTCGGCATCAGACACTACCCTCTCTAATCCGACTTAACTTGACCTACCCCAAAACTTATCTCTCACACTAAACACCATTCTATACATGTAGGTATATATGTGTACGTGTACTTGTATGTTGAGTAATATGTAAGCTTGCAAATTTTGTATAATATAATCAAATATTCATAGATATATTTAGTAAAATCACGCATAATGTTTATTAACACGAGTTCGTGTCATAATTAATTAACGTTGTATTTTGTAGCATTTTTATAAATCTATATACAAAAATAATATTTTATTAAGTGTTTCTCATATCTAATATATAACTCGCATTAAATATTTTATAATATATAGCATTGCAGGGGAGAGAGTATTCTAAATTTAAATATACAACACTGTATATTTTTGCTTTACTATAAATTCATATTGTATTAAATAGTTCTAACGATGTAGTTTATATTTATGGTGAAAAATATCGAATATAAACTACTGTCGTTAATTGAGCATAACAAAATATTCAAAAAAGAAGTTACTTATATTAAACGTATTTGGCTTGGAAAAGATAATTCTTTATTTAAACGTTGTAAAAAAAAAAGAAAAACAAAGAATTTCACACAATCTAACGAACGTTAGATAACGAGTTAGGATAAAAAGTTAAAGAAACAATACTACGCATATACTCGTATACAAACATACATACATAGTGGTGGCATATAAGAGACAAGAAATAAGAATAAAGAAACTAACGCCTATTCTTGTTCTAAATTCTAAACACTTTAACTAGACTATGACAAAGCATTACGTAAAAACGTTGAAGAAATTGAAAATAGAATAAAGTAAAGAAAAGAAAAAAGAAAAAAAAAGAGGATAACATTTACCTATATAAGAAGTATCGTTTAACGTCATAGAAAAAGAAAAGAAAAATTCTAAAAAATAAATTCTCACGAAATAAAATCAACCGCACAAGAACAACAACAACAACAACAAAAATAACTCAACTTAAACGCCTGTTTTTTGAACATATTCATGCAAATATTTTATCTTCTTCTTTTTCTCTTTAGGCGAGTTATCTATCTACCGCATCGAGAGTGACTCAATTTCTCCTAAAAAATCAAATAAAATAAAATAAGAAAGTTAAGATTTAACTGTAAGATCGCAAGATGCATCTGTAACAGTCGTAAGGCCGGCAACCTTCGTTTATCTCAACAGTTCGTGAAGGAATACGAAATACCCATGGAAAGAGTAGCGCATAAACGCGTGTGTACATACGTGACCACGAATTCCCACCATGAAAAACTGGTCATATAAAATCTTAACTCTCGTAATGTCTGCTCGCTCCAGGAATACATAGGTTTGGTATTAAAATACTTGTTTACTCGGCCGGTTTGTCTGCGTTTGTTGATCGAACGCACGGTGGTAATACAACCAAGAAGTACCAAAAACCGATAGAAGAAGAGCTTTTTCGATGAATAAATAAACGAAAAAGAGAGGAACGTTATTATCCGAATGCCTTCTACGAAGACTCGTGAATCGTGTTCGAATGCATTCTAATGTAATACTTATACACACGTATGGGTGTTGTGTAGATGGTACATAAGTGCAGGAAAAGGAGGGAGAAGGATAGCGAATGCTGATCGAACCCGACCACCCCACCCACCGTGCTATTATTTATGCTCTTACGTCTTATATAAATTTATTATTTGCACGTAGAATAAATTAATGAACTTTTTAATATGAAGATAAATAAGCAAAAGAACAAAAATAGGATTTTTTCAATTTGTCTAAACCATTTCGAATTTGTTGAAAATATTTTTAAGAGGGGCGGGGCGGAAGAAGTGGGGTTTATGGGCAATTTACACGTGACTATTTACAAAAGAATATATATACGGGCGTGTTAAACTACGCGAAAGTAATAATGTAAACGCAAGAAATGCTATCGCACAGATGGTTGCATGCATTCACAAAGAGAGTCTCTCTTTCGAGGTCATCGAGATTCTCCGACGTGCGTTTCGTCGGTTACGGTCGAGTTTCTGCAGACTAACGAGTCTTACAAGTAGAGAAATAAATAAAAGCCTTGAGAGGACGATCTCTATCTGATAACGATACGATAATCATTTACAATCAAATCAACATTTTATAAAAGAAAGTATTTTCTATAAAATTAAAATACAATAAAATATACATATAAAGTTAGGCTATAATACACGTATAATACTGATATCGAGATAACGCATTATCTCAACAAATATATATATATAGTGTTGATATCTCCACCTATAAAACGAACGATAATTAATCAATATAATTAATGTAAAAATTCTTTCTATTCCAAAGAGACAAACGAGGAATTTCGTTCCATCAAAATTTCATTATAACAAACTCTCTCAAATAAACAATAAAATAAATTTCTACAAGACGTATAATAAAGAATATGATTACAAAACAAAACAAAAATATAACATTCCATCGGTTTTCGATTGAAACGTTTTACGATCGAGTATGAGTAGATAAAAAATAAAAAATGTTATCTTTCGTGATAACACAGCGGACATATGCGGAGAAAATGAAGGAGAGACGCTGCTGCGTCAACTCTAAACACAACTACAAGGAAACGACTACTATACTACTACTACTCTTAATATACGACAAGGGAAATCCTCGTAAAGTGGCGCTGATCTCGCTTATCTCTTTTCTAATATACAATATACACCACATAATTCCTCCCCTTCTACGCCCTACTTATATCTTTTTTACTTCAATGTGTCCTGTAAAATGAGAGAAGAAAAATATAAAAAATTCGTACAATGGCCATGGAGAAAATATAATAACGAATAAAAGAATTTGGCTATTAATGTAAATTTCATCCGAGGGAACGTTGTAACGTTCCGATAAACCTATCAAAGAATCCGGACGAATTCCGACGGAAGAAGCCGAAGCGAATCGCCAGAATTATCGACTTTGGTCGTCGACCCTAGTCGTCGTCGATGATGTATCATTTTCGTACAAGGTGTAATGCCTAATGGATAAACAGAGCGTGTAATCTCTAATCTTATGAATTTCGAACTCGAATTTATTGTTGTTGTTCGCTCTATCTTTCTCTGCCGTTTTAATCTTGAATCAAATATTGGAAATAGGATTAAATGACAAAAGATAGTCTAAACAAGTATACAATTTTACATGTTTCTCTTTATCCTACAGTGTATCCGAATCGAACAATCGAAGCGAAAGAAAAAGATCGTCGTAAGGGCAGGTAGGTAGGTAGGTAAGAAAGAAGGAGGGAAGAAAGGAAGAATAGGAGGGAGGGAGGGAGGGAAGGAGGGAGGGAGGAAGGAAGGAAAGAAGGAAGGAAGGAAGGAAGGAAGAAAGGACGGACGCGTGCGCGCGAGCGAGAGCGTGCCCGCCACTGGCACAAAACTAACCCCCAAAAAGTCGAGTAACTTCGGCACGCTGTTACGATAATAACGACGTGAAAAAAAATTAATCAAAACACGAAATTTCGTAAACGTTTTGACTTTTAACCCGGCGAGATATGCCGGAATCGATATAAGAGTGGAAAAAGATAGAACGATAGATAGAAGAAAAAAGGAGAGAGAAAGAGAGAGAGAAAAAGAGAGAGAAAGAGAGAGAAAGAAAATGAGGAAGAAAGACGATAAACGAACGTTCGTTTGGGACGCTTTTTCACTCAACACTTGAAAATGATTTCACAAATAACGAATAAAACATTTATTATATATGGCAGAATGATTTCCGACTCACCCGTTTAAACGGCACAGTAATTGGGCACACAAGAGACTGCCAAAAACCGGATCAATTCTCCTTGACAAACACGAAAACTTCGGGAAGCTATCATGGAACACAATGGCGAGCCGCCTTACGCGATGACCGAACAGAGCTAACGCTAGCACCATCTGCCGACCTACCAACGGTACTCAACCGAGCTATGCGATTCGACGAGATCAACCAATCAACGTCAAGCTCGCCTTTACGCGGGAACTCCTTTGGCGCGAATCATAGGCCACGTTGTCGCTCTTCTCTACCATAGCTATTTCTAATCATAAACTTCTCCATTTTTATTTTTACTTTATCGTTCTATCTCGTGTTTTTATTTTCCATGGAAATTAACGTCAAATTTAATTAATTCGAGGGAATTCACGACATATATATATACATATGTATACATACTCGTCATACTACTTCTCTTCTTCTCTTCTTTTTTTTTTCTTATAAATAAAATTTTAATCTCTCCCACAAAAATATCGATCGTGATAAATCGTACTCCGCGACGTTCTATTTTATTTAATAATTTATCTACGATGCAAAACGATAAAAGCAAGATGGATATTACAGAAGAAATGCACTCGTATGAAAAGAAATTTCAAACGAGTAGTAAGAAATACGAAGAAATTGATATGAAAATTTTTCACGTAAATCGATCGAGAGATAGAACTTTGCTCGAATTAGAAGAAATGAAAATGAGATACGAGATGCTTAAAGAACGATTAATAAATATTCACGATAATTATTTGTCTTGCGTAACGATATTGAATAATCAACAGAAATATGAGGATGAAATGCGCGGAAAATTTGAAAAGTTAACTATCGAACGAGAGAATTTAAAAGAACGTTTGATCGAATGTACACGATCGAAGGAAGATAATGACGAAGAGATTAAAAAATTATCTGTTACGTTCGAAATAGAAAAGGTAATTAGTATACAATTCCCATTTTTTAAATTAAATATAATTGTGTTAATCATTTTATATGTTCTTCCGTAAATACAAACTGTAAACGATGCATTACAATTATAATGTCATTATATTTTGTAGAAAAAGAACGTAGCTTTGCTTCGTAAATTAGAGACAGCATCAAAGACGATTAATATATCGCAAAAGTTACGAGATAAAATTAACGTTATTTTAACGAACAACAAGTCGTCAAATGAGTTCTAAAAAACTCTCAACAAATCAACTAACATGTATAAAATAAAAAAATATAAAATCATTTTCTTTTACTATGGTAATAAAAATGACCTATTATCTCCGAATATATGATCCATAAATCAGTATCGCCATAAATATTTAAATATATAAAAAATATTTAAATATATAATCGAGTACTTCTACCAATCCCATTTTTAATATATTCCAAAGTCTCCCGTTTATCGTCATACCATAAACGACCTTTTTCCTTGATCAGATTCTAAATCATTCCACGGTTAGGAAAATTACCTCTCTGTCTTCGTACTTTTTCTGTCAGAATTTGAGTGGAATATCCTTTTGTTTCGTATTTCCAAACAAAGCGACGAAAAACATCATTTAATTAATCTCCTTCGAGTACTTGAAGCAAATGTTGCATCTCCCCTACTTGATTTTCCAACCATTCTTGAATAATAGGAGCTCTGTGTAAAACCTTTGCTACTCTGTCATTAATAGCACATATTTTGGCTCTATCATCTGTGAGTTTCTTCATTAGGATAGCATTTTCATTCTCTTTTTCGATCAACCATTTCTCTAATTTCTCGTTTTCCGCCTTTATCTTTTCAACATCTAGCGATCTCAAGTGTGATTCAATATTTCCGGGTGGTCTCCTACAAATACATACATATAGAATTAATATCGCTAGCTTGATAAACTATTTATAAAAGAAACTAGAAACTCCTATCATACCAAACAACAGTTTCATCGTTCGTTGAATTTACTGCTTCTTTTGACAATTTGGAAAGTTTCTTCAATCCAGCTTCCAATGAACCCTCTTGATATATTTCCTCCAATTCGTTATTCATTTTCTTGAACAATTCATCAATCATAGCTTTGTGCAATTTACGGCAGACAGAAGAGGACGACTGTTTCTTAACGATAGTCAATAACTCGAGAAAGTCTTCTTTACTGAAACAGTAAACAAAGTTATTATACTCTCTGTGTTAAATTATTTAAAATTATTTCTATCTTTTATATACAAGTGTATATTAAATAAATTTTATTTACAAATTATGTACAATTAAATAATTCGTATTCTTATCTATCTCAATATATAATTATATATTCGACACACGTAATGAGGATGTATTAACAATATATTACGTAGAAATAAAGTAATCTAATACTTAGAAAATTTGCCGGCACTCCTTTCATGCGATACTTATTTAAACATACACACGATCATATATTATGCATAAATGTGTAATCTTTATGTAATATAAAACACGTACGCTCACACGCGCGTGTAACACACAGCAGAGATATATATATATATATATATATATATATATATATATATATATATATATACGTACAATGTTACAGTCATTCCAAAGCAATGAAATTATTCTCTTAAATTGATACAAGATTTACATAAATTCTAGTAATACGTTAAATAATTTCGATCGTAAAAGTGTTCTTGGACTTTATGTAAATCCTGTTAAAATAGAAATCTATACATTTTTTTTTACATAATCTAACTGGGAAGAAAACTTTCCCTAAATCTTCGCTCCTGAGGCTTTCAATTCCAAGAAGTAACACCAATATATTAGATCCTTCTATCGAATTACGACAGCAGACAAATAATAGGTACGAGCCAATTACGTAATTATCAACATTTCTTACAAAAATTCATCCTGAGAATGATCTAATTATGAAATGTTTTCATATTAAATAGAATTTGATATAAATTACAAATTAAAAAATGTCACATTAAAACAAAGTCTTACCAATTCTATTAAAGAAACATATTCTCCAAGGGTCGACATAGCAAGCTCAATCAGGCCGGGACTGGTGCAATTTGATATAAATGCTACATATTTGCATTAGTCCAGACCTAACTGAACACACTAATCATTTTAAAATTCCAAATTCGATGATGATCCTTGTCCGAATGCAACATGTGTATTATAACAAACGACTTAGAGATTTGATACCAAAACTTGGAAAAAAAAAAGAAAGAGAGACACATTGTAGGAGAACAAAAAAAATATAAAAGAACAAAAAGAAGATGTCTTGAATTTACGATCTCGATCGATCGAGAACCGGCACGATATTCACAATGCGAGGGTCGCTCCAACAACTGTGGCTTCCGTTGACGATCTCTTTCTCTCTCTTTCTCTCTCTCTCTCTCTCTCTCTCTTTCTTTCTTTCTTTCTTTAGTAGTATGGTAGTATACACGCTTAGGGTCCTTTGTTTCCTCGAACATTTCATGGAATTCCTCGAAGGTCAACGGGTATACCAGCGTCTGCTGAGTTTCTCGGAAGAGGAAATAGAAGGAGGATGATTAGCAACGGAGAAGTTTAGGAAGAGTAGGAGAGGAAAGGATGGAATCTCTTTTAACGATTGTAATTCTCGGAACGAGAGAAGTAGAGAGAGAGAGAGAGAGAGAGAGGGAGGGAGGGAGGGAGGGAGGGTGGAAGGGAGAAAGAAAGAGAACGCGTAATCCTTTCGACGGTGACCAAAGAACTCGATGGCCACGTCAGAAAACGAAAGAACGAACGAACTACGAATTAACATGCGAGTCGCGAAGGCCAATGACATCGAGTGACACCATCGTCCCACCGACCTTAACATTTTCTTCCCCTTCTTCCCCCGATATCCTTTTCCTCGAGCTCATATCGTTTGTAGGAAAATGCTATTTATTTTTAGATATATAATCTAATAAATAATCGATATTTGTGACAAAGATTTGAATGATTTCATGACACAATTCATCGGATGATCAATAACTCTTTAGTCGCAGAATTTGTCTTTAACAGAAAACAAAATATTGATCGTAAACATTTTGAATTTCGTGCATTGGAAATTCAACAATTTGATGATTTTTTTATATTCAATTTCGCGCATTGCAATTTTAAAATTTCGTTCTCAACGCCATGTCGAAAATTTGTGGAGACCTGCTAAATATGAAATACGCGTTTCTTCTGTAACATTTTTTTGTCGAATTATCTGATTAATTTAACAAGAAATATTGCTTACAAATGATTCGATGAAACAACGGACACGTATTCATGATCGAACGATGCCAATGAAAAACTGTGACCGACTTTTTTCAATCCTTTTACTCGAAACTCGAATGCAGAAACACAATCATAATTAGCATCATTTTGTTGCCGTTATGATCCATTCGATACGTGATAATAAATCGAGAGTTAAGTATTACTCGTACTAAGTATTTTATCAGTTCATTCATTTTATATTGATTACGGGGAAAAATAATTTATCATTGAAATATAATGAAATCTCTATGAGTAAATACGTGTATTTCCGTTGAAGAAAGGTCAAAGAATGAAATAGTTTAGATTATTAAGAGACCATGCATGGTATTCGATATGATACGTTCCTACCAAGATTACTTCTTCCTGGAAGCAATATTGAGCCAAGCAACTTCCGGTCAAGCTTATATAGCTGTAATTATGAGACTCAAATGAAAGAATATATCACTGAATCATTTCAGAAATTAATTTAATATATATAACATTTCTATAAGTATAATTTATTTTTAAATAAACAGAGTGAGAGATAAGAGTCGTTATATTATAAGTAATTAAATAATATATTAATATAATTAGTATATTATAAGTATTAAAAATAACTTTAAACAAATTATTTATTTGTGCAATTGCATAAATTAATTTTCTGCATTTGTTTTAATTACTGATTTATATGTGGCGAAAAATAATCGAGGCTTGGTGTCCAAGTACAGAACTGACTGCTCTATCAACTGTTGTAGTTGATACAAATCTTTTGAAGAAACTGTTCTTCGTAGTATGCACTTTACCAACATTACCTTCCAAGTCGACAGACTAGTGATATATCAAAAAATGTCTGTCACTTCAGTTCAACCTATTTCTGAAAATCTTTTATGTTATGGAAGTAACATTTCTCTCTCTTGTCACATCCTATGTAAAAGTTGTTTGTATAGCTAGAACCGCATAAACAAATAACTTACATAAACAAATCTCTGAGGAAAGCGACTCTTATCTCACCCTGTATAATTTATTCGCATTATAATGAGTATCAAGATTAAATGAAGTATATTTGAAATATTAACTTTATATAATTTTCTACTTGTATCTCTCTAACTCATATAGCAGCCCGCATAATGTCCTACAAATTTTTACCTCCAACTATAGAAAAGTGACATAGTAAAAGACGTCGTATAATACAACCAAACAGTACATAGAATAATTGTTTGTCTTTAAGTAAGAATAGAATCTAATTTAAAATTCGTTTCTATTTAAGTATGCTATTGTCATCGATGAGTCATTTTTATTTTAGCAATTGTGATTTAGATTCCAGAGATGCACTTGACAAAGCATACATATTTTTTATGAGTTCGTAAAAGCTACTATACCTGACGTTTCAATAGAAGAAACAATAGAAAGAAATGTTAATAATTAATAATAACTTTGTCGTTCGAATAGAAAACTTTTTTACTGTTTTCCTCGTGATAAGAAATTGGTGTCCAAGTTCGAACAAAGTTTGTAAGAAACTTTTTAAAATGTACATAAATCTAAGTTATCAACTGTAATAATTTTTACTCACCTGACAGATTCAGAAATGTTTTTGAAACTTTTTGTGATAGCAAGCCAGAAAAGAAGCGCGTTGTTTGCCTGAGAATCCTCTTTCTCATTGAAAACATCTTCTTGCGACATGTTTAACTCTTTTATATAACCTATACAATTCCTTCCTCGGTCTTCGCTTCACCGTATCAAAATAACGCTCATGGGTTCTTCCCTTTAATGTCAAAAATTCACAGTTAAATTCCTATTCCCTTTGAACGTTTTTGAATTCCGCGAAAATATGGAAATACGTCACATGCAGTTGCAATTCAATTAATTAGAACACACCGACGCCGTTTACTATCCCAACGAATGAAGCTTTTCACATAATGCAACAGAAAGAATTGAGGTGGAGCCACTATCGACAAAATCACCACGCGATCTACCTTATCGATAGTGATCGAATTTCTTCCAGTAGCGAGATATATCGAAACTTGAAATTAGTATTTCAAATATAAATGTGTTCTATTATATTTTAGAAATAAAAGATATTTTTTTTTTACGAAAATAAAATCTATATTGTGATATTGGAAAATTACATTTTTCTCTCAAATATAAGTAAAATAAATTTATATAAACTATATTAATTAAACAATGAAATATAAATATAATTTATTATTATATTGTTATATATTAATATTATTTCGAGATGAGATATATATAGTTTAAATGATATACATGTATTATATAATACATTTAATTAATAAAACTTTGTCATTTTCTTTTTTCTTTCGATCTACAAAAGGAGTTGCAATAACTGACAATGAGTTTCACAGACAATTGTCGTGATCTAAATTTTTTGTTCCACGTTCTCAGCGAAATTTCTCGATGGTAATGACGATTATGTATTCAACAGGTTACGTATGCTTAGACAATCACGTTAGATCAAAGCCATTGAAGCTACGCTACATCTGCATCTTCCTACGGAATGTCGAAGAAAGTAACTTCGTGGAAATTTAATGGTTGATGATCCCCGATCGATCTTTCACAAGGCAAACTCGTTACTGAAAGTATCGTGAGCTACATTAGCGATCTTACATAATTGTATATATCATTTCTACAAGAATTTAGTTATCCTGAAATAGTACTAATCGAACTCATTATTTTCTGATAAATCTAACTTCAACTTGTGAAAACAAAAAATGGTCAATGGAAAAACTTGACGACGCGACGAAAAATGATTTCAAAAATTAAATCAAAAGAGTCTAGAAAAATGATAGAGTAAATCAAATCGTTCCTAAGCACGATTTTAAAAATCAATTAATTCTTTTCGAAACTTTCGAGATTCTTAATTAGTACTCAAAATTTATCTAATTTTAACAATTTCATATTAAATTCTCCAAGACTTTTCGTTCGACTCGAACCAATCTCCTCTCATCATACATATGTAAATAGATATGTAATATTAAGTAGGAATGGTATCCGGTATATTCGTAGATGCATAGTTCGATGAAATATCTCGGTGAACACGTTGAATATGAGAGCTATTCAAAAAGATGTCGTAATTCCTTTGGTACCAGCAGGTTCATTTGCTAACCGGACGTTAAGAATCAAATCCATCGTTGTTCGTTTCTACGTAAGATTGGATACACGAAGAAGAAAGAAGAAAAAGAATAAGAAGAAGAAGAGCATATAAGCGGAACAAGTACTTATAGATACATATCCGTAGATTTATCTCATCGTATCCGCATTTAAAATGACTCGATACGTCATTTGGTGGGTAAACAACGTTTGCCGAATATCAAACGAGCCGTTTATAGTGTTACCAAGATAAAAAGAGTTATATACTAAGATCATCGTTCAATCTAAAGTGTGTAGTTGAAAAGATGCGACCGGAATCGGTAACATTTGATAGCGAATGAGATATGGCAATACCTATCGCGTCTTGGGCTAGTACATTCTCTCAATCTCTCTCCTCTTTCTCTCCGATTCTTAAGAGTTCACCGGATCTTCCCCATTTGCTCTTATGGCAAAAATCCAAGGCGAACCAGGTGTATATCGGTAGAATATGTTCACTCTCAAATTGGATCATCCTTTGAAAGGGACTCATTCGTGTCGAGATCGACTGCACCCTTAAATCAAAGGTCACTTTAATTCAATCCAGCCAGTTAATAAGAGATGAAGGATCGAAAGAAAAAATAAGAAGAAACAAGAATAAAACAGAACATATTAAACTTTTACCGATCGTCAACATCGCCGAGAGACAGAGAGATGTTCTAACGGCATCTTAAAATTATGCAATACCTGAACGGCCTGAACTATATTTTCTTTTTCTCTATCACACGGAACACGCGCAAAAAGGCTTCGGGGCTACCGATGAGCACCCATTCACTCCATCGGTTCTTGTCTACCGATTTTCTCATACCGAGATATTACTCTAAGAGTCAAATCCCATACGGGACCTTCTTCTCCGCTACGACGATCTTTCGATATTTTCTCTCTAACGAGTTTATTAATGTTAGAATAGTTTCTTAATGTTAGAATCATTATCAGTGTATCGTATATCTTTTTATATTTTCTTGAGACTTGATACTTAAAATGGAATGCATATGAAATATATATTGTACAATTTATGAAAAACAAATTTGTTCGCAACTCTCGGTTGCAGCATTGTCCTAATAGATCAAGAAAAAAGATTCCTTCCGTTGGTTTTGTTTAAATATCTCTTTTTGGCCTCTCATCTTGTACTCTCATCCCATCCAATGTAATCCTTGTCGTCGGAGAATAGTTGCGTCAATACCAAAGCGTAAGAAATCATCCAGACCGCAGCTTTTTTCTTCTTTCTCGGTCTCTCGACCTCCGGCCGTCTGTCTGTCTATCTGTTCGCGCTATTTCGAAACCATTTGACTCGAGCGAGAGCAAGAACACAACAGGCGAAAAAGGGTTACGGAGTAGCAGGTACAGAAGTACCGGCATTGAGTTCAATCTAAATTTCGCAAGAAAAAAAGAAGAAGAAAAAAAAATTTAATAAATAAAAAAGTGACAATGTAATTGACGTGTGCCGATCGATCCGATAAATAATCGGCCGCCATTATTTCTTCATTTTCGGGCGTCGTGTTTCACCGTCTTCTACACCATTATTAATACTTCCTCGTTATATCGATGATCTTTATCGTATAAAAATCATTCCCTGTTTTGGTAAGAAGGATGAACCGTCGAACTACCATCGTGTTTCCTATCGCGATTCTCGCGTAAGAAGAACTACAAGTAGAAGTAGAAAAAGAAGATCTAGTTCAAAGAATTCTTCGGGTAAAGAGAATCTAACCCCTGGCATTACACGAGCAGCAAGATAGATGAATGCGAGGATAGGAGCGCGCCAAAAGGGCTGGGTCTTCTCAAAGAATATATATCCGTGCTAGGTGACTCGATGATCCTTTTAGAAAGCAGTTCACTTGCTTTGTGAATCCCTCCGAACGAACGCTCTATTATATACTACATATACATTGTTTCAAACGATCGTCTACTAGCATCCTATTATCGAGAACAAGACTCACGATTGGCCCGATTTTTAATCGAGCCGCACCCCCGTTCACCATCCGTTAATTCAAATATCTTGCGATTCTTCATTTTATAAATGTGTATTCACAAAGGTACTCACGTATACGTATTTGTCCATGTATTAAATCGTTTCTCCATTTGATCCTCCTTGATCCTCTTTGATCCAATTTGATCCTCTTTAACTTATGATTGCTCAAATTGCCGATCATCTTCTTCTTCTTCTTCTTCTTCGTATGATTTTCATTTGTTCTTGCGGTCGACTCGAATTAATCTAAATATTTCATTCATTTTTCTGTTAACTAAGTACTTTCTCATCGATAATAATATATTTCAATAAAAATATCAAATTATATATTACAACATACAATTTAGATCAACAAGATAAAAAAATCTTAGCTTCCGAACTCTATTTCAAAATATTATTTAGCAGTGACCATTACTATGGACGAGAAAGAAAAATGATCTTTCGAAAGCGTTAATTTGCTACATCCTCGAAATAAAAAATAAAAAAAGAAATATCGTGAAAGTAAATCCACAAACAAAAGAAAATTATAAATATGCGCGTAATTTCTATATACATAAGTGAATACATAAATGGCATAAAGACCGAGATTCGAAAATTTCACTTTAAGATTACGATCGAGTAGAAATCTCTGGCAAAATGCAGACCATTTACTGGATGTTATATCATCGAGCGTGATGCTTTCAATCGCTGTTTAAAGATGATCCTGTCAGATGAAGTGACTGACTCTCGATCACGTCATATGATTATACACGTATATAGAAATACCTAACATCAATCATAGTACTCTATATGAATACATAAAATAAAAAATATATATACACAAATATATTTTTAAATAATTTCTCTCTAAAATATAAATTTATATTTGAAATATATCTAAAATAAATTCAAATAAAATGTGAATCATATTGAAAATGATTTTTCAATCAATCGATCTCTCGTATCTCGAAGATATATTCAATAACATATTACTAAAATCTCGATAAAAAACAAACAGATATATATCACACTAATCATAAGTAAAATAAAATCGAAGAAATTCGATTAAAAATAAGTAATAAATAAGTAAGAATATACAAATAAAGTCAAGGTTTCGTTTCTCCTCTTTGTATGGAATAACCTACGCCATCTTGGTACCGATCTATCGTACAAGACTTCCGTGAGAAATAATAACGAGACAGCTGGATTTTGATTGCCCAATGAGAAAGAAGAAACGATTTGTCACATGTCTAGAGTTCAACCTCGACTACCAGATAAAATATGAAATTTTATGAAGAAAATCGAATATATATATATATATATAATTTGAAATATATGACATAGAGGGAGGATGATCCAGCAGTGCGTTAAAATCGTTGACGGACCAAATAAGGGAAGATGGTGTTGTACCAGTAAAATAATTATCATCATCGACAGTAACATCAGCAAAAGGAGAAGAATAAGAAGAAGAAGTCATAGCAAAAGCAAAAGATAGGAGTAGTCGTTGCTTGTACATCTACAAAGAGATAGAAAACTTAGAGTGAGTTTAACGAGCTGAAGACGGAATAGGTTTGATCTAAAGACGGAAAGTCGATTATTAGGGGGAAGAAGCGATTGAGAGTAGCGTGGGTACCGTGACCTGAGATCGGAAAAAGAAAAAGAAGGGAAAAAATGAAAGAAAGAGGAAGATGGAAAGAGACAGAGAAATGGAGAGGTTCGATCATTAAAAGAAGAAGAAGAAAGAGTTACGTCCTGATCGGTAATATACCAGACGATTTGGAGCGCGTTCTCTTCTAATACGTAGACGACGCGTTGCACGCACCATCTTTCTCTTTTTCTTTCTCTCTCTTTAGAAACAGAAAGATGTGCAACGCATCCTTACGTAATAAGCAAGATATCTCAGCAGAGAGTCGGTTGCAGGAATCAACATGCGTTGGTTGCTGTTAGCTTGCTCTCTATAAGCCGCGAATAGGAGGATGATGATGATGATGCGACCCCAGTCGTAATATCCAACGAAGAAAGGCCGATATAATTACAAGGAGGAACGCGGCTGCATAATATGGGTAAGATGTCTCTTCTTCGACACCGCATTGTGATCCTCTCTTTTTTTTTCTTGACTCTACCACCATTTGTTGTTTCATCTTTTTTTGATTTTTTTCTTTTCTTTTACGCGGTTGCCATCTCTTTCTCTCTTTATCTTTTTTTATAATGGTATAGACTCAGTCAGTCAGTCACATTTATACCGGGTTACTTGATGCGTTCTCATGACGATCGTTCGACCTTCAGATTCGTTGAGAGATGCCCGCCGATCTGTATCATCCGACTTGCGCAACTACCCTCTCATCTATTTATTTTTCTCTCTCTTTCTTTCTCCCTCTCTCTTTTTTTTCTTTCTTTCTCTTACATATAAATATAGATATATACTTAGAGACGTTAATTCTCCCTCTTTCTCTCTCTCTCTCTTTCTCTCCTACTCTTTCTTTCCCCATTCACCATAGACGACATCATATTCATCTTCCATCTCTCTTACTCGAGTAACGCACACGAGAACTCCTGTTGGCGAACTTCATCAGGGTGTTCTTCTTCTTCTACTTCTTGTTGTTCATCGGGCCACAGTCATAAGCCCTCCCCTTCGACCTGGTGGGAGGAAGACGATCCACCGTGGATGGATCGAGTATATAAGAACGCTTGATTCGACCTGGATCCGTACAGACCAATTATCGCTATCGTTTCGCGATACATCACCTCTCGTCAGTCTAGTGTTCGAATACGTTGACCCTACAGGACTCCACTTCGCGAAGAACCTAAAGGATTAGCAAGGATCCAGCTGGCAGCGACATGAGACCGGTAGGAATATACACTCAGCGTCGTTGTTCTTCTTTCTGTTCTTATTTTTGCTTCGATTATTTCGCCTATTGTGAGAATTCTTCTCAATGGCTTATCTCGCGAGATCAGAGTCATCATTGGAGGCTTCGTTTTCCTTTTTTCTCATTCGCTATTCTTTGATTTTGTTTCCACCATCAACTGAAACACACTCGGAAATGATCGACAAAATTATTTGTGTTATGTACTTGATCTAAATTTCTATTCGAACGATCAAACTTTGTTCAATGATATCGATCATTAGAGAGAATTGTACGTTTTAATGATTTCTCAATTACTTAATAATAAACATTTTCATTGCAATATTAAAATGTTTAACATAACATAGAAGTGCGTAGATGAGAAAAAATATAACTTTTTTCAGCAGCTCGCCGTGACGTTACTTGCCCTGGCAAGTGTGTGTTACGCAGCACGTTTGGAGAACACGTATCTTCCACCTGGTAGTGCAGGAACTGCAGGTGGAGCGGGATTTATCTCAACGCCGAATAGGGGTGGTCCTGGTAGACCAGGACCTGGTGGCCCTGGTATCGGAGGGGGTAATTTCCATGGAGGTAAGTTTTTCTAAAACTATCCTCATTTTTTCAACTTTCATCAGCTCATATGAAGTGGAAGTATTCTACAAAATATTTTTCAAATTCAAAACTTAGAAACGTATCCCGATTTTGTTTTTTCTGTCAAAAATAATATTTTTTCCAAATCTAATAAGTATTTGTATAGATAAATTTAAAAAAATAAAAAAAAAAAAAACTCTTGGGTCCGGACATATCTCAACTGTGTTTTCAAAAATCTACAAAATTTTAAATTCTTATAAATAAATATTTCCCACACAAATGTATATACCGAATCTTGAAGGATTTCAAATTTACATTCATTTTAGCAGACAGAATTATTTCTGATCTTCTTGGTAGCATAAAAAATATGTAATATTTTAGGTGGTGGCCAAGTAGGTGGTGGAGTCAGACCAGGTGGTGGCCAAGTAGGCGGCGGAAGTAGGCCTGGAGGTGGAGGAGATATTCCAATCATCTCATTCAATAACGAGAACAGTGGGGATGGCAATTATCAATTCAGCTATGAAACAGGAAATGGTATTAGTGCGCAAGAAACGGGTCAATTGCAAGGTAAGCTACCATCTATAGAAATACAAAAAACACGTATACATACATATAAATACATTCTTTATTTCCCAACTTCAATCCTTGGTTTTCCTTTCGTATTACTGTTATTTTCAAAGTGTTGCATAATATCTTTGCCATTGGCCTCGAACACCATTGTTTCGTTTCGATTCGTAAGTAGCCGTGATCGAAAAAAGATGATAGTTTTGGAATAATGATGAAGATACTAACAACGATAACGTAGTCTTAAGATGAGACTTCAGGATATGTATAATAATGATGATGGTATAGGTGATTATGACCTAAAAATAATAAAAAATCATATTTTTATAGTAAACTTAATTATTGAAAATTCAAATTTTTATTTAAATGTCTAATAGTTTCTCCAATAATTTCTAATCGTTATTGGGAAAGTTCTAATTACTGTGAGAAAGCTAGAACATATCCAGTAAATTTTGTAATTATCCCTAATTGTAATTTCTGTTGCTTTAGGAGAAACTGAAGCTGTGAGTGGTTCATTCTCTTATACTGGACCTGACGGTGTTCAATATTCGATCACTTATACTGCTGACGAAGAAGGATTCCATCCACAGGGTGCCCATCTTCCAACACCTCCTCCTATCCCACCGGAAATTCAGCGAGGTGTTGAACTTTCGCTTGCTGCTGAAGCAAGAGGAGAAAATCAGGATGGTGGTATGTTTACTTGTTTTTTTTATCTTCAGTCTTTCCAATACGTTTTTATTTTTATTTTATTCTTATTGTGTATAAAATGTGCGTATAATTATATTATATATTATAATAATAATGGATCTAATTTTTTTATTTAAAAAAATACTTACAAAATCTGTCTTCCATGATTTAACAGGCGGAGGTCGTGGAAATACTTATCAAGGACCAAATTCTTATCAAACAAGTACAGGTGTGGGTCGTGGATATCAATACTAAACATCACATTCGTGAAAATAAAAAGAACGAAGTGATGTCCGCTAGTAAGCTCGTTTTATTGCAACGAATACACTCTTAAGCGGATCTATGTATATAACAATTTATCGTTTATGCTACTATACATATTATTTTTAATTCCCTTTTTTTCTCGTTTTTTTTTGTATTCATACAAGAAAGATACTCCCTTTTTCTATTACATTCTTCATACATTATAAACTGCTTCGTTCTAAATTCATAAGTGAATCAGATGTGTTGTAGTTTGTAATTCCTTTTTAATTTTTATTTTTTATTTCTTTTCTTTTTTTAACAAGTTCGTGAAATTTACGATATGATAATCGTAAAATATCTCATAAAGATATATATATATATGTACGTAAACATACATATATAATCGTAAATTTCTCGAATGTGAATCATTAGAATTTACATCTATAATATCGACAAATCATTATTGTGAAACACACCATTATCATTTTTGATAAATACATTTTTAATGAAACGTTAATAAATCCTTTCTAAGATTATACAAAAGTATATATATATATATATATATATATATATATTTATAATGTACACAAGTTTTATACACATAAACAGAATGTATGTCTTTGTTCGCATTAATAAATGTGCCGTAATTATAGGTGTATCCGTGCTTGTGATTAATTTCTTTTATTACACTCTCAAACGTATTCTCACGATAGACGTATAACAGCAACACGACCATCATGTAAAAATAATGGATTACGAAATATAATTTATTTATTTAGTGCCTATATATATATATATCACATGTGTAATAGTTAAATAGCAATTATTCGTTATTTGGTTGACTACTGCTTTGCCTTGGCGAATTACCGTAATTAGGCATACTTATGCCTCTTGCAAATTGAATAAATAATTGCTCGAGTGTCGCCGAGAGTACAGAATAATCTTGTATACAATCGAATCTATTTTTCAAATCGTTCATAGTGCTATACATTTTTGTCCAAGTTGTTGTAGGATCGGTCACGTGGTAGGCAATAAATCCCTAAAAAACAAAAGAGAGTTACTTGAAAAATCACGAAAATTAATCGATACGTCTCTCCTCGGTATAATTACCAAATTTTCATCCCTAATTTCGCAAGTTAGAAGAGATTCAATAGTATTCTTTATAATTGTAACATCTTCCTCTAATCGGTTTGGATTTAATTTAATATGAATGTCGTAACCAGCGCCAAATCTTTGTTTAAGTTCTTGACTCGCTCCAATGCAAACCAACTGTCCTTGTACCATTATGACCAATCGATTACACAAAGCTTCACATTCTTCCATACTAATATAAATATTAGTTTATATCAGAAAAATGTTAACGTTGTAAAATAATTTGGTGTACATTTGGAAGTAAACAAATACCTATGAGATGTGAGTATAAAAGCTTGTCCTGCTGCTTGACAAGATTGTATTACAGTCCACAATGATCTTCTAGCTGCTGGATCGACTCCTGTCGTTGGTTCATCCAACAAAACCAATGTAGGACTGCCAATTAAAGCCATTGCTATGTTCAAACGTCTTTTATTACCACCGCTGTATGTTCCGCTCGGCTGTATCGCACATGCCTTCAAATCTGAAAACATTCATACAAATTAGAGATTATAACGATCGATGTAATATAAGTAAACTGAAAAAGTATAAGAAATAAAAGAAATCTACTTTTCACTTACTCAATCTAACTATCCATTTATTAACTTCCGAATTGACTTTATCTGGTGGTATGCCTCGAAGTCTTGCGAACAATCTTAAATGATCAAACGAATTCAAAGAATTGATCAATGCGTCCGTTTGCGGACAATATCCCATTTCTGCTAAATACTGCAAATGAATTTGTTTTTTAATTCTTCTAGAAAACACAAATGAGAAAAAAACGAATCTTAATTACGCGTATAAAGTATGCTTAATTACAGCTTTGCGGTTGGAATAGATATCCGCCTGTTTTAAATACATGGTGCCACTATTAGGTGTTTCTTCTCCAGTCAACATTCTAAACGTAGTACTTTTTCCAGCTCCGTTAACTCCAAGCAATCCGAAACATTCATGCTTCTTAACTCGAAAATTGACTTCCTTTACAGCCATTAGTTTTCCATAACATTTACTTAATTCGTATACTAAGAACAAACTGTTCTCTACTTCAGGAATTTGCGAGTAACCAACAGTTGAATTTCCATTGGCATTATAATGTATACTGTTCCTTTTATCTGTATAATTTCATATAATATTATACATATATTTTATATTATTTTTTCTAATAAATAAATGTATCCATTTAAATATTAACCCTTTCGTCACAGCATGCTTTGATGCGAGTATCGTTCCATATAAATTCGTTCGTAGATACGAATCGTCGGTCGTTTATATGGAACCTTTGCATGAACGACCCGTATGAGGGTTGCTAATAACGAAAGAGTTAATATCATTGCGATAATATCTTACTTTGACTAGTAATTTTACTGATCTCTAATGCCACCGCATGTTTTTCCTTTTTTACTTCTTCGTCCATGTGTAATGTCGTACATCCCATTTGTAACGACGAGCTACGTATTTTGCTAAGTAATTTAGTAAACAATCTTATAAAAATCCTCTCCTCCAGCATAATAAGAATAGTAAAATACATCACAGGAGTTAAAAATAAGTATAAAATTGTTTCCTCTAATTGAAAAGCCTTTTCAAAATTCCCAATGTATGGCATAGGCTTGTTACAAACACCATCTACACAATCCATGTCTATGAAAAAAGAAATAATAAAAAAAAATTTGGTAAAATTTATAACTTAAATATTTATTTATTGTGTAATATTTTTTTGTTCGTTTTATAAGTGATAAATTCTTACCGCAACAGTTGTTAATATAAATTCCATTATTACACACTTTTTGTAAAATTTTACTTGGAAAACGACGGCAATTTGCATTTGTTACAGCCACGGTAAAGAATGATAATTCCCCATGGAAGAAACTTACATAAGGTATTAAATAAAATAGTCGTTGTAAAATCTTTTGGAGCGTTTGATGATCTTGTAGTATTATATATACTAAATATTGTATGAAAACTGAAATTCAATATAACTTTAATATTATCTAACTTGTGCTTTGTTGTATATATATATATTTTATTTACGTTTTTATTTACTTACCAATTCCAATGGGTATAATACTTAAAATAGTTATTACAGTACTTCTTGATTTGTTAACGAAACTAAATATGTATGATATAAATATGCAATTTATACCGAGGATTACTAGCAATAATATTGTTATTACTGAAAAATCCGAAAATATTATATGAGTATTAAATGTTATACTTTTTAAAGTTACAGATATAGAAAATAATACTTACATATTTCTGTATCACGAAATAAACGTATACCTAATATAATATCCATTATGTAAAATCCTAGTGTAATAAACAATGCAGATATTATGCAAATTAGAAAATCGAAAAGAAACATAGTGAGCCAATATGATACAGACGTGACTCCTGTCATTCGTTGTAACTGTTTGACTTTAGTAGACGTTTCTTGTAATGGATGAATAACAAAAAGTGCTAAAGTGGGAAATAAGAAGGAACAAAGTGTTAACACACGTGAAAGTGGATCAATTTCATAAAAAGAAAATGAATCGGGTAATTGTTGCTTAGATATTTCTATGGAATATTTCTCCCCAGTTAAACTTCGAAGAATGGTATTTGACAAAATATTCATAGTCAGGGGTATACTGTGCATCATCGTTCCGGAATATAAACCAGTGGCATTTATTTCTAAATTATTCGTGCTATTAAATTCAGCAGAAACAACTACATGATTATGATAATCTACTATATCCTTTTTGCCGAGTGATAATAGCTCTACAATAAAAGAAAATACAGAATACAAAAAATAATGATTAATTTCCTCTCATATACAAACGAATATAATTTTATCGAAATAATAATATTAGGTTTACCTTTAAAAATGCTTCCAGTTGCAACATTAATTGCAGATCCCCAGAAATTCTCGATTATTTCTTTATATCTATTACCATATTCGCTATTATCGGAAGAATAAAATGCCTTGGGATTTCTGTACATGTTGAGCGTTAAAGACGTTATTTCTAACAATTCAGGATTCTTATAACTTAGAACCATAAAGAAAATAGAAACCAAAGGTAGAAATAGCTACAACAACAAAATGTATTGTTAGTTGAAATAATATTTTGATAAAATGATTGCTTTATTATCATTGCATAATAAAATCAATGAAATATAATAAATCACTTACGGTTATAAATAAGATGCCTGGATTTTTGCTAGCATATATGAATTTTTTATTCAACAATGCCAAAATTCTCTGTATAATCAGTTGACCTCCTTGAAGTTTCTGTATAGATGCATAAAGATCTGAGAGATCATTTCCATTGTCATCTTTTTTAATAATCCTAAATAAAGTGTTTAACAGAAAATATAATGAATTAAATGCATACAGTGATAAATGTATTTAAATTTATTTTTAACCCTTTCGTTATGGCATGCTGTGAAGGTACCATTCCATATAAATTCACTATATAGGTGGGTCGGTCGTTTATACAAAACCTTTGTATGAACGACCTGTACGAGGGTCGCTAATAACGAAAGGATTAATATTATATCAAAAAATAATAATATTTAATTAAATAATAATAATATACTTTAAAAAATAGATTTACTTCAAAAATACTTGTTCCAATGTAATCAGCGATACATTAATTCCAGTTACACCTAAAGTTTTCTTTTCTCTTTCAATTTGATCCAAGGAATCTGGTAAAGACTCCGTGTTCGGTACACTTAGAATGATTTTTTCATTTTCAATGTTAATTTGTGTTCCTAAATCAAATTTATTCGCAACTTTCTCTGGATTGCACCATGACTTAATAGATAATGTAACTTCTACGAATCCATGGCCTGTAGAAATAATAATAATGAATTCATTAACAATTTAAATATTTATTATTAAAAATAAACCATCAAAAGGAATAAAAGAAAGCGAACAATTACCATACTGTTTCTTCAAAAACATTGATGTGCCATAACTCCTTAAAAGACCACCATGTACAATAGCAATTCTATCGCCAAGTATATCGGCTTCTTCCATATTATGTGTACTAATTATTATTGTCTTTTTACCTCTCATTTTCTATTAGCAAAGAATGTATAAATAATAATCATAATAATAGAATGAAATGATAAAAGAAATATTTCTATGTAAGTTACCAATAACATCTCCCAAGTATCTCTTCTCGTTTCAGGATCCATACCAGATGTTGGTTCATCCAAAATGAAAGTCTATAATAAATAATTCAAATTATAATATAAATAAAAAAAATAATGAAATTACTTTAATAAAATATATACATATATAAAAAAAAAATTAATGCATACACTTGCATCACCAATGAGTGCCATTCCAAGGCAAACACGTCTCTTTTGACCACCAGACAATTTGGTGGGAAGACAATCTCGTTTCTCACTTAGTTTTAATTTAGCAAGCAAATTCTCGACATCACGCTTAATTTCATTTCGTGTTTTATGTTTATTTTTTAACTGTAACAACATATATGTGTATTAAAAATATTTGTGTACATTCGTGCAAATATTGGTTTTATGTTATATACGATGTACCTACCAAACCAAAGAATTCAATCTGCTGGAACACATTTAAATCTGGAAAAACTATATTTTCTTGAGGGCATAGACCTAAATCGTTTCTAATCTCATTCAAATGATGTTTTAAATTTTTCCCATTTATAAAAATTTTTCCTTCCGTCTCGGTTGTAACGCCTAAAGAAATAACTAAATTAGATTTTATTTTCTTATTATTAAAATTACTCATCGTAAGATTATATTACAGCAATTCTATCTTATTTATTAAGTATTGTCAATGAACCTGTTATTATCGACATAAGAGTAGTCTTTCCAGCACCATTGTGTCCTAACAGCGCAGTTATTTGTCCTTTGTAAAAATCTATAGACACTCCTTTTAATGCGTGTACCAACTGAAATAATTCAACACCATTATGAGTAATTTTCTTCTTTTCTTTTCTTTTTTTTTGTTTATATGTATTGTACTCGTAATTAAAAGAACAAGAAAAAAGAAAATACTTACAGATTTCCGCAATAAACCAGTGTTGTAACTTTTTTTAAGACCACGAATTTGAATACCAGGAGTAAGCACGCCTTTAGAGACAGCTTCAAAATCTCCATCCCCTAATTGCTCGTAATCATAATCTTCTGCTTCTTCATCTAAAGAAACTTTATTTCTTCTTATGCACTAAAAAAAATCGTTTCATTCGTTACGTATGAAACATATTTCTGATAGATCATTCTATCAGATTATTAGATCACTCGTACTATTGTAGATGCATTGTTTCTGTAAAAATTATTTTTTTTTGTCAATCAATTAATCACCTGTAGAAAATATAGCGGATGTTTCTTAACGCCATATTTTCCTGGCCGCACGTTATTTATATAAATTGCCATAATAAAATGAAATAAAGCTCCCAAAAAAGAAAATATAAATATGAATCCTGTACTTCCAGTAATATTGTATTGAGATGATTCGCTAGATATAAAGATGTTACTCCATCTAATTCCAATTACTAAGAAGAAAAAATAATAATGTATATTCGTTATACAATTTCTCTATAATGTTATAAAAAAAAAATATTAAATTGAACACATACACTGAGTTTCGTATGTATTGACTTCCTCTAATAATCTTGACAATAAAAGATTTGGTAAGAATATACCAAAATACGGTATAATACTGAACAAATTTTCTTTTACCAAATTTTCGTAAAGAGAAGACGAAGCGCTGTATATAATTGACAAAATTATAACCACAAAAACAGCTGAAAAAATAAATCATTGTTATAGGACATACAATATATCCCGCATAATGTCATATTTTACAAAAAATATATAATATAAAAACTTACGTTTAGAAAAGTATGCGGCAACATGTAAACCAAATGAAATAAGATGAGTAATGTGTATAGTCATTAATATCCAAAATAAGAATGCATCACTATAATATAGATATGGATTAACACGAGTAGAGAATGTATTTTTAAATAATACTATTAACGGTATAATATAGAAAATACTGAAAATACAACCAGTGATAAGCCAGCTTAATAAATTTTGATACAATTTCACTCCATTCATTGCCATTAAAGTCTACAATTAAAAAAGAACAACTTGTATTAACAATAAAATAATATAAATGATATTTAAATTCTATATTAAAAACAAGTACTTACATTAACACCAATGAACTTTTCTTTGGCTGTGTAATTAATTTCTATGCAGAGCGGTATCAAAAATATAGCAACAGCAAACACTGAAATTACTTGCCGTAATGTTGTATCAGCAACATTTGTTTTAACAAATGGAGGATATGGCATTCTTTGTATGGAAATCTGTTAAAAAGTAATTATTATGAAATACATAGTTTAATTAGCTATCAGGTGAAAACGAAATATCTAATTTATACCTTTGGTTTAAATAAAGAATTAGAAGTCTTGTTTATAAAAGTTCTATCGATACACATTTGTAGTTGTACAAATGGAATTCTTTCAATATATATTCGCTCTATATCCAAATAAGTCATATCCGTATATAATTGGGAAGAAATTCGCGTGGAATGTCTTATTTTATATTTGAAATGTCTCTCTTCTTGATTTTTATCTATAACAATTGCCAGAACATCATCAAATGTGTTTTCAATTTGATTAATCGCGTAAGCATCGAGCATATCTTCCTCTGTTGCAAATCCGACAAATTCTGAAAAATGAATATTCGTTAATATATTACTCAAAATAATGAAATATATAGTAATAAAATATATTTACTTTGTGTATGTTGTAGACACCTAGCCGTTAATTTCATAAATTCTTCGGTAGATGGATCATTCGGTACAAAATATATTTTAATTAAGCTTTTCTTTGCCATTTTTAATAAATCATCTTCACTCTTTAAAGGATAATAAGTATCCGTTGTAACGACTATTGGTGGCCCTGAGTTAAGATCTCTTAAGGCTTGCATTAAAGCGAACAATATTATAGGCAATAGTATTTGAAAAAATAAAGTCACTTTCCAATGCATCAATCGTACTATGAAGTTTTTACGTAATAATAAACCAAATACTCTACACCATTCTCTCATTTTGTTAACGTTAATGTATAGACACGTTATTAAATATAGATATATATATATATGTATATGTGTGATACGCCTTATTCTTTCACAAATTAATTAGAGTAAATATCGGTAGGTAAAGTTACAGTCTGCTTGCTTGCCTACAACATAAAGTTTATGAAGGTAAATGGAATAATTTAAGCATATTGACGTGTAAATCCATACTAACTTTCCTTTTCCTAGTAACACAGATTAACAATATGACCTTATGCACAGACTATAAATCAAGGTAACACAACAGCAGTAGTTTGTATTCTTTATCCTCTTTCATCCTACCCGTTAGATATTATTTACAAAATATTCAAATATTTACCTAAAAAAAGATATTATTTTCCAATTGTACACCAATCCAAGTTCGATACAAGTCTGAAATAATTCTATGAGTGTGTAAAAGAATCTGATATGTCATTTTAAATATATTTCTGTAAACTCTTTATATTAATATCTTATAAAAACTGAAAAATACCAGATTCTTTAAACAAAAAATTGTTTCTTTAACAAACATCCTATTAATTTATCTAATCTAATCTAATCTAATATTTCAATCTACTATTAGGAAGAAACAGAAAGATTTTTATCGATACTATATCGTTCTCCATATTATCTATATTGATAATTTTTTATAATCCAAAATATTATAATCCATCTCCATACGTTGTACGATATATGCGTGCACATTTAGATTAATTATAAAAAAAAATTAAAATATATTTATCGATTACCATATTTACTTCCTATTTCTAAAGACATATTTTATGTAATTATTTTCAAATGACAACTAGAATGATATTTTGAATGTAATGATATAATAAATGTATAAATAATATATTTGTACTAATATCAATATAAAAATATACTAAATCAATAATAAAAAAACGACAGGAATGGAACAAATGAATAAATGTACGAAATATGACATTACTCGTAGTAATAACGTAAAATATTACTATGAATAAGCACGCAGAAAATAAATAGAATAAAAACACGAATAAACAATGAAAACTGACAGAAGCATACTCACTTAGCTTTTATAATAAAAAAACAAATGATAACATATTAAAAAATTACAGGAAAATCAGAATTCCTTATCATATCGCATAGTAGCATTATATTGATCGAACAATTCTTATCTAAACAGAAAAGAAAGATGTAAAACAAACACAATATCGTAAGACAAACCGTTCTCAAAATTATGCATCATATGTTATCACTATAAACTAACACAGTGCATCACATTATGTTTAATGATATCACGTAAAACGTAAGAGCTTTATATTCTATATAATTATATTGTTCACAATAATCACGCGTTTAAAATGCATTCGACAGAAAATTATCCAATAGTAATAAAAAGTAGAAGTATCGACCAATAGGACGAAGAGTATAGAACGAAATGGATATTCTCTAACAGATGATTGGTTAAATCTTATAAATTCATTTCTTGCGATATAAACTTTAAACTTTATAACGCTTGTTTAGAAGGGATTATTTTAATAAGCGAAATTTTATAATTTTTGACAATTATATATGACGTATCAACTGTTGAAAACAATTATTGTCATAACGGTGTTGTAAACTAAGATTGCGGTATGTATGTGGGTCAAAATAAAATCTAACCGTTCTTAAATAAATTATTGAAGTCGAAACCGGACTTGTAAGCATTTCGAAAAAGTCGAACAGAGTCCGTTAAAAATAATCTATAGTAGCATCCAGTAAGGACATGAAGGTATGTTTTGTGCGCACATATTGAAATGTTTTCTATATATATACCTGGACGAAGTTACAATTATTTCTATTATAGTAGATGATAATTCTTCGAGTAAGAATCTGATATGATATTGTAATCATAACACGTTATAAGTTCAATCGTGACTTATTTTGTTATATTCTTTTTTGGTTTCGAAGATTTAAAAAAAAGAACAAGAAAAACAAGTAGTATTATGTGCAATATGTACATGTACATTATTATTGATCCAATATTACAATTTGTTATGTTTGTTTGTTAGTTGTGTGTGCGTGTGTGTTTTAAATATGTTTGAAATTGCCATGGATTGTTGTTACATTGAACTAAATGAAGATACAGGAATGGAGAAGGTATTTCCAAATGTCTCTAGTCCAGAGATGTTCGACAGCGATGTTGAAAATGAACAGAACGAGCGACAAGAAATAACATCTATTAACAAAGATACATTGATCAAAACTAGTCCAGAAAAACCTTCCAAGGCTACTCTTATTGCTAAGTCCGACAATTATCTGCTGGTCAGAATCAATAAATATTTAACTGGAGTTCCCCCACCCCCAAGTCACACCATTTGTCAAAGCGATTGTAATGACTTGTTACATTATATTCAACAAAACCGTCAATACTTTTGGACAGCCTCTCCCATAAAGGAAGAGAACAATGTTAGACAAGAAGAAAACATTGACAAATCCTTTAATCAGGAAACATTAGAAAACAACAAGAGATTTTCTTTTTATAAAACCAATAATACCCAGAGAAACTTGACTAGTGCTTTTGATGAATGCGACTCACAAACGAATAATATTTCTAATGAGGTATGCATGTCCATTTAATCCTGATAATAATTTGTACAATAAAGAAACAAAATGCATTGTAAATAATAATGCAGTTATAAGAGAATGGTAGAATAAAATAATAATATTATTTGTAGAATAAATCTTTAATTCTATACAACTCGGCTGGAGAAAAAGAAGTTAAAAATATGCCATGGTCTGAAGCGTATTTTCATAAATTTCATGGTATCCAGTAAGTATAAATAATGTTTCTTATACTAATAATATTTGAACATTGATATATTTTGTATCATTTTATGTTTCAGTTATAACAGAAGTAATTCGATAGAAGAGTTTGAAAATTTAACAATAAAACTATGCGGAAGGTATATAGGAGCAGAAACACAATCTACATGTAATGTATTCTTTTCTAAACAAGGACCTGGAAGTGCTATAAAAAGAGGCATTCTAGCTAAACGTAATTACGGTCAAAGCCCAGGGAAGAGATTAAGTCATTTGGCTCGCAGAAGGAGAACATTTTCTAGTGCAAATTTGCAGGGCTTAAATCTCAATGATAAAAGACAATTGGTATTAACTGTTAAGTAAGTTTCTTTTATCTTTGTTTGATATACAATTAAAAAATAATTTTTTGTTTTCTACTCTTTGTAATTATTCTCATTATAGAAGACCTTCAACTAGAAAACTTAAAAGTCCTAGAGGCAAAAGCCCAAGATATAAAAGTCCGAGAGGTAAAAGTCCTAGAGGATCGGCAAAGAAAAAAGTAGTTAGAAGGCTTACATTAGAAAATACAAGTCCGCTTAAAACAAAATTAGACACATCAAGACGAGTCCTATTTCAAAGTCCGACCTTAGACAAGCCAGGCCCGAGTAAATTGTTTAATTGTAGTAATGCTAATCCACACACAATTAAGCGTGCCTTATTTCCTACGCCTAAGAAGAAGGAAGATGTTTTAATCGAAGGTGTCAAAACGATTACTGTCGAAGAATCTAGAAAAAGAAAAAGTGAAGAAGAATTGCAAGGACCTCGTTTCAAGTGGGCAAAGAGTTTATCGTTCGACTGTCCTTACGAATTACAAAATTCATCTTTACGTTCATGGGATCGCGAAAGGCATTCCTCTGGAAACGTTTTAACGCAACACGAAATACCTGTCGCGGCGGGAAAAGGTGAACTTAGTGATACACATAGAAAGGTAAGATATTTCGCTCTTATTATTTATTATTACGTCATTGTTGAAGATGTTATTATATTTGATATTTAATTATATTTATTATTATGTAGAAATTATTATGGGCTGTAGCAGAAGCGTTACGAGGCAGAGGGATCGGTATGAGTCACCCGCAGTTTAAACAGTACGCTTCTGATCTAGCGCGTACCGTTAAAAAATTAATGCCCGATCTCGCAAATAAAAATATATCAAGAAAACCAGGCAGTACAAGTGATCGTATGTTAAAGTTGGCCAAACATCATGCTCTTCTCATAATAGATACAAGGCCCTCGGAATGACTGTACTTCTTAGTACGAAAAAATATATGAATTGTTTTTTTATACAAAAAATTTGCACAATCATTTTTAAAAACAAAAGAAAAAAAAGAGTACGAGTGTAATACTACTTCGATACTTTCAAAATAATTAAAGGACTTTTAATTATTTCACGTGGTAAATGTGATCAAATACATTAATAAGATTTACATCATTTTTTCACTAAAAATTATATATTTTACTGTATAAATGTAAAAGAAAGGTTCTTCTAAAGTCTCACAGTGTATATATTAGAATAATTGTATCCTGGACGGGATATATATTTACGTATTTTATATATATAAAGTTTTGTAAATTAATTAACGTGATTGAATAAATAACATAGTTAAATCATCGGAGGCAAGTAAAAAATACAAATTTCGAAAAAAATCAATTTAAATTTTCTTTCATTTAGAAGATAGATTTTTATTTAGTACTTCGAAGTTTGACTTTATATTATATTACTAAGAATAAAAAAATGAATGATAGAAATATTATTTTATATCGTAAAAGCATCGAATTAAAAGTTTCAGAGAAATTTGACTATGTTATATATCCGAATGAATTAAAAATTATTATCTAAATTTAACTTTATTCGAAACTTCTCTTATTCTTATTAAATAAGGACTTTGGTAAGAGACAAGTAAAAATTTGATAAAATATTACGTAAAACCTGTTTCAAAAAATTGTTGCATAAATTGTTTTCTTCTATTTTAAAGTGATACCTTTGCTTTATTATTTATAAATTATGAAATATACAATTTTTTATTGCCAATATATATCAATTTTACTTAACCCGTATGGAATACTCTTGCTTCGTAGAAATGATATTTATTGGCATTCAAATATATATATATATATATATTTGATATGTGTATATATATATATATATATATATATATATATACATATCGATAAATAGATTAATATATGCCTTAGTGATATATCTAGCGTAAGATCTTTATATATATATATATTTAATATGGTTAAGGCGAGTAAAAAAATAAAGACTAATAATAAAGAGGGAAGAAATAAAGACTAATACAGACTAATTGCGACAAGGGATGTTCAGGAGATATTAAATTAATTCTATTATAAAACTCTTTTTAGTTCTCCTTATTCTGCATTTTGACGACCAACCCTAGCAATCAATTCATCTAATATCTGTGTGAGTTCTTTGTTTTCCTTCGTTTTTTGCTCTACTATCTCAGCGAGAGAATTACTTTTCAATTCTGCCTTCCTCACCATCGCGTGTAATTTTACCGTCTCGGATTCGTGTTGTTTTCGTATATCCACTAATTCCAAATTAGCCCTGCAACAAATTTCGTTATTAATTAAAACCGGTAAACTTTTCTTTCAGATTAATTTCCCATATTTTGTTTTCTTACTTTCTTAATTGCGACATGGCATGAGTTTTCAATTGATCGTAACGATTTTCTAAAGACTTTATCGTGTCCAAGTTTTCTTGGATACTTTCTTTTAAAACACCTTCGTTATTTTTATAAGCTGAAACGACTCCCTTGAGCCTTTCATATTTCAAATGAACGTCGTTAAATGCAGCTTCCGTATTGCTAAGATGAAGATTAGTAGCTTGAAGCTCTTCTTGTATTCTAGATTTTTCCTGCTCCAAACTAGCGTGATCTCTTTCCTTTTCAGTTAGTAATCGACTTATCGACTTTTCGTATTCGTCCACAACAACTCTGTGTAAAAAATATATTTTCTTAATTTTAAAATGACTCACACACACACACATTTATTTATTTATATAAATAATAAAAATTAATAATTTAAAGAGTAACCCACGCTAATTGATTTTTATTCTCAACTTCTTCGTTTAATTGCGCTTGCAATTTTGCTATTTTTTCTTGAGAAGCTGCCTTTTGTTTTTCCAATTTGGATTCATATTCCGTTTTCTGTTTCTCCAATTCTTTTTCCAATTGCGACACAGTCACACGTAGTAACTCCAATTTCTCCGTTCCGTCTGTATTTTCTACTTCCTTTGTATCAGATTTAGTTACTTGTAAAGGTTCATCCTTAAAAGATATAGATAAAAGGAAATGTAAGTTTCATTTATAAAAAAGATATTAATACTTTATAGATCACTTACATTTTTGTCTTGAATCTCTTCTAATTTATGTATCGTACCGCTGGTAGGAGTACTAAAAACTTGACTATTTCCTTGAGGTAACATACTGGTGTTTGCTAACAAAGGATCAAATTTAATAAACAAGGATTCATTCCTAAGGCGAGTTGAACTTTCTGAATTTCCTCTTGCCGAAAGGAAATCAAAAGTCGTCGGATCATGGAATACTGAAAATGATCGATTGTTAAATATTTCGAAATATTTAAATAATAATTTAAATACGTATGATACACACAAGGATCAAATTTTTCAACTTACTTTCTAACACTGGATTAGAAATACCATCTTCAAGTTCTAAAGGAGATTTTAAAATGTCATCTGTGATTTCTCCTGCCGCTAATTCTAATTTCTCTAAAGAACAACAGACACCATCATCATTGTTAGTCAATGTAGTGCTCTGTCTCTGTGGCTTAAATTCTTCATAATCAAATTCTATGTGTTCGACTTCATTTAAGGGATCACTACTTAAGAAAATCTCATCAGTTAAAGTTAACGTCTCATCCAATATTTCATTTTTAGTTGTACTTTTTATCTTACTATCTACATCATCTTCATCGGTTTTCTTTTCAATTAGATTTTCCCTGCTTATTTTATTTTTATCTATATTATTTGTATCTGTCTTATTTTTATTTAGATCATTTAGTTCTGTTTCATTTTCATTTATATTAGATGCATCGATATTATTTTCATTTACATAAGATGTATTGATTTTATTTTCATTTACATTAGATGTATTGATTTTATTTTCATTTACATTAAATGTTGCATCACATTTATTTTCATTTATATTAAATTCCGTATCGATTTTTTGTCCATATATATTATCTGTTGTATCGATTTTATTTTCCTTTATATCAAATGTTGTATCTGTTGTATTGATTTTATTTTCCTTTATATCAAATGCTGTATCTGTTGTATTGATTTTATTTTCCTTTATATCAAATCTTGTATCTGTTGTATTGATTTTATTTTCTTTTATATCAAATGTTGTATCTGTTTTATCTTCTTTTATATTAATTGTCGTATCAATTTTATGCTCGTGTATATTAATTGTCGTATCAATTTCATTTTCATCTATATTAATAGTTGTATCAATTTCATGTTCAGCTACATTAATAGTTGTATCAATGCCATTTTCATCTATATTAATTGTTGTATCAATTTCATGTTCATTTATATTATTTTTTACATCAATATCATTTTCATCAATGTTATTTTTATCTGCTTTGCTTTCATCTGTATTATCAGATTTTATATTTTCAATAACAATATTGGTAACTATTTGATCAATACAAGTATTATTTGTATCTATTTCGCTTTTGTCTGTATTACTTAAATCAGCTTCTTTGTTAACTTTATTACACGTATCTGTTTCCTTATCATTGGTATCATTACATATATGTTCAACTTTTTCTCTCTCTACGTTGTTATAATCAACAGGAGTAGTTGATCTTGGCGTAGATGTTTCTAAAGTAAGTTTTACACTTTCGGCTTCGTATTCTTTTAATTCCTGTTTATTTTCTTGTACATTGCCAGCAATGTCTTCCTTCGTAACAGATATATTTGTTTGCAAGTGTAAAGATTCTTGAGATGTATTGTTGCAAGTTAAATGTTCAAGTAATTCTTCTTGTGTCTGAGAAGAATTAATAAGAGAATGCGTGATGATATTTAAGGGTGTTGCTGAACCATTTTCTATCGTGCATGTCTCGTTTAAATGACACTTGTTAGGTGACTTTTCATCTATGAAAATGTCGGTATCATCGATGGCTGAGTTGAAAGTTTGAATCAAAGTGTCATTGGGAGATTCATAAATAGAATTAGAAGATGAGACTTCCTCTGCATTAGAATCGAGTTGAATATCTGCATAGGCACGAATCAGTTCGTTGACACCTGGTATATTATTGTCCACATAGGAAGTGTCTGAGACCTTGTATAGTGGAGAATTGGTGAGGTCATCGATATCAGAATTGATACCACTGGTTTTGGTGCTTTGGGTACTACCGATGCTGTAATAGCTGCTCTCCGAAGAGAAACTCTCGGGTTTAGAGTGCGTCACCAAGTCTGCATCTGCGAATTCACGCGCGAAACGCACCTTCACCTCGTGTTCGGCTGCAGCCTTGGAGAAAGTGTTGTTGGTAGTGTCGTTTCCAATCTAGAATCAATGAGAGATAGAAAGAGAAAGAAACAAATGAATAAAAGACTTTAAAATTAAATCAAATTAAATGAAAGGACTTTAAATAATAAGTAATCACAAAATAAAGAGAGGAGGGGAGGAATGAATGAATGAAGAGAAATGTAAGCAATCCAAATCTTTCTCACACGTTCTCCTACGTTACAAACAATGGAATATTTTTCAAAACAGTTGCAGTATAGACACACACACGACAGTGAGAATTTGGTCAAATGGATGATATTGATACCTCGAATACAGGCGACGAGGAAGATGTTGATGAATTTGCAGGAGAACGATGTAAGAGTCTGTTGATGTACTCCATAACGTGTTTACCAGCAAAGCACAAACAACACTGTGCTAATAATCCGTAGGAAGAGAAAAAGAGAAGGGGAAGACAAAAAAGGAGAAATAGAGAAAGACGAAGTTAGCGGTGTTGTCTACCTCTGTTCACTGGGCCGACACTAACGGTGCACCAGAAAGAGAATCAGCTGACTTTGAAACTCGATAGGGCAACGCAGCAAAGACTCGAGAGAAGATTTCGTTAGAAAGAATTGCGCAACACCAATACTAGTGTCTAGCCGCGAAATATGCGTTTCGCTCGTTCTAATAATAAATATATTTCAGGGAGAAAGTTTTATCCACGATAGAAATCCTGTCAGTCTCGTTATTCCGAGATCACTTACGCGTTGTGTTAGCAACATTATTTTTCTTTCAACGTTATCCTTCGTATTATATCCTTAAATAAGAAACGCGGAAGATGGATTTTCTTTTTTTACCCCAAATACTTGGAAAAGTGACTTCTATGTGTGGACATTTAAAGGCAAGGACCATTAGCTTCTATTTATATATATATAATATAATTTTGTATGCATAATAATTAATAACAGAATAATATTTATATAATAATTTATAAAAAAAAGATATTATATTAAATTGGTATATATATACAGACCACACACATACTTGCGCGCGTTCATATGTATATAAATATCGAGAGATAGAACACGCATATGTATACACGTACGCACGCACGCACAAAATAAAACTCCCCTATCCGCGAGAAACTTTTTCTTCGACTTTACTTCCATGGTACTTAAAAAGAAACACCATTCGAAATACGCTATTCAGTTTGAATCTTTTTTTTTTCTTTTTTGCGCGCACGGACGATTACCTTGTGAAAAAGATTGCCCATCTTTTCACTTTTAAAGTAGCTTCTCTTTTGAGCAAAGTCTTCAAGTTCTTTCCGTATTTATCACTTTCCTTCCTCTTCTTTTACTCACGGAACCCCACGAAGTGAAAAAAATAAAAAAAGAGAAGTCATTCCCCTTTCTTCTTTCTCTAGATAGATTTTTCTTCTTTTATACTTGATCACACCACCGTTGTCCCTGACAAAATAAGAATCACCGAACGGTGCTTACGAACTGTCAGCTTAGCATTCGAAACTGGCATACCAATTTTTTCAATCGCGTTCTCGCGCCCTTCCGGTATTATTTATTTGGTTGCTTGCTTGCTACGCGTCCAAGACACCACTTCCGTCGTAGCCATTTTTTTTTCTTTTACTTAATCGATGCAGTCTAATTAAATATGCGGATCTTATTTCGAAAGGATACGTCAAGGCCAAGAAAAGTAATTACACTGAAACGTGACATGTTTGACTCGTAAGTAGGCCCCGCGCGTCCACGTTCCTAGCGTTTAACATTTGAATTTCGCGCCTAATTATATTCGCGCGATTTATATTCACATCGAACGCGTTATCATTAATGTTTCACTAATGATGTTCTTTTATTTTTCACTAATATCGTTAACAATATATTGCAATGAATGGCGTGCCAAGCAAGACTAAGAAAAGAAAAATGACTATAATAAAGTTTGACATATGAGATTCTAAAACTTGTTCACTGTCTTCGTTCCCTACGCAAAGATTCGTATTTCGCGCCACATTAATTGGAATTTATTTTTACATCGCTGTTATTAATGTTTCAATAATGTCTTTTAATCTTTTTTTGGGCGAATATTATTAAAACACGTATATTGCAACGAATGAATCATGAAAGTAGAATGATCAACGAATAAAAAAGCATTTATAAATGTTCAAACGATAAACAAAATTCGAAATAATCGTCGACTATAACTCGAAAAATCTTCGAGTTTTTCCATAACTGCGGAATAATATAATGACGTGATAGGTGGCGCTGGTATTCTTTCGAGAAAAAAAGTGGGACACTACAGCTGTTTATACGTTAAAGGATTTTATGGAACTACGACGCTGGAGAATACGCATTTTCTCGTTAACCTCTTTATTTGTGACTTAAATATCGATTAGACATAAGTAAAGATTTTTTTATTTTCTAAGAGAAGTAATTGTTAAATAAAGAATATTATTCGAAGAAAACAAAGGTATACATTTTGTAGACGAAGGAAATAATTGGCTCTTTTTGGTGGATTACGCAAAACTGCAGATAAGGAGAATGGTTATGCGAAAAGATAATAAAACATAAATCAATCATTTAAAAATAACTCGAATATTTGTTCAGTTTATTCGTTAATAGAAAAGAGTTAATTGGAATCGTAAAAGAAAAGGCAGCCTTGATCCTTTAACCTATATATTTAAGTCCTAGGTCAATGTAATTGAAGGATCAATAAAATCTTTCGAATGGCAGCATCGAATGGCAGCATCGAACATTTCGAGGAGACAAAGGAAATATTTCATTAAAACGTTAACACGAATTAATCTACAGTACGTAAGCATATAGCAAACCCTAGATTTGATGACATCACAGGAGAAAAGAAAATGAGTCATATGCCATTCTACTCAGATGGTAGACCAATTCCATTATCGGTATATAAAAGGAGAGAATAATGTTCAAAGATGACACCGATAGACAGACGGCGGGGACAAGCAACAGCAGAAAAATAAAAAAGAAAGATAAAGAAGATACAGCATGAACGAACCAATGCGACAAATTATAATTCGTTCAAATGCAATGATAACAATGATTCCAATTATAGATAGATAAGAAAATAAAAAAACAATTGGATGAGCATTTACCTTAGCTTTTAGATGGTCCTAAAACAGAATGTCGACGATCCCAGAACTTGACCCAACAGCAGCAGCGAGGGAGAGAGAGGATATTCGTAAGTAAGTAAGTAACAAGTATAAGTACGAGTACTTAGGTAGAAGAATGTATATAATATAATGTAGAATGTATGTATGTGAAACTAGTGGCTTGGAGTGCGCGCGCGACACGAACGCGCGTTAAAATACGAAGATATGTTCGGGTCTGTTCGGCTTTTGTGGGGGAATCGATTCTTCTCCAAGCCCTCGAAGTTCGAGAGACTCGCGCTCCTTATTCGGAGCGTTCTTGACATCGAATCGCGAATACGATGACCAACAACGACGTACGAACTGCAGTAGAGTAGAGTAAAGTAAGTATTTAAGCAGCAGCAGCAGCAACCAACGAAGAGTAAACGAAGTAGTAAACGAAGAACGGTGCGTGAGTCATTCCCCATTTGCACCAAAAGGAACAACCACAACCTACACTTTCCTCATCCTGTTCCTCCTTCTCCACCTCCTCGTTTTCCACCTCCTTCAACTCCTACTTGCAATCCAGACATGATGCAGCAACACCAAGGGAAAAGAGAAAAGAGAAGAGAAGAGAAGAGAAAGAGAGAAGAGAAAAAGACGTGGATGAAGATAGACCTTGTCTTGAGGGGGTGTGTTGAAGAATACAATTTGACTAGAGACATTTAATTCCATTCGAAAGAATGATTTCACTATTCTACAGACAAACCAGACAAATTGCAAGAAGACCAGATAAATGCAACCCCCACCCATCCACCTCTATGCTGTGCAACATATTCTTCTCTTTTTCCCCCTTTTTTTTTTTAATGAAATTTATTCTATTCTACTGTTACTTTCTGTTTATTTTCATTATGTAAGAAATAAAGCATGTTGGAAGATATGTCTACATGTATATATGTATGTATGTATTTGTATGAAGGCAGATAATACGTCAGATGTCTTCCTCAACTGCAATAAATTTTAATCAACGGTGTCCTGATGGTTAGATTCGTGTCAAGAGAAAGAAAAAAATAATTTCAATTAATTCAAAATGAAGTTGATTGAAAAAGAGAAAGAAACAAAGGGAGAATGAATGAATGTAGGCGTTAGTATAACTGAAGAACTGGGGATAAAAACAATTGCAAGGGACATCTTCGATCAGATCTGCACACCTGTGCACCACCACCTTCGATCCATGTATACGATTCTCTTCCTGATTCGTCTTCTAATATTAGAATTCGCATAGCGTATCGGCTGACTACTATACAAGTATAAGAGGGAGAGAAGGAAAGTACATCGGCCGCAAAAGAAAGAGGAAGAGAGAGAAAGAGATAGAACAGATATAGAAGGAGAAAAACGACAAGGAAGATAGAGAAGGTAGTGGTCGTGGTAACGATAGTGGTGGGAGGAAGGAAGAGAAGGGGCGGGGKGCGATTCGATCGCTCACCTTTCGTTCCTCGTGTTATCGAAAATTTGTTCCTGTCTGTACGCAAGTAAATATACGTGCGTGCGTGCACAAAACACGCTTGCAACGTGTTCTTGCGTGCAAAAGCCGCCTCTGAAAGATCTGCGCGGCGCGCGCGCACGCGCCAAATTATTTATTATCTTCTTCGTTGTCCTTCTTCGTCTTCTTGTTTATTCAATTGTTCAATATTAAACCCGACAATTAATTGTATGTTATATATATATATATTACGCGTGTGTTGAAATATCGTCACGTTAAACGTCGTAAATATATTTTACCGAGCTCGCGCGAAGCCGCTCCTTTTACTCGTCGTCGCTGCGGCGACGTTCTTCGACAGCACGCAGCTAGAAGCGCGCACACGCCGTATCACCCGGAGATAGCCGAAGATAGAAAGGTGGTGGGGAGAGTGCAACGAACAAAATCCCCGAGAATCTAACGCCATCTTCATCAGTTGCATGCGTCGGTAAAAATTTTTTTTCGTCGTGCAGCGCATTACCTTCGGTCGGTAATTCGTTTTCTTCTCTTATGGTAACTACTCGTAGATACTTTTTAAAAAATATATAATCCCGTCTATGCAAACGTGTTTTGATTTCCATTTACATAGAGAAAATTTTTGATCCAACTTATTATGAACACGTGATTTTCGACTTTTACATTTTTTGTTCTTACAGTGATATTTATTAAGACAAATATTTGTAATTATTCGTAAAAGTCGAAGAGAAGGAATATAATTGTTAGAAAATTTAATGTGAAACAATTTCTGAGCCAAATTTATTCGAATAAAAAATAGATTTTCTTTGAAATATTTTAGCCCCGATTGTCTTTCGTCACATGTCAAGTAAATTAGCTTTACTTACAACAGAAGCACACGTTAATCGCGTGACATTTCAGCTCGTACCGAAGGGTAAATCCGAATTAGCACAAAACACATTCTATTCTACCCCCACTTTTATCCTCATTCTAAATACTCTAACACGTTTACCTAGATTGCTCTTTCACCGACGAGGTTACATAAACAAAATAAAAAACAAATAATTTTTTGCAATTATCCATACCTGTCCACATCACATACTTATAATTAAATCAAATTAACATAACTATAACTTTTACGTAAAACTCAATTTATAAATTAAAACATTAAACGAAGTCCCAACGTCATTATTTTATAATTGTGTTAATCAAAACAAAATCAATAATTTCATTAAATTAAATCACTACTTTTAATGTAATAAAATTCGAATTTCCTGAATAAACAAATTGCTCGACATATGCGTAAGACCCACATATAGTAAATTAGATAGTAGATAACTATTATGGCTTCAACTGAAAATATCTCGTTAAATAATGCATTACACGTTTACTTTAATTTTTTCAATAAAATCTTCAATAATAATATTTTTTAAAATATACATAATATCTGTATAACAACATGTGCATGTAGAATTAATTGAGAATAAAAGACAACTAATTGAAATTCTCATCAAATAACTAAATTTAACCCTTCCGTTACTAGGGTTAAATCTCGAATCTCGATACGTCGCATTCGTTGAGTCTCTCCCCTTCATTCCATGACTCCAAAAACATACAAATAATCCTGAAATTATTTCAACCTTTCTTTTATTTCCGCATGCCTTAAGCACGCACGTCACAATTAGCAATTTATTTTTTATTTATTTATTCGAACCTGTCTATCACCTTGCGAATCTAGTTGTATATATAATACAATAAATCATTTCTAAATCAATTATATAATAAATGAAATATATACGAGGGTATGTTAAAAAAATGTTGAATCTTGAACAAAAAACAAAGAAACACTTTTATTTCTTTTTTTTTAATTGAAAAAAATTCTATATAAGGTTCAAAACTTTTCAACCCGCCCACATATATGATTTAATTAATATTTTAACATTTAAATTTTTTTCGATCATATGGATAATTAATATTCTCGATGCTATACAAACCAATCATGCCTTCAGAATTCTTTGTACGTAATATGTGTAAATAATTATATGGGTATGATTCGTGAACTGCACACGTGACACACATTCACAATAACTCAACGTATAGCCAGCCATACATATATACATAATATATATAGTTCATAATAGGACCATGTGCCATAGTATTGTATTAACAATCATTATATTTTACTAATTATTAAAATAATTACGATGAAACAAATTGTACGTAGGTAATGAAAGACTAACGATCTACCACCGTTGGGCAAAAACTTTGACTTTGAAAAGGAACGGGAGAAGAGCAAAGAACTTATTTTTGTTTCAAGGTACTCCTGGAGATACAGAGTTTATTTATAGGAATTCATCCTCCGGTCGAACTATCAGCAAACGCCCATGGAAAACAAGAAGAAGAAGGAAAAAGAAAGAAAGAGAAGAAGTAATAGTAGTAGTAGTAAAAAAAAAAAGAAAAAGGAAAAAAATGAGTAAGACAAATGGAAGGGAAAAAGTAGAAAATATTTTAATTTTTTTGTCCCCCTCTACTATTCTCTTTTTAACTTTACATTGTATCGTTCCCCAAACAATGATCTTGCATTTTGTCCGAATTTGTATTTAAAAGAAATAAGAGAAAAAAAGAAAAAAATAGAATGGGGTACCTTACGACGAGGAGACGTTTGTGTTGGCGGGGAATTGTGAAGCATGGCTGTGATTTCCCGCAGAACGACCCTCGTCCCTTCGCGAACTTGTCCTCCAACGACGACATTTTTTGGATTCGACATTTCTCCTGGTCGTCGAATTTCCATATTTTGTGAAAAATACTTAATACTTCTCTTATTGTCTTTTTGTTTTCTTATTCCTCCTTTTCCTCTTCTTCTTATTCTTTTTCTTTTATATACGTTACAAAGATAATTTATTTCAGCTCGCGTTTTCTTTCCACCAAATCAAAGCGCACTTTTTCTTCGACGTATCACATTAGTAATACACATTTAGATCTTTAACTACACTTTTGAATCTTTAACGATTATGTATCCACCACCAATTAATTAACACGATTCGTTTATTCCCTCGTTCGCACCAACTTTGTAACCTTACACACATTCAATTCTACAATGCAACGACGACGGCTTTTAACGGCTGCCTTAGCATTCACAAACTTGAACGCGAAACTTGTGACCAATCAAAATTGCCGATTTATTTGACTCGATGCGCCACCGTAACATGAGGCACCTTCCTTATGCGATTGGTAATACAGATTTCTTTAATCTTATTTAATTGTAAAATACGCAAGATATATACGTATTATCGTATTTTTATTTAATGAAATACATAATGTTAACTAAATATATAATTGCTGTATATGCAACAGTAAAATATTTAAATTTTTACTTATATTAAAGTTAATCTATTTATGCAAAATTGAATGAAACAAATTTACAAAGAAAGAAAGAAGAATAGTTTATAGATCGGACCTTAATCTTGAATTTTTATGAAAGATAAACGTGACTACGATTTCTCGTTGCTGTTTAATGACATTTGTTAATTTATACGAAATAATTTTTATAAATATCGAGTTTAAACATTATGTACTTGCGAAGGCTCAACAGGTTTCAATTGATTAGAAAAATGATCTTTACTCAACGAAAATCTTATTTTCTATATCTAATAAATCAAGATATACATTTTCTTTACCGTATTACATACTTGATCTTATTAGATTCGTTTAATTCTTGTTCTTCCATGTTATATCATACAAATATAACCGTACTACGCTTTTTCTAACACTGCAGCAATATTTTGCTTGCAACAAGAAGACGATTCCAACGACCAATCAGAACGAGTGATTTATTTATTTGATTTAAATGCAATGGCGCTGTATTCTTTCTTTTCACGGTCGGTAATATAGATTTCTAGGAATATTAATGAAAATACACGGTAAAATTCCATACGTATGAATTTCATTGCATTTTTATTATTGTTTATTTAAAAAAAAAGAGATATATAATGTTAACTAAACATATAATATTATTCTTACAAGTTCCTATTACTAAATTTAGAATTAAAATTCATGCAATACTATAATCGTATACAATAATTTGTTCGAATTACTTACAATAAGAGGCAATTATTATAATTATTATTATTATATTGATTAATGGTAAAAGCTCTTTTTCGAATACCCTATAGATTAACAAATTTATTCTCAAGCTTCATACAAATGTGTATAAACCATCACGTTGTTACGTGAACGGCAGTGTGAAAATATCACCACGAAATATGGTGGTTATAAGTCTTATTTGTCATATTTACTCATGCTAATTTCTCTCGCACAATCTCACGCGCATCCACTCACTCGCAATTTTTATTTTCTTCTTTTTTTATGCATATCATATATTATATATATATATATAATATGTATAAACTGCACACGCGAACAACATATTAATATATTACCGCATTACATAGTACATTAATAATAAGCGAATATATATATATATATATATAATACTATTAACAATGTTCTTTTTATTTTCGTATAAATAAAAAGAACTACAAGTAAAGATTTTTCATAGGCACTAGAATAACTTTTTTTTTGTTTTTTGTTGGTGTATATATATATATATATTAGAATAATAATAATAATAATAATAATATTTATAAGAATAAGAACAATATTAATTAAATATGATTTGTTAAAGTATATGTTGCGTGAAACTTTACTGTATGGATATAATCACAGAGATTAGTTACCATTTAATATATGGCTCCTATTTAAGTTCAAGTTGCTTTAAAACAAGGCACTTATTTTTTTTGTTTTTTTTTTTTTTTAAATGTAAATGTTTATATATTTATACTAAAATATATATTACATTAAATTTGTGCTCAGAATGGGTATTTTCTTATAATAATGCCTTTTACAGAGTTATTTTCTATAACAATCACCACCCCATACTAAACGATTGTTCAAGATATGATCGATCGATCAATGTACATAAAGGAATTAATATTATGCATATTATTTACGAAATAAAATGTAACAACTAATATTCGCACGAGCATAAGATTTGATCGCGTGAGCGCTGTTAGTGTTTTTTTTTCTTTTCATTCTCTCTCTCTCTCCTCCATTTCGCGTAATTCTTTTTTTTCTTTTCAACAATAAATCTCTTTCTTTCTCTTTCAAAATAATAACCCTAAAATTTAAAAAAAATTATTCGCAAAGAGATGAGTAATAGTTAGCAAATAATTATTATGTGTACGGGCGTAACTGTGGTGGATGACTTGGAGTCGATGGATCATTTTTTTGACCACTAGAAGGAGGAGTCAAAAGACAATTTTCAGTTGGACTACTATTTAAATCGGATTCAGTTTTACTTTCTATTTCTTCTAAGTCAATTGGTAGAAGATCTTCTATCAATCGTTGTTGCGCTTTCTCTAACATGTTCAGATCTACAACATGAGTTTGGATGCGATGCGATTCGTCTATCACTATGTTAGGTACTGTTGCTTTAAGTCCAGATCCAGAGTTAGATTCTATAGGAGATACAGTGGACCTTAACAAAAATTGGGGACCATCTTCCAATACTGTTGTAGCAAATGGGGCCATCCATTTGACGCAAGGGGCCAACTGTTCCCAAGAAAGACGCGACACATTTAAAGCACATTCTCGTCCTTGTATATGGTAAATGCATCCTGCAGCTATGTGGCTGTAAGGAAATTTTAAACTTCCTTCATCCAAAGTAGCTAAATCCAAAAGCTGAGCAGCTTGTGTATACTGTAATCCGCCATATTGTGGATATATAAACACGTTGGGCTTAGACCAATCACCGCATTCTATTTGCATGTAAATATTTAACCATGCAGGAGCAGTCATGGATGATAGATTCCATCCGAGTCCCTTCAAAATGATTAACTCCTTTCCTAAAATTTCTTCCTCGGTACAAGCTCCATCAGTGACATATGCAAACTCAGCTATTTTAGGTGGATAAATTTCTTCGACCTGAAAATAAATTAAATGTTTCATTAAATTGTTATATTTAGAAAGTATTTGAAATGAGTAGATATTAATGTAAAAAAAAAAGGTAAATAAAGCATACATACCTTAGCTGCTATGAACAGACATGTAATACCTATAAGTTGTAATTGACTTTTTGGTATGTTTTGATGAATAGACAGATACCTGTCTATATAGTCCATAGCAAGGTAGTAAGTTTCTCTGTGTAGTTTGTACACTTCGCATACTTCAATAAGCCAATCCAACAAAATAGCTCGCATTCGTGGTTGTAATGTCGGATGCCTTTGAAACATTTGTGAATCTCTTTGACTAAGAGTCTTTTGATCTCCCAAACACATAAGGCTCCATACATGCGTACTATCTGCCCAAGCAAAAGATGGAAGCGGAGCTGACCTATTTGTTCCATTGCTAGAGCCGGAAGGTGTTAAGAAACAAGTGGCATTTCTTAATTCGGACCAAGTTGCTGGCTCCTGCTGTTCCTTTAAAGGCGTTGGAGATGCTTGAAGAGGCGTGCATGGATTCTCTACGGAGAGTGCACCATTACAAGACTCATTGTATGGCACGTGAGATAATGCTGGTACTTTGCTAGGGGGATATATATTTTCTGAATCTTCAGAAAGTTCAGCTGTACGCCTTTTGCGCTTCATTGATTGCCTCTCTCTACCGCATTGCAAATAGGTTTGTGAAGGTTTCTTCTCTTGTAAGCTGTCGATAGATGGAAAAGAAAAAAATTATACAACCCTCCAAAACTACTGTTTTTCTATCATAAAGATATAAATGAGGCAACTTATAAAAAATGAATGACCTAAGCACGACAATTAAACATCCAATACGGGATGCAATGTGCAAAATTTTAACTATAATTTGTCATTTATTATATCTCTGTTAACGTTATAATTAATCTGCTATAGCATTTCTTCTTTTAGAAATCTCAATATGTGAATAGTAATAAGAGAAGGTTATATAAACAAAATTGAAGCCACAATTAAGGGAGAAAAAGTAATCGAATGTTTGCTAAGAGTGTTCCAAGGTCGCTATAATGAGTATCAATTTGTTCTAAATGAAAACCAATGAGATAATGGAAAAAACTTTCAATAGAACAGAAGGTCGAGCACTCACCTGGTCTGTTGCATCTTGCCGAGATACCTTGGCTAAGTTCGATATATTTCCAAGAGTTATTTATTATTTGTATTTATTATACGAATCGACCGATATCGTTCTAAATATTGAAGATAATAAAGTGAAATTTAATCGAACAATATTGTCGATAAAATACCGAAAATGATGGTAGCGCGCGAAGTTCAGGCACACTCGATCGCCATAATGCACGTCGTCTTCCCCGATACGAATCCGATATTTACCTATTAAACTTAAAGTCACTCGTAATATTTAATTGTAAGAAAATCTTCTCTAGTCCATAGATATGTAACGTTTGAGTGTAAATGAATTTGGAATAAAATTTTCATGGAAAAATCGGAGGACGTGGATCTCGAAGCGCGGGAGACCAGCGCGCGAAACGATGACCAACCCCTGCTTGCAATCTGGCGCTGTGACGCCCTCTATATGAATACCATAACCTCAAAAGGGGAAAATTTTTCAATTTCGATAAATACTTTCGAGAGGACTTCCCTTGACCCCTACCAATGGACAAACACCAATGTCATTCACAGGAAACAAGGATTTCCTTGATCAAACAAAGGTCCCTCTGAGCTCTTCCTTCGGTCCACGAGTCTTCCGGATTACATTCGATTTTTCCAATAATTAAGCACAAGGGCACTCGACGAATTTTTTCTCGAATAGATCAAGTACATTAGTTTCCTTATTGATATTTTCTTTTCACTTGTATATGAAATAATAGCGTTAAAACGTTTTCGAAACACGAACGCACATGCATCGAGACTCTTCCGCGTCCATTGGCAAACGCAGCTTCCCGCCTTGATCTAATCGCACTGTATTTTCGAACGAACAATGGAATAACTTTAAATTCACTCAAGTTAAATGCGTTACAATAAGGAACTTCAGATAGTCGTGTAAAAAAGATAAATAATAAAATAATATATATTTAAAATGAAGTCAAGAAACAGGTACGAAACAGTGTCTTGTGAGAACGCCACAAAAGTAATAGGCGCCGGGCAGGCGTGCTTATAGGTGCCGCTAGTGGCACTTCGAGGATGGGCCTTTCTGATTGGTCGAGCCGTCTGACACAGCTGGCGCTCAGCTGATCCATCCGTAGCACACACTCTCATTTACCTTCACCGATAAGTGACGCGCGCGTTGATACGATGCAACCATGCAACTCACACAACTCGACAACCCTGACCCACGCGGGAAAATATGCGCGCGCGCCTAAATTAATTTCTCCCCACCCCGCTCACACTATACCGCAACATCATAGCTCTGTTACTCTTTCTCTTTCTCATTCTCTTTCTCTTTCTTTCTACACGTATGCGCGCGCATCCACCCAACGATGTAACAGAGACGTACGACGTACAGACCGCGTCGATCAGCTCTTTCAGAGATGCGCGCTCTTTGCCACGTGTAGAGCATGGTGACCCCTTTCGAATTTTGCGCTACAAGACTGATTTTATATTATTATATTTCTTTTAGGTTTAGATATTCTTAACGGATTTTAATATAACTACGTATAAAGACCTTAGTGCGTCTTATGGAACTTATATACATTATCATATAAGCTTATACTTTTTGTCTAACTGTATTTTTTAGAAACTCCTCTTCGTTTTTTTATTTTATCTAAATTATCATTTTTTACGTATCCTAATTTTACCTATTCTTCTTATTTCTTAACATTCTTCAGTTTAGAATAAAGTTAAGAAAGAATATTTACTATCGAAGTTTATTTTAAACTATAAAATAGAAGATCGTTTATTATTTTTCATTAATGTATACTAATGCAAACTATGAAAAAAAAAGAGAAAAATATCGACCGATAAAGTCGATAATTTATCGACCGTATCGATAGCTCCAAGCTGTTTATCGATCGATATTGCAACTATAGGGAATTTACGAAATTATTAACTACGTGTCGCTGTGATCGATAATAAACCAATAACTGATTTAGTCATCTATCTTGTATATTATCAGTGAACGTCATTTTACGACTAATCACACACACACACACACACACACACATATGAGTGCTTGACGATTTCGTACACATATGCCAAGTTCGATGCAAGTATGTACGGAAATTCGGTGTGTGACGGGGGCGAGGTGAGGGGCTGAGGATTCTAGGGGGAAAGACGAAGTGCAAGAATGCGATGTGCAACGTCGAACGACAAAACAAGGAAAACACTGGCGTGCCGTTGACTGGGATGGGGAAGGTGCGCTTTTACATTTATTGTCATTTCGATAATATGATCGATAATTATCTATAAATAATTATAATTTCTATTATACTATTGTTTTACAACTAATCATATATATTAAATTCAAATATAAACATAAATTTAAATATTTTCACACTAATATCAAAGAATTTTCACACGAATGTCTGTTCGTATTTAAAACAAATGATTTAAAAAAAATTATGTATCATAGTATTATAATAAATATATAAATAAGTAGATTAACGATAATTGTTATCAATACCGTAGTTTGGTTAAATTTTAATAATATTCTCATTGTTAATAAATTTAAACGTGTCAAATAATAAACGTGAAAAATTAATGTATTACATTTCTTGTGCAATATTTATCCTTTATCAAATATTTGGTATATAATATTAAAGATAATTATAATAGAATAATTGGATGACAGTAGTAGATTAGATATTAAGATAAATCTAAATGATTGTAAGTGTGATGATTCGTAGTAGTGATATTGGAAGGGCATAGGAAAGACACCTACGGCCCTGGTTTTCTGGAAATCGTCAGCGGTCCGGGGCCATTAAACGCGTTATATGTGTCTTGCAATTTGATCCCACGGTGTAGAGAGAAGAGTACACCCGATCGGAGAGTAATTTACGCAAATTCCTGGTCATCTCTGGACTCTCTGCAGGTGGGCCTCTTGGATTTCTTCTTGATCTTTGATGCCTCGGTATCACACACACGCTCAGGCAGACACATATACACAGTGATAGTTACTTTTATCTAATAGTCTACACCTTAAGAAGACTAGTTTAGAAATTGATCAGATAAAACCAAGAGAAGAAACCAGGACACGGCAGGATTTCGCACAATCCACGAGCCGATTTTTCTTACGCTAATTCGCCCAAGACGAAGACTTATCGGTAATTAATTTTTTCGATGCTGTTGTTAACAAAAAAAAAACAAACATTTCTTTTTAATATCAAAATATTTTTATAATTTCATGCTGTTAAATGACATTGGATTTGTAATCAGGTTTGAAATGTTGCAAGTGTTTGACTTGTTGTTTCTTTTATTTTATTCTTTTTTTTCTTTCTCTTTTCTTTTTTAAACATTTGAATATTTATGTTATAACTACAACTATTTAGATAATTGTGGTTATTTAAATTTAATTACATTTACAGTGTAAATGAACGTGTAGTATTGAGGAGTAATGCAAGGCATGATGCCAGTTAAGACAAAATCTCGTATTCCTGAGACAATGGGAGTAACCAATGGATTGGTGGACGCAAGAGCGAAGCAGGTTTTGAGGGAGGCTGTAGATGCGGTCGTCAATAGCTTTGCTAAACATACTCAGGGTTACGGAAGAGGTTTGTTCTTTTTTTTTTCTTTTAGTATTTTCATTCTATGTATATTGGAAATACAATTGAAGTTAGATAAAATGTTTACATAATTACAATATAATAATATATGTTTAGTGAATGTGGTAGAGGCGTTGCAAGAATTCTGGCAAATGAAGCAAAGTAGAGGCACAGAATTAAGAAATGGAGCATTAGTTATTTACGAATCTGTCCCAGGTGCTAGTCCACCATATGTTTGTTACGTAACCCTTCCTGGAGGATCTTGCTTTGGAAGTTTCCAAAATTGTCCTACCAAAGCTGAAGCACGTAGATCAGCAGCTAAAATAGCATTAATGAATTCAGTATTCAATGAACATCCATCACGAAAAATTACTGATGATTTCATAGAGAAAGCTGTTGCCGAAGCAAGAGCAAGTTTCGCTAAACCTTCCACTACGCCTAACAGCGTTGGCAATCAAACTCAAGTAATTTCTTACGCATGTTATATTAAAATGTATTGGATATATAACAATGAAAATAATAATAATAATAATAATAATAGTAATAATATATATATATATATATATTTTTAAGATCAAAATGTATTTTCAGGGAAATGGCGATGACAAGGAAGATCCGAACACCGGCATTGGCGCATTCCGTTTCATGTTGGAATGTAATCGTGGTAGGACAATGTTAGAGTTTCAAGAACTTATGACAGTTTTCCAGTTACTTCACTGGAATGGTTCATTGAAAGCTATGCGAGAAAGACAGTGCAGTAGACAAGAAGTAGTAGCGCATTATAGTCATCGTGCATTAGATGACGATATGCGCAGTCAAATGGCGCTTGATTGGGTTGCTAGAGAACACGAAAGCGGTGGCGGAGTTGTTGCTATGGAATTAGCCTTAGCCGAAAGAGAACTCGAAACAGCACGTTTGGCAGGACGCGAGCTTAGATTTCCAAAGGAAAAGAAAGATATACTAATGTTGGCTCATGCTCAAGTTTGTCCCCAATGAATTATTATTTGAGGTAATATCAACCCTTTGAAACTTTATGAGACTGGTTTTTTGAAAATTGGATCATTCAGAAAAATAAGCAATTCCTGTGCCTTAGCAAGGATCGAATTTTCAAAAATAGCGATTCACCCTTCATTTGTTATTCATTTTTTAATCATTAGACAATTGTATTTTATCAAGGTTAACTTTTGTTCTTTTTTTTTTTCTTTTTTTTGGAAGAAATATATTACACAAAGAATTTTGTGATAATACACTTTCGAAGGAATTTGAAAATTCAAAGCAAAGTGTGTGCCCAGGGTATTTTAAGTACTTAATCTCTGCTAGATAATCAATTGAAGCAGAAATAGGGTAGACGTTTAATGTACTACGTATGTTTGTAAGCGTTTTAAACACATAAATTTGTCTTCCATTTTTTGTATTATTTTCTTTTTATAAATAATACGAAGCGTATTTTATATACATATATATACAGAGTGATAAAAAGAAAAAAGATTCGATATTTGAAGGACTTTTAATACTATGTGTCGATTCAATATGTTGCCAAAAGAGCTTGCTTACAATATTGAACGCTCATAAATAATAAAAGTTTATTTATTTCGGAAGGGTTGATTTTAAGATTTATGTTGATTAGACATTTTTTAATTGTCTCGATAAGTACTATAAGCCCTTCAAATATCGAATCCTTTTTTTTACCACCCTGTATATATAAATATTTACATCCCAGTTATATATGCTTAAACACATATTGCGCTTATCTTGTATGGTACGTGTATGATAAATGCATAAAGAAAGAAACATACACGTATAAAGATATATATATATATTAATATTCAAAGAGATCAAAGTGTCTTTAAATATTTTTATATAATGTAGTATGTGAGATCGAATACGTCCATGAATATACAAAACTTATATAAAACGAAGACATTTTCATTGTGCCTGAAGATAAGTGATTACGACATAGTAGATCTACAATTGTTTCAATAATATTTTATTATTATTATTATTATTAAAATTATTATTATTAAAATTATTATTATTATTAAATATTGATAAATACATTTTTTTAAATATAAAGTTACAATTTTCACTTATACCTTCAATTTAACTATAAGCAATATTAAGTTGGTGTAGCGGCATTTACAGTATCCTTAGACAACGTCGTCGTGGGTGAGTTTTGTTCTTCTTCTTCCAAAGGATGGGCAAGTATTTTATCTATTATTCCAAACTCCTCTGCTTGAGGAGGAGACATGAAATTATCCCTTTCCATACAGTTCTCTAATATAAATGATGAAATTAATTTAAAAAGAGCATATAAAAACATAATGAAATTATTGTTATAATTGACCTACGTATTTTTTCTAGTTTCTGTCCTGTATGTTTGACATATAAGTTATTTATTTGTTTTTTAAGTTTTAATATCTCTACAGCTTGAATTTCTATATCCGTGGCTTGACCGGATACTCCTCCCGATGGTTGATGAATCATAATTCTAGCATTAGGTAAAGAATGCCTCATGCCCTTTTCTCCAGCAGCTAAAAGTAAGCTTGCCATTGAGCATGCCTGACCTACGCACCACGTTGCAACAGGTGGTAAAACATATTGCATAGTATCGTAGATACCCAGCCCTGCTGTTACACTACCACCAGGCGAGTTAATATACATATGAATAGGATTTTTACTACTCTCTGATTGAAGAAAAAGTAATTGAGCTATAACCACTGAGGAAACATTATCTGTAATCTATTTAAAGAAAAATAGAAGATAAATTACTTTTTATTAGACTGTTAAATAAAAATGGTAATTAAAATCATAAATTTTTTTGTGTATATTTTCTGTAATAAAAAGTAAATATTACCGGACCCATAAGGCAGATTATTCTCTCTTTTAAAAGACGAGAATAGATATCATATGCGCGTTCTCCTCTTCCACTTTGTTCCACTACTATAGGCACAAAATTTAAGTAACGCGTGCTTAGTTGTTGACCATAACCCTATTTTCAAAAGAAATACATAAATCAATTAAATTTATTCTATTTATTTTTTATTATCCTAAAAATCATTGGAGTAAAAATACGTACAGTAATACGTAGTAAACTATTGATTTTTTGCAACATTTCCACAAGTTTTTTTTTATAACTAATATTTTGTTTTTTATTTATAATCGTTGATTAAGCTCATTAGTTCTTTTGTATTAATATTAAATACACTTAAACCTAAAGAAACAAAAAAAAAATAGTAAATATACCAACATTTTAATAGTTCATAATATAAGGCAATAGTTTGAATAAAAGAAATACCACCTCTGGTAACGAAACCTGTTCACAATGTTAAGATTAAATTATTTAACAAACATTAATAGGAAATATAATGTCGAGAAAAATGACATATAGAAGTAAATTACCTGAATTTTTTAGGTTATGTTTTGATATTCGTATCGTTAAAATATCAGAAGATCTCAGTCGGTAATAGTAAAGGATTTTTTATCATACAATTTTTAATTTGTATTATTATGACATATAAAATTGAATACTTATTATTTTAAATATTTTTTTTTCAAAATTATTTTACTTTAAAATTTAATATTGTTACAATTTTTTATATTTGAAAGCAAAAAATGTTTTACCATATGAATATTGTAGTTTAGATAGAATTTTAGTGAATGGCAGTATTATCAAATGTTATGCAATTTGTAGGTTAAAATAAACATTAGATTTATGAATTAAAAAGACTTGTATAATATTAAATTAATATGAATTTAAAATAACACTGAGAAGTGTGTGTTATTTGTTAATTACTTTAATTCCTAATCGGAATATATATGAGTTTGTGCGACGATATATATCTTACTATCTGCAATAATGTTATCATTATTTATAAAAAACAATTCAATAACTAAATTATTGGTAAATTCATTAAAATCATCTCTTATACTTTCACAAAAACGTACAGTATATAAACCAAGTTCATTATTACGTAGAATATTAGAAAAACAAAGGTATTTGAGAACATTTGTTATTTAAATTTATTATTATTGACTTGTAACTATTACATTATTATTAATATTATTATTATTATATTTACTTACAGGATAAACAATGAAACTAAATTCTCTTTGATAAGATGTAAACAAACACATTCATTAGATATAAAGCCTATTTTAGTTAATAACGTCATTTTGTATAAAAAAAAATATTTTAAACACGTATTCATTCACTTATTTGGTTTATGCAACACTGCTGCTTGGTTATTCTTAATTTGTTATTGCTGCAGAGATATATATCGGTCTTTTATGACTGTACCATTTAACAAATTTTTAGGAAACAATTATCCTATTATTTGTATGTTTATGGCTACAACGCTCGTAGGTATATATGAAAATTATGAAATCCAAAAGATGCAATTAATTTGTACATATGATCTACTAATCATTATATAAATTGATAAATGATAAATATTTATTTCAGGACCATTGTTTTATGTGTTCGCATGGTTTCTTAACGCGCGTTTAATCAAATGCATTATCTTACATAAAGGAGGCAATCATATTAGCTTTGTAACTAATCATCTATGGAAAAGCAGAAACACTATAACTACTCCTATCGAAAAGGTAAGAGTAAATTTGATAAGAAAATAAATATGTTACTGTACTTACAGTATGCATATATTTATATATTATATTATTATGTAAATAAAGATGTTAATAATGTTGAATATTTTTAAGGTATATAGCTTACATTCTAGAACTGAAAAAGCAGGAGTATATACGCCTATCAAAATAGAATCTTATAGAATGCATTTCTTAATCGATAAAAATGGCAACTATGTAAATAAGGATTTATTTGATTACGCGGTTATGTTTAAACAAAATGTGAAAGTAACATAATAATACAATTTTTGATTCAAATTATAACAACGATCCATTAATCAGTAACCTTTTATTTAGTAGTTATATTTCTATTAATATATCTTAAGAAGTACAAATACAAAATAAATAAAATCTTTTCAAATATAAGAAACGTATAAAAATCTCTGATTAGTGCATCTGTAACTTATCGTTAACAATATCATTATGTGGAAATATATTTATATATATATAGAGAGAGTATTGTGTTTTATTGCACCAGTATTAACAGATTTTAATCGCGATTAACTGTTATATTTATGAAGTTATTTATAATTATTTGGTTTTCTTTTTAACGTGTGTGTGTATGCATGAAAGTTATTAGGTAGCTTTCAAAATCGTCAGTATCTTTGATTATGTCGATCATAATATTTGCCTGAATATTTACTATAACGATCGCTATATCCATCTTCTTGATATTTGTCTTCAGCCTTATAAAAGACTCCAGGTGCAGATCCAACATGTTTTTGCCAATAACGCGTCCAGTAGAGATCTTCTGGATTTATATCTTGTGGATGCTTAGCATTTCTGAATACATGTACACAATATATAAGACTCCCCATCAAGGTTAAGAACCCAAAAACAAGAAAAACTATACCTAAAATCCTTAAAAAAATAAATTGTTTGATTAGAAAGATGCATAATTAAAAATATATTCGTAAAGTGATGCACTTACCATACAATCAATAATTGAAAGAATTGTATAACTATAATGATACCCAAAGTTACAAGGATTAAACCAAGATTCAAAATTAACATAAGACAACAAATTCCTTTTGTATTTGGGCAAAAAGGATTAGGTGTCGACATAGTTTCTATTATAATACCATCTTTCCTTGAAGTTTGCGTCTTAACTGTTGATATTCCAGATCTCCCAGAACCATAACTGTAATGACTAGGAGCTCGATGATCCATTCTAGAGCTTGGGGCAAGACTATGATGAGATCCCCGACTAATGACAAAGAATTACTTTACTCTAAATATAATTATTCCTAGAGTTTATCAGTCATAGTAATTGAACATAGTTATAAAACCTTATTTCTGAAGTTGTTCTATAAGCAGCGCTTGTAACATAAATATCTGAACCATTATCACAGATACTACCATGTGATGCACTTTTATTAAGTGGATGTCGAGATGGACCAGAAAATACAGACCCACGACTATTGTGTGCACTTTGTGATCTGCTCTCCTCACTTTGGTCATATTTTTCTTTACGATGTTTTCTTGCCGGTATGACTGGCTTCACCTAGAAGAGTGTATAGAATCTTAATTTAATTTAGCCCCCAAAATTATATCTATATGTAAACTTACCATCGTAGTATGGTCATTGGTCACAATGTACTCTGACATAGTATGGTCTGAAGGAGCACGTTGACTTTCTTCTCCATCTGTCAGATAATCACGATTCATACCTCTATGGTAATCTAAATATCTTGATGTATGAGGCATGTTGATTTTTTTTATAAACCTTTTTAACAACTTGTATTTTTATTAATAGGTTTATCACCTTCTTTTTTCATTTAACAGAGATCAAATTCATAATAAGAAGTATAACTGATCCTAATGCATAGAAAAATTGAAAGACAAACTTGGATATTTAAATATTCTTTTAAACGAGTTAATTCAAAATACTCACAGTTAATATTAATGAAGAATATATAAATTATTTGGATACCATCGTAAGCCTAAAGCAAAGTAGCCTAATTTATTAGATGATAACTTTTTTATAATTCTAGGAAAAAGAAATATATATAAAAAATATAAAAATAATTTCGTATATATAGCAGTAGATTATATACATTTATTATTATTATTATTATTATTATTATTATTATTATTATTATTAATCCATTTCTGAAAAGTAAGAGTCTTATAATTCAGTATACAAGTACATAATGTATTCATTATTGTCTCTCTCATTTCATAATTGCATGTAATTAAAAAAAATGATCACGAAAACATTGTCATATTTGTAAGCGTAGGTTGTGTGTATGTATGCATGTATGCATGCATGTTGTATTTTATTCATGTATCAAATACTAATTTGGTATGATGATGTCATTTAAGAAGGTCGTGATCGACGTCCTCGATAGGTAATAATGATCGCACAAATATTTTATCGATACAATCATTATTCTTTTCTTATATACAAAGATCGTAAATAATGTCACAACGTTTTATTGTCGCAATTAGAAAAATACCATTAATTTTTAATTGAAATATTGTGTAAGCAAAATTGCAATGAAATTTGATTGAATATCAATGTTTCAGTATTCAAAAACAACGTTTATCAATATTCAAATGTTTTCGATTTTCATAATAAGAAAAGAACAAAGAAAAAATTAAAAAGTAAAAAAAATGATTTGTTTTTACCTTAATTAATTCTTTTCTAAAAATATAAAAAAATTTTAAGTAAAAGTCCACATCCTTTGCGCATGCGCATTACATCATATCGTCGTGTATGCACTAGATCGTAATTTTGTTGGAACCACTTGTTGATTTATCGGGGAAAAATTGAAAATAGAGAGAATTCTTACAATTGCTATACATCACCCACTGATATTTATAATTTTGAATATAAAATATATAGAAAAATAGAAAAAGATACGTAATATTAATTGTCAATTCGTGTAAAACGGGTGTTTATTATTTTCGTTTTACTTTCTATTCGTGGTAGTCGTTGGTATCAATTTTTTACAAGTCAATAAGTATTTTATATAATCTAAAATAAATAAAATATATGTACATTAATACAAAAAGTGTAGAAAAATAAAAGATCCTTTTTTTTTATATTATAACATTCTTCAAGTGTTTAAAATGTTGAAAACGTGGAAATCAACTTACTTTTGTTCTAGTATACCTCCTATCCTCCTTATTTTAATCGGAATGCACTACATCAAGTGTTCTCCAAGTAATCAAAAGTCCTTGATTTCACTAATATTTGAATAATATGTTAAATATTTTCAGGCAGCTTGATATTTTATATATTCGAGAAAAATATATAGTTCGTTAAGAAACATCTTTTTACACTCAATATTTTCTTATTCGACATGAAACAATTAGTTCGCATCGAGTTAACTACACTGTAACGCTTACGAATGTGTACAAACGCTTCACTGACTCTCGTACTACACTACTACTATTCTACTATTCTACTACTACTACTACTACTACTGGAGAGAGTGGTGTGCCAAAGCGAAAGGTGCATTCATCGCGGTTTAAGCTTTAAAAACGCTTCTGTATCGCCTTTAAAAGGCAAGCTAAGGCCGACCACTTTCGCACTTTTATTATATTCAATCCACCTAATTAACAATCTTTATATTCAAAAAACATCAACTATAAATTACTATTATTTTGAAGATAGATCTAAAAGAAAACATTTATTCTGTAACACTCCTTTTATTAAAAGAATTTTTTAATTAAAGTATATTATTTCTTTTTAAATATCTTAATCGCTTATTATTTTCTATTATTTTAAATTTCTTATTGCAATCATTTATTTATCTCCGCACACGCATATTTAAATGAGGATACATTTATAAATATTTTCGAGTCTTTCACATAATTAAAATTTGAAATATCTCTTCAAAATTAAAGTAACCAATAGCAGAAAAGAATTATTTTTGCCAACCAATCAGACGAATTTATGCAAGCGTACACACGTTTCTATTAGTGGAAACTTAAATTCGAGAAAGAATCCCGCTTTGTAGACTGCGTACTCCTGAGACACTTATATATTTTGTTTGTAACATTTTTGTATTTTTTTTTTTTATTGAGTGATTTAATTAATATATATCTATGTAATAATATTATTATATATTCTATTAAACGTATACGTTAATGGATTTTATCGTCTGGATTTTTGGATAATTGTTAAAGTATAAATATATTACGTAAGTCATTTGCAAAATTAATGATAATAACGCGCGTTATATTTATTATTAAAATATAAAATTTTTCGTTAATTAAAATAACAATTCTTATTAAAGCTAAAATTATTGTAGTATAATTATCAAAGATTGATTATTTTTTTATATACTGAAGTTTTAGGTTAATTACTTCTGCTTTCGCATCAAAATTAAACATCAAATTTGTTAATTTTAGGGATACATTTAACATAGACAAATCTTACACAATAAATATCTTTTTGATTAAAAATTAAAATTTTTTTGTCATATCTTCTGTATGCAATAATTAGATTTTTATGTGAGTGAAGGATGTAAGATGTCCCAGCACGGTGCTGCACTACAAACATATAATCAAGAATTAGTAAAATGTAAGTTTATTTTTATTGGAATATTTATCATTTCTTCTTTCCATAATTAGATTTGTTAAATTTTCTTGACAGTTTTTCTGAAACTTTTTCAAGGTTTAGAAGAAATGAAATTAAAGAGAGCAGAACTGCAAACCCAAATTGACTCGCAAGAAGAAGAAAAGAATAATTTACAAAGGGAGATAGAAAAAATGTCACATAAACTTACACGACTGAACGATAGCCTTGCAAAAAGGGTAGCAGTTAGAAATGAATATGACAGAACTATTGCGGAGACTGAAACAGCATACATGAAAGTAAGTTATATTTATTTACAGTAATTCCTATTCATGAATTATTTTAGATTTGGAATTTTTTTAGATTTTAGAAAGTTCGCAATTATTACTTAATATGATTAAAAGAGAAGCCACAAATTTAGATCAATCATTGGTGAAGGCCAGTATGGATAAACAATTTAGACAATGATCAATGAGTTAACAAAAATATTAATAAATTTTGTATAATGTATTTGTTAAAACATATACATTATAATGTCTATTAAAGGAATCGATCTAGCGATTTGTAACGAGTACAAAATTGTAATTATTTTCTATAAGATGATAGACTATTTTGTAATTATTATACACGATGCCGAAATATTAATAATGTATTGTACAAATTTTTCATAATTTATTATTTATAAACATAATAATGTATATATATATATATCTATTTTGTAGTTGTATGATTTATAGTCATTTGACTAAGTATTTTTTTCGTAGGAGTATTTTTTTGTTATTAAAAAATTGCGAATATAATATACTTAGAAATATAACGATGATGTATTAATAGTTTCTAAGAAATTTAATTCATATTTAATATTAGTCAATTATCGAAACTAATTCGTATCGTTTTAACTTTCCTATAATAAATAATTGTTCTATAAATTACATAAAAAGACTGACCAAAGATTGTAGATTCATTTATATAATTGTATTTTATATTTGTAGAAATATATGTAATAATATTATTTTATATAATACTTCATTCTTTTTAATTACATGACTATTAAATAGAACCTACAATATAATAACAATAAATAATTTATTTAGAAGTTAATAATATTGTTGTATTCCTATTAAGATTTGTTTTTTAATTTGTACTGACGAGTACAGGAATATACCGTATATAGTTTAATATTTGCGAACAATAATAAGAAATTTTGTTTCTCTCTCTCTTAATTAAAACAATAATATAATAAATTAAGTAAAGTTAAACTATTTGTATATTCCGTGTCGAATAATATACTTTACATATAGTTTATGCATTTCCAAGAGCTTTTTGTTCGTTCCAAACTTGTAATAATTCGTTAGGATTTCCATACCCATGAGAAGTAATTACATATTTATAATTGAATTTGGTATAATCTTTTTTATAAAAATGAAATTCTTCGCAATGAAATGGTTCTATATCGGCTTTCTTAGCTACTAGACCCATAAAAATGTCATCGAATTTGAAGTGTTTCGTATAAAAACTGGTATAATACATATCTAAGAGAGCTTCTCGTGAAAGTATATACGCGCCAGCTGTAATGTATGGTGGCCATAAATGATACGGATATTCTTCCAATGAAACATACCATTTAGATGATCTATGACGATGTGGAGATGAAACGAATACAAAACCTGCAAATAATCTCACATCTTCTGGAAGTTCAAAATCAAATACTTGTCTTTTCTTACGAACCAATGATTCCGTCTCATTATAAATATATAACGTCGATATATCTTTAAAAATTCTTTCTTCATTTATACTGTTGTTTATTTTTGTAAATATATTTTGAGTATTTTCGCTATTGTTATTTAAAACTGTAGTTAGTTGATTTCCTAGACTGTAGTCTGGATTACTAACATTTTCCTGAGTAGCAGAGGCAACTTCAGATAACTTTACTAATTTCGCATTAGAAAGTAATTTTTCTTTAACATTAGTACTTGTATCGGATATATATTTTGTAATTAAATAATTATTCTCATTCTCATTGTTCAATAAATTTGATACATGTGAGAAATTTCTTTTCGATTCATATGGGTATCTTATTTCTCTCTTTTGAGAAATCTTTTTTGGTTCTTTTAAATAATCCGGATAATTGGTAGGATTTCTTATAAATCTTAAAACATTTTTAACTGAAACATACATGTCGTCATCGACAAACATATAAAATTTGGAATTAGAGCAGTATTTAACTGCCCATTTAAAACCCATCATCGTTTTTATAGTATTATTATAGTATGTGTCTATAAAATTTGCTTGTACGATATCTTTGTATTTCGTTGCTTCAAGTTTTATTTTAGCTTGTAGTTCTTCGTCTTGATGAGGTATACCTAATAGGAAAACTGTTCTCGACGGAACATCGAAAAACCTTTTTTCAAATCCCCATGAATGTCTTATTGCTATTCTTCTATCAAAGTTTTTTATGGCTGATTTAATAATGTATACTATACGAAATTTACTACGTTCACTTTCAATGCATTTCTCTTCGTTGTTGTGTATAAAAGAATAATTATATACATTGATTGGATCGACAGCAGGTTTTTGATTGTATCTCAACGCATTTACAAATTCATGTACGTCGCCATTATAAGGATAAGAAAAATGTTCGTCGTACATAACTTCAAACATATGAGTAAATGCTCCAAAATAATTCAAGATCATAATAAAACTAATGGAAAGAATAATATATTTGAACTTCGATACAAGCTTGTAGCTTAACCGGTAACAAGGACGAAGTAAACAATACATTTTATCACAGTCTGAATTTAAAAATTATTTTCTTACATGCCACGTTATTTAATCTATCTTTAGTCTTTCTTATTCGTAAAGCAACATATCTATAAAAAAAGAATTAAAATAATTCTATTAACAAAATTATTCCTTTTGTACAAGTTGCATAAAATATAAAATACTTACAACTCTGATTTTACTAAAAAATGTTTTATATAAGTTAAAATCAGATAATAACCAAAAACATAATAGTGCGATGGTTTATTTGATTATTGCATTTCTAGTGCTTTTCCGTTGAAATAGATTTTCCTGAATAATAAATAAGTTATCAATTGGCACTAAGGTAATATATAGATTAGAATTTTATATTTTATATTTATAAATGGCACTAATGAGTTAATATTCCACGTGAGTCGATCAAAACATTTGCAGACAATAAATTCGTTGACATCCATTGATACCGATTAAGAATGAAATATAACCTTATTTCATCTATATTAAGTTACTTTAATTCAAATAATTTTATCAATTATATTATTAAATATATTCTTGTTTGTTTCTATTATTAACCCTTTCTAATTGACGTTAACCAAATTATAGATTAATCGAATTATAATCGAAATATTATCGATATTGCCTATCGAAATTTATAAAAATATTTTATTTCGATAATGTACGGATTTTTATTTCCGTATAAGATTCAAAAAGTAAGATAAATAAAAAGAAGTTAAAATTAAAATAAATTAATAAATGTTTTTTTTTAATTACATAAATTAACATTAAAAAAAGATGTTTGGAAGGCGGGAAATTCAACTGAGATTTTTACGAAATTCGAAATGTCTTACTGCAATGAATTTTAATAAAACATATTAAACTAATTGTCATAAAAAAAGAAAAAGAAAATGAAGAAATCTTTTCAACAAAGTACCTCAACAATATCGAGAGATCATATTATCGAAAAGAAACCTTTTGGATTTTGCTGCAATAAGAAAAATTTAGATCCTGAAACCTTTTATGATAGACGACGACCACCATTTAAGAGTTCTTTGACTAACGTAGTTGTTGGAAGTGGCGGTCAAAGTTTAAAATTTCGCGTTCAAGATATCGCTAAATTACCTTTTCCAATTCAACGTATTACTTCTAAAACAAAGGGTACAGCATTTCTTGGCGATTGCAAACACTGTCGAAAAGCATTGCGTTGGTATTTAGAAGATGAAATTGCACTCGCTCGAAACATTTATGCACGCGAAAGACAAAATCAGTATAATTCACAAATGGATAAAAATGTCGAAATAGCCAAACATAAGAGTAAAATTATATTTATTTTTATTTGTAATTATTATTTTTTTTTTTTTTATAACGAATCATAATTTAGGAAAAAGATTTGATCAATTTCAATTATTGATTTAGAAAAATGGCGTAAGGATCGTAGAGCAAAACGTAAAGAAGGAAAAATGTAAGCACGTATTTTTAAAAATTAACTTTACTGAAGACATTATATTAAAGATTGTAATTTGTAATTTAGCTCTTTGACTTATTTTTCTACTTATTATTGTAAAATTGGCATTTGGATAAATAAAATAGTTATTTGATGTAAAAATGTAAATTCTATTACATACGGATGATAAAGAATATTTCTGAAATATTTTATTAAAAAATATATTTAAGCAGAATACAAAAGTTCGTATAATTTTAAAGTTTAATCACAATTTATTATTAATTTTAATAGAATTTATGGGTTCTTTTAGTAGCGTGTTTTATATAGGAACAAAAACAGAACTAAATATATTGATATGTGAAATTAATTAAAATTCACAAATAATAGTAATAAAAGATCAACAATTATATTAGAAGCTATTGACTAAATTTATAACGTTGATAAAAAATTTATAAGCATTGCTCTTATTACATACTTTTTATCTGTCCACAGTAGTATTAACAGAATATAAGATATATTATATCTCATACGACAAATATATTCTTATTGTGAACGACGCGTATAATATATTTTAAATTATTAATAACTAAATGTATAAATCGATAAATTTTTTAAATAGTTATTAACAAATTCTTTCAGTAGCAAATATGAAAAATTATTTTTCTAAAATACATATAACACGAATCAGAACTTAGTGTCAATGATATAATAAAGAATACGATCCAAAATACTTGAAAAGTTAACGAAACTAATTTCTATATATGTAGATTTCTATCAATATAAAGAATATGGAAAATATTATACAGCTTCATTCAGTAATAATTAATTAATTTCATCTGTTTATCACTTTAGTAATACTGATATATATTTTTAGTTGTTTTGATCTTTTCATACTTTCAATTTATTAAAACAATTAATTGAGTATTGAGATTCGTACAAGAAAATAAAATTTTACAAATTATTTGTAAGAGTAATAAAATTGAAAATAATTCTTCCTTTCCTATTCAATATCAATTGAAATTAAAAAAAATATAATGATATTTAATCGTAATAATTTTTTCGAGTGTCAATATTGAAAAAGAATAATTTGTAATTATTGAAAATGATATACTGTGGATAGAAAATATCTTTATAATAAGCAAGCACGATCCTTACACTGATTTAACGGATTAAATTGAATTAATCTTTGGTGAAGTATTTGTTAAGTAGTGGCACGTGAAAGTTTTTATTAAATAATTAAAATTAACTTCGTTTCAAATGAATAATAAGTTTGATCAGTGAAATATACCTATATTAATAGAATTATGTATGTGCAATAGGTATATATGCACGCACCAGGTAAAAAAATTATATCATTATAAAAAATACATAATAATAAAAAAGAAATCTGTTTACCATAATGAAAAGAAAAATGAACATCATAAATTAACTTTTATACCATTTTTTTTTAATCCCTCCTTGGAACTGTTATTACTTTATATTTGACTTTGTTAATCCTGTTATAATGATACCATATGCATGGGAATGTCATTTTCTACGGCTACGGTAAGTACTTCTTTCTTCCTATTACTCTTCTATAAGTTTACCGTATCACCTTTTTTATGAATTTTTATCTTAGTTGTCCTTCATTATAAGTTTCTTCCATTTATGTTTTCTTTTTATAATTTTATATGCATTTACAAAATCAGTCTTACATATAAGCAATCATTTTGGTGATTCTGTAATATTTTTATTTACAAGTAAACTTTTTATCATTATTGCTATTAATATATTAAAGTATGATTCTTTAAATAGCGAATACTTACTGTTGTTTTCCAATAGAGGACTATACACTTGTATCTTTTGAGTTAATTTTCAAAGAACTTTCAGTTACCATACTTTTTTCTGATATTTCTGAATTAGAAATGTCTAATGAACAAGTAACTGTATCTTCTTTTACAGAACTTTTGTCAATTTCATCATTAACAACTATTTCAACTACTTTGAGGTCAGTTTCATTTGAGACTGGTGCATCCAATGGACACTTAGTTTGTTTCTGTTCTAATAACTCTTTATTACTATGATCAGTATTGGTAATTACGAGTTCGGTTGGTCCTTCTACATCTTTGTTATCCTTCTTTTCATATATATCAGTATTCTCAATATTCTCTATATTCATGGATTCCTCAGTTTCGTTATCTTTTTGAGTATCTTCGATCATATTCTGTATTATATCATCGATACTAAGTTCTTTTAAACTAAAAAAAACATTTGCATCTTCTTCAGATGAAGTGTTGCATTTATGAACACATTCTTGTTCTAATAATCCTGTTGAATTATTTTCATCCATAGAACATATAATGGTATCACTTGGTTCTCTTGCTTCTTCGTTCAATTCTTTAGGATTTTCTTTTGTATCGTTTAATACAGTATTTGACTTCATATCGTTATTAGTTATTTCTTCCTCTACTATATGCTTTTCGGCTTTGGTGTCAGTACTTCTGCACAAAGGCAAAAGGATTTCTGTAATATCTTGTCCATGCATGCTTAATTTGACATGCATAGGATCTTCATCATCAAGAACTTCAAATTGAAACATAGTAGCACCATAAGCTGCAAGATCTTTAAAAGTTTGACAAGCTTCTTCGGACCAAGATGAAATATAATCTGGCATTTGTAGACCACATCTTTTTGACAATTTAGGAATATTAACAATATCTTCGGGTAGTAATCTTAATTCTGTAATTATAGAAGTATTGCCATAATCTATATAAAAGACATTCACGCCATTTTCGTCTTGCGATAATATTTGTGCTCTGTACCATTCTTCATCTTCGGGATATTTTGCTGCACAAATTGTACCATTCTTCAAATTAGTCAATGGAAGAAAACTCGGTGCGTCTTGTAGACGATCCGATATTATTTCTAATTCAGCCATACTAGCCTCTGCTTGTACCCAAAATTCAGCTGGCGTATTAACGTGACTTATTACTACATTAGGTGAATTTTCTTCTCCAAGAGGTGGTAATCTTTCTTCTATATTCGTTACTTGTTGTTTACAAAAAACAGCTAATAAATCTGCCACATCTATATCATCTAAAGTTAATTTTACCAATGATGTTTCTTGTTCCTTTAGAACATCCAAAAGAAATATTGTAGCGCCATCAGCTGCCAATTTGATAAATTCTTGGCATGCTTCATCAGACCATTCTTTTATATCTTCGGGAAGAGCTAAGCAACATCTTCGAGACAAAGGTGGTATTTTGACTAAATCCTCTGGAATAGCACGAATTTCAGTAGATACAGCTGAATTTCCATAGTCAATGTATAGAACTTCTGTTTCACCATTATTGTGAGATATAACACGTGCTCTATACCATTGTTCATCCTCTGGATATTTAGCAACGCACAATAAATTTTCTGTTATCTCGTCTACCTTGGGGAACATATCTGCAACCATAAATCTATCAGACATTACTTCTAAGTCAGCAATGGATTTTTCTTCTTGAACCCAAAATTCACTTGGTGAATCAATATGACTCACAAATGCAGAATGTGGGTCTAATTCTAACTCTACTATTTCATCTATTAGATCTTGCTCTGCATATATTCTTACAGCATGGTGTTCTTCAACTAACATTTCACTGATACTTTTATCATTTACAAATAGTTCGACTCGTTTTGGTATACTGTCGGCAATTATTAAAGCTTCTAAAGAATCAGCTGTCATTACTAGATTATTAAAACGGTCACAAGTCGCTTCGCTCCAATCTTCCGAATCTACAGGAATAATATCTAATCTAGATTTAGTCGAAAATCTTTTTATTGATTTTAAATGATCTGTCAATGCTCGAATTTTATCTGATTTGTTATCAATTACATCTGTTTTTCCATAATCGATAAATCGTACCATCACAATATCTTCATCGGCATCAAGAACTTCTGCTCTGTACCACATATTATCAATAGAATAAACTGCAGCACAAAGAGAACCTTCTTCTAAGATGCCATTTAGTAATGGACACGCAACAATATAAGTTTGTAATTCTGCCTGTTTTTGTTTAAGAATTTCAGCCTCGTCTGTTAATTGAATCCAAAACTGACTTGGAGAATCAATGTGAGACACTATCACATTATATTTTTGATTAATTATTAATTGAGTATTTTCCAATTCATTTTCAGCCAAAGATTTCACTAAATTCATCGAACGGAATCTATCGCTTATCTTTTCTTCATTATCAAATAATTCAACTACCCACTTCTTATTTATATTAAAAAAATTAGCAGTAAGACATCTATTGGATAATTGTTCTTGTAATATATTTATCTGTTCAAATGATGTACCATTTAGAGTAACTGTTAACGAAGCATTAATTGCTAATTGATATGGTGCATAAAATTGTGGGTCCAGTTCCATAAGTGATTCAATATTAACTTCCTGTGAGTTTCCATAATCAATTAAATTTACATAAACACTCTTGTCAGCTAATTTAATGACTTTTGCTCTATTCCAATAACCATCTTGAGATTTTACAGCATATAACATATTTATCTCCGGTTTTGATACTTTTTCAAAGTTAGCATAATGTTGTTTCAATGTTGCCCCCAATTGTACATCTTTCTCGGCATCTACATTACGTTGTAGCCAGATACTTCCTGAATGATCTGCGTATGATACTATTACTTTATAAGTTTGATTTAAAATAGGCATAGGCAAAATGGGATTAATTTTTTCATCCAAATCCTTTTCATTTTTTATTTTATTACCCATTAAATCATATAATTTAACGATAAGTCTACAATAAAGAAAATAAATTTATATTAAATTATTTATAATTAACATTCACACACACATAAATTCAAATTATTATTACAATTACCTGTTATTATTGACTTCTTCGACATATATTATCAATTCCTTATTCTCAATCGTTTCTTTCCAATTTGTATTTGTTTCAAAATATAATGCATTAAAAAGGCAGCATTCTATTGGTTTACTCTGTTTATCAGTTTACATTTATATAATAATATAGTAAAAAATAATTGATCTCATTTATTTCATATTATTTTATACAATTAAATGATGTGATACTATACCTTATATTCCTTGTTAATCATAGATTTATCGTCGCTACAGTCCAAAAATGAAGAAAGCTCAATATAAAATTTGCTTGCACTTTCTACATTACAAACTTTTACTTTTAATGTCTGTCCGTTCAAAAGACCTATGTCTATTTGTTGTATTTCAAGCTGTTTTTCTAATTCATTAATTGAATTATCTGTTAAAAGAAAAGTTTTTTCAATTTTAAAGATATTCACATAACTTAATATGAATTTATTTCAATATGCATAATGTATTTACCCTCAGCAGACATGGTAGTATCTGCTACAACATAAGATGCCAGATTCTTTTGTACTAATGTACAAGTAACATCTTGTTCACAATCATTCAATGAAACAATATACTTATCATTTTCTATACTATGAAATAAACATCCATATTTATCAGCATTGAAACAATCATCAATTGCTTGTGTATTAACTTCAGACCATTCTGAATTTACAAATGGTTTAATATTTTCCAATGAACAATAGTATGCTTGCTTTGGAAGTTGCATTAATTTTCTTTCAACTTGGTAAATATTATTTTTATTTACCAAAGAACGATTTCCAAAATCAATATATTGCACAATATATTCGTCATTTTTATTTTCAATAATTTCAGCACGATATAATGCTTTATCTTCGGAAAATATTGCTATTGCAGGTGATCCTATCTGTGTGCATGAATAAAACATTAATGTTATTTATTATAATGATATTTATATTATTACATCTGATAAAACTATATAAAAAATATAATAAATAAGTAAATATTAATACCTGCAGCGGATGCATAATAGGCTTTCTATTAACGTATAATTTTTGTATTTCATTCATCATATTTCTAAATTCTAACTCCTTATCAAGTGTTTGACAATAAAAATTGTTAGGATTTATAAACCACGTGATTATTACATCTTTGCAAGATCCAAACTCAATCTGTTCTACCACCCATTTTGAATTAGATGATACGTAATCATATTTATTAGATTGTTCTGTTGTGCCTGTTTGTGTTATTTGATCTAATGCTTCCTCTCTCAATTTCATTATATCAGTGCCAACGAAGAAATCTTCATTTATATATTTAGATCCTGGTATATTTTCAATAATTTCACGCAACATTACTTCGTATATATTATTTTCTTTTTTTATAAATTCAACCTCTAAATCTTTTTCATTCGTTTTATTTAAAAAACTTTCAATCAAATTTGAATCCCACGTTTGATTTTTTACTGCAAATAATTTACAATTAATAGATTGCATCGGCAATTTCAAAAATTGCTCTTTAATTGCTTTGATTTTGTCCAAATCAACTGTTTCTACGTTTCCATAATCTATAAATTGTACAACTGCTTGTTGTTTTTCAACAGATTTGATTACAGCTCTATACCATTGAAGATCTTCACTATATTGAGCAATACAATATTTTTCAGGTTTCATTTCTGAATGTTTTAAAATATCTCCACCATTTTCATATGTCGATGCGATATCTTTCATAAGAATATCTAATTCTAAATATTCAGGATTCAAATGAATATAAAAATTAGTTGGGCTATTTACAAAAACTATTTCACACGTTTTAATACTCCCAAGTATAACATTTAATGAAGGTATTTTAATATTTTCTGAAAATAATTTAGTTGCTTGAAGTTTTCCACTGTTTTGCGTATTAATGTTCCCATTAATTACTCCTAAATTTGTAGACGTATTTCTAGATTCAGAAGAACTCTCTTTGTTATTAGATATGACATTATTCTTATAATTTGCTCTATCTCTTGAATGATGCACTTTTTGATTATGTTGAATATTTGTTTTTCCACCTTTGTCATTATCATTATCGTTCCATCTGCTATTGTGTAATCTTGCCGATACTCCTTCTGTACGAGGCTTTCCACCGCGACCACGAGCACGACGATTAGAACTATTACCTCTACCTCGTCTACTACTACCTTTGGATGAGGTATCGGAATCTTTATCGCTCCAATGTTTGTCAAAACCGCTACTACGATTGAATCTAAAATCGTTACCAACGGGTCTACCTCTGCTGCGAGAATCTCTTCCAATTTTGTGAAACGGATTTGTATCATTATAATTTCGTCTATTGCATGGCTCATCCTTTATTATTTTGTTATTTCTAAACGATTCCTTACCAAATCGATCATTTCTCAAAGTGTCATGGAAAGAATTCGGTTTTTCATATCTATTATCTTGTTGTCTTTCTCCATTTAAATCATTTCTCCACGATTTTGATTTAGTATGGTCGCAATTACTATCGCTTGCTATGTTTTTAATAAAATCCTCCTTATTTGGATTATCGCTAGAAAAAACAATTCATTCATATTTACTTAATCAAAATAGAAATGCATAATGTATAACAGAAGCAACAAATATGATTATGATTATAATAATACACAAAGCTGTATAAAAGATAATAAATACAATAAAAACAAATTAATTGCGTACATATAGAGAACACTTTTTAATACACAAAAGTAACAAATACTTGTAAAAGTTTTGGCTCCCACTTTTACGTGCATTTTTAATTAAAATTAAGTAAATATACATTAAAGCACAATTTAGTTAGATATTGAAATTAAATAGCATTGATCTTTATAGCGTAATAAATAAATTAATATTAAACAAAATTAAAAATGTATAGAATGCTCTACAAGTAAAACATAGATTGTGCATATAAAGTAGAAGATAATAATGTTTCTTTTTTTTCATTATATTTATAAAGAAGAAGAAAAGAAAAAAAGCAGTAATATTTGTTTTATTGTATATGTTACCGTATTTCTTTTATATTCTTCGATTTATTTTTCACTTGAGGTTCTATATTTAATGATGCCTTTGGATAAGACCTAATATTAACAATAGATTATATTATAATTAATTATCTATTGTAAATATAATAATAAATCTATAAATTGATATATTAAAGACGAAAATTTATCGTTGCAATGTTTAAAACAAACAGACATAAATAAATACATTACCTATGAATCTTTTTAGGGACTTTCATAGAATTTTTATGTTCACTTTCATGAGAATTTGATTTAACGCTTATATTTTTATCCGCATGAACATATCGTTGCAATTGATTCCTTACGTCATCTCTAATCTCAGGATTAAATAAATCAACTACTAAACAACCAGGAAGTACGTCCATAACTTTCATGTATAAAGATTTTTCCAAAATTAACATTTCAAATTGTTTGGAACATTCATCAGTATTAATTGGTAACATTTCATGACCCCTTAGCATACATCTTATCGCTTGTGCTGGTAATTTTGTCACTAAATCATTATGAATTGTAAGCAAAGACTCAGCAGTTAAGGTTTTTTCATTACCATAATCTACATATAAAACTTTTATTCTGTTTTCATCAACGTTAAGAATTTTTGCACGATACCTAAAAATAAATAATCGATAATAATTGTATGTATACATGGTGTGTGTTATTAATAGTAATATTATTGTATATTAATATAGTTGCAATTTACCATTGGGAGTCGTAAAGAGCGGCGCAAGGTGTTCCTACCGATATCAAATCTGGATGCAGACTAGGTGCAGATTGAACATATTCAGCCAAATAAAGCATTATGGATTCAAGAGATTTACCATTATCATCAAGTTGAACAAAAAACTTTTTAAGATTTTCTACGAAGGAAGCGTGTACATTTTTTTCTACACCTTTGGATAATTGTTTCATCTCTTGATATTCGACGATATTTGATATCGTTCGTGGTACTGCAAATGCTTGTCTAAGAATATCTTTTATATTTTTATCATTGTCATACAAATCTCCATATTGTATAAGCGGCGGACCTTCCGGTGGACGGACATGCAAGATAAGTAATCTTCCTGAGACTATTTGTTTAAAATAGCCACACATTTCTGATGTTACGTTTAACTCCTTCACTCCGCTTAAAGTAAATCTTATTGAAAGTACTTTAGGATTAATATATTGTGGTGGTAATTGAAAGATATCTGTATATGGTAATATTTCAGAATGTCCAAAATCAACGTAATACAATTTACACTTATTTTTCATTACAGCCATTACTACTGCTCTGCATAAGACTTTATCCATCGTGTAACGGCCTAAGCATACTGACCCAGGTAATGGAGGTTCTTGTAAGGGTTCCGTTGGATGAGAATTGATATCTCCCATAAGTTTAGATAATATTTCAGACGTACTTTGAATTTGAATAGAGAACTTTTGCGGACCGTCTTCGACGTGAGATACATATACTGGATATTTAGAACCAACTTCTAAGACTCTTGATTTAAATACTAATGCTTCCTGAACTGGTAGATGAGATACAGGTTTGTGTTGTTGAACATTGTAAGGTGTGGGAACATTCCGCCATGTACTCTGACCTTGAATTGCATGATAAGTAGAATGCTGATTAGTTTGCGTTCTTATGCAAGTGTCATTTATCATTCTTCTATCTTGCATTTGATATGATGATATTTGTTGTATGCGTCGTAATCTGAAAAACATATTGAATTCTTGTTATAATTATATAAGAAAAATAAAAGTCACTAATATATATTTTAAGTTTATCATATAAATTTTACTTGAATGAATCTTGCGTCGTAGCATCCAGAGCCATACGTTTTTTTACCAATAATTCTGCAAAGTCTTCATTGTTGTAATATAGTTTAATGAAAGTATGATTCCCCGCGTTAGAAAGGCAGCAAGCTTTGTATTCGTTATATCGTAATATTTTTTTAATAGTTTCTATAATCTCATTATCCCAAACATTATTAATAGGTGCAACGTTTGCTAATGTAAATTCATATGCTACCGGTGGAAATGACTGGAGCGTTTCCGATCCAGGTATGTTTCTCAATAAATACACTTCATGTTGCGGTAAGACTTCAATATTACCATAATCAATGAATTGTAATAAGACTTTACCATCTGGATATATATTACATACTCTAGCACGATAATAACCATCATTTTGGAATCTTGCACAACACAAAGCGTTAATAGATAATCCTTCTTGTAATTCAGGATATCCAGAACCTATAGAAAACTTTTCAAAAAGAGGTAAGATCAATCGTTCAACATAGGTAGCTGAATTTTTATCTGTCTGACCCCATATCTTTAAATACTGATGTTCTGCCTCTATATGGGTTACGAAAATAACGAATTCTGAATTTGGTTGTATAATCGCCATATTAATACTTTCTCTGTAAAAAATATTAATATTATTAATTAAAGATACATTATTACAATCAAACGCATGCTTATTTGTAAATGATACTTTTAATGCATACAAAATTCTGAATATGAATCATATATTTTTATTATTAAAAGTAGAAATACTTTATGAATATATTTTTATAACTAAAATTTATAAGAATAAAATGACTTTACAAGTTTTCTTAATGAAATAATTAAAAACACGTCTAAAACGAAATAATTTGTTTTCTTAATTCTATGTCCTTTTTGTTATTGAGTTTTTGCATGCTTTATCTGTTATTATTTCGAACAGAAATATTGCGTAGCACAATATTTAGAATATTACGATAAATAACTAATTCATCTACCTTCCAAATCTCCTATTTTACATATCCTATTTTGTATTATCTTTTTCGTTACAATATTTTCTTTAAATTGATGACGGTATCTTAAATATTCTTACAATACCTCGACACAATATACCATTCTTCTGATTATTACGGTATTCAGTCTAATTCTTCTATCTAGGTTAATTTTAACATATTGTTCATGCCGCCAACTTTAAATTGATTTTGCATAATTCCACCACCTGTAAATTACTATATACTTTCATTTATTTAATTCAATTAAACTTAATATAAAGTATATAAAAGTAAACAAAATTAATAATTTTTCTTCTAACAATATATCTGTATCAATAAAAATATAATTATTCTAATAAACTTTAATTGTACTTCAGTTTACTACTTGTATATATATCTATTATATAGTGACAACAATGCTTTCCTAAAATTGATTAATCAGTACATAGTACAATTTTTTTTGTTCCTAATTTGAATATTAATGTATCCATTAAAATATTATGATTCTTATGAACTTTAAAACATATAAGGGCGATAGTAACTAGATCAAATCTTCCAATTATATCAATTAACTGAAACATTTCTACAAGTAAGTTTAATTCTATATAACTGTTTGTGAATGATACGAGTTATTTATAGAATTCTAAAAAAAAGAAAATGCAATCGTAAAGAAAATAAATAAATTTTTAAGTTTATATACAAATTTGCACTAATATAAAAACATTACAAAAATAAATATATTTTGTCTGCTAAATATTAATAGTTAGTTTGCACGTACCATAAGTTTTACACTAAACTTCCATTTGTTGGAAGTAAAATAACGCAGAAGTAAAAAAAAAGATAACTACATTATAGTTACTTCTTTTATCTTATATACTTCTATACCTAGTTTTGCTATTCTTGTTGGTAATTATTGAACAATTAACAAAATAAATAATTAGTATCATTGAAATATCTATTTTTCTTTTTAGGTTGAAACAATACAATTATTCAACATTCAACTTAATTCTGCATCTAAATTAATCGAATTTATTAGATCGATTTAAATGATTTTCAATGAAATTTGATAATTTTTCATGGAAACATACGCGAATTATTTCTATGTAATTAGTAGTTGATTTTATAGATGGCGGGATGGAAGGGTTAGGAAAGTGAGGGAGGTGAATTAAGGAGTTTTTCGATACGTGTTGATGTTTACAAACTAAAAGTCGTAGGATTCCATGTAGTATAGGATAGCTTTGGATTAAATATTTTTTTGCAATGGCTCAAGCCAAACATAATTTGCCAGAAGCATCTAACGGGACGATGATGGAAAAGGAAAAAGACAGTAATGAAGATAAAGAAGGTATGGATTTATATCAGAGTGATTGATAAATTGAAATATTAAATGATTCATTTTTTGTTTACTGTAAATTTACAAAAATATTATCAAGAACAATATTTAGCAGGTTCTGTAACGATACCAGAATGTGCAGTTTGTCTTCAACCTTGCATACATCCAGCAAGATTACCTTGCAATCATATATACTGCTATTTATGTGTAAAGGGTGTTGCTAATCACAATAAAAGGTGTCCTATGTGTCGTCAAGAAATGCCATCCGATTTTGTTGAAAGACCACAATTGGTAGAAGTCGACGAAGTTAAGGAATTAGAACGACCCGAGGAAGAATATCAATGGTTTTACGAAGGCAGAAATGGTAATATTTATTTTTATTTATTTGTATATATTAATCATTCTTATGTCTATATGTGAGCGCGTTTATTTATTAAGGTAAATGTATCTGTTTAGAAAACAATATAAATAGAATAGACACTAATGAAGTTAATTAGTTTAGGAAAATCCAATGAAGAAGCTACAATATAAACATGAAAAGTGTATGATTGTATTCATCACTTATTTTGCAAAAAAAGAAAAAAGTATTAGTAGTTTTTGTATATTTAAAAATTGAAGAGAATTTAGTTTTACTTTTTGCGTTGAGATTCAGGCATGCTTAGGTAAATTTGTAAAACTAGCACGCGCACATAGAAAAGTTGATATTCTACCGCTTCTTAGGTTGGTGGAAGTATGATTCAAGGATCAACAAGGATTTGGAGACTGTATATGAACTAGGTGAAACTAAATGTGAAATGTTGATCTGTGGCATACTTTATGTGATTGACTTTGAAAAGAAATGTCAGTACAGAAAATATCAGCCACGTTACAAAAGAAATATCAAACGTGATAGAAAAGATGCACAATGTAAAGGAGTTTCAGGTGTATGATAGTTTATTTATTAAAGTAAAGTACCTGTTTATGTTGAATTTATAAGCGTATATTGATAATATATATTTGAGATTTAAATATTGAAAAATAATTTGGGTTAATGCAGGCATTTATAGTAATAGAAAGACAATACCTAAACAAAATTGATGAAATAGATGTAAAAATTGAAAACATTGATTAATAAAATTTGTACGTATTATACAATATAATTACAATTAACGATCATTTGTAATATTACTTATTATGTGATAGTGTCTTGATTTTTTACAATAAAAAATGTTATATTTTTTCTAAACTTATATTTATTTCCTAAAAGTTTCCCAATTGAAAAAACATGTAATTATATGGAATAATTCATTATCGATAAATAGATAATATGTATTAAATTAAATTGTATTCATAAAACAAATTGTTACAGGATGGTGGCAGTATGATCAACGTACAAGTCTTGAATTAGAAACTGCTTACAAACAAGGAAAGAGGACTTGTGATTTATTGATTGCAGGGTTTTTATATATTGCGGATTTTGGTTCCATGCAACAATTACGTAGAAATGATCCTTCCAGGAGAAGAAGAATTAAACGAGATTTGTATAATGTTCCAAAAAAAGGAGTCGCTGGTTTGAGACTGAACGTTCAAGAAGAAGAAATGATTAGAGAAATAAGAGGCGCGGAAAGGCCAGCAAGTCCTGAAAGCGATACTATAAGTATGTATTATTGATAAAGTATACAAGCGTAGAATGGTAAAATTAAACATGTTCTTTTTCTGACTTAGGTGGAGATGGTACAAGTACTCCTATACCACCAAGTAATACTCCACAAACACCAGCTGGTGGAACTGCAAGTGGTGATGCTACACCATTAAATGATAGAATGGATCAAAGATCTGATTCTTTGCATCAGGTTTTAGAACAAATGCGTTCATTAGTATTAATAGAACATTTATCATTTAACAGTAATAATGATTTGGAAGAAACAGCAGAGGATGAATCGGTGTCTGAACATTCTATACTTTCTTGTATACCAACGTCACACGAATCGGATGAAGATCATTTGTAGGAAAAAGAAATATGAATTTCACCCTCTCACTTATTTGTGATACATCAAATTATTGAGAAATAAAATACAACCAAAGAACTACGTTATGGTTAACAATCACAAATATAATATTAAGAAGTAAATATTATTCTGTGATATGTCACAATGCACAGAGAGGGCCCTTAAATATCAACTTCTGATCGATCAGAAAAATTAAATCTAAGAAAATATTCAAATTATTGATTAAATATAATATCGAAATATAGATCAACACTTGTAAAACAGTATCGATAAAATCAATTAATGTAATATATGTAATATGAGCGTTCCTACTATTCTTTTAACTACATATAAATGAAATATACAAAATAATTTTGGATTATATAATGAAATCAATTGAGCACTTCAAGTTTCTTTAGAAATAAAAAAAAAGCATTAATTATATTTATTAAGAAATAAATTATTCGTTTCAAGAGAAAAAAAAAAATATTCAAATGTAATATAATACTTGAAGTAGCTAAATAACTTTCAAGTTGAATAAAATATATTCTAAAAATATAGTGTTCATTTATGCAACGAAAATTATAGTACGAATCACAATTATTTTTACAGATAATGTTATTGTATCTAATTATGTACATAGATTTATAGCGAGAAAATACATTATCATATTTTGCAAAACATAACAGCCGCATAATTTATCTTTTTGAGCAATCTGACACTTTACACTTTTCATTGATACCAAATGTGATATTAATTAGAGAGCTGAAAGTTTATGTTAAGCAGCCATCAGCTTGATATTATTTGCAATAGAATGTATAGCATATAAGATATGATATACATTATACCAAAAATAATATCACGTTCTCAGGTTTTATCACGTAGAGATTGTCACTTTTAGAGATCTAGGACTAATCGTGACTCTAATATACAAAATTGCTATTTCTTTACAATTTGTGATTTAACTAAAAAACATTTAAATAACAGCAAAAAAAAGGATGACTAATTGTTATACATGAAAAAACCAGGTTTTGAAAATTAATTAATAGAAAAATTATAATATATAATTTTATTTTCGCAGATATTTTTTAAATCCAATGATGCCTCGATTTACGAATAATAGATGTTAGAAAAAGTATTTAAAGAAATCGATTGTTATGGAGAATGATAATGTACGTTTGAGAAATTATAATAAATACCTTTTATTACGAAGACAATAAAGATTACCTTTCAATTTCGTATTTTTAAACAATTCAAAATAGCAGTCCCATTCGAATTATTAACCAATTACGATTCGCGCCAGGCATGCTCACAGCGCAATTATACCTGCAACCAATCAGCGAGCATATAAGTTGTGAATATATTCGCGTTATATTTAAAAACATAAGACATACGACATTTTAATGAATATTGTGTGTTGATTCAAGTATATAATAATAAAAATTAATAACAAGTTTTATATATATATATACATATGCATATGTTATACGTACATCATATAATGTTTAAATAAATGTTAAATAATCGAAAATATAATTTATTTAAGCTTACCTATACAGTGAAAATATATTTTCGATATTCACTTTTTGAAATTCAACAGAACACTTCTTTGATAACTGCTGAAGTCAATCAGACGTACGTTCTTGTAGACAACGTCAAGTTTATCGAATTAAAATTCTTTTACAATTATTATAAAGTTACAATCTATATATATAATGTTTAAATAAATGTATTATTACATAAATATAAATTGTAAATTTTAATGCTTAAATAAATGTAAAATTATTAAAAATGTAAATTATCTAATCTTATCAGTACGGAGAAAGAACTTAGATTGTCACTTGTTAGAATTTAAGTGAATACTCCTCACTCGATACCTGGATATAGTCAAGTGATTGTTTAAACAATTATATAATTATATTGATTATTAATTAAATATTAATTATATGATAAATTATTTCTATTATGATTAATTATTCATGCTTTTTAAGTTAATTTTTTTCAACGAATGAAAGAATAATTAAGTTTCTCAAAATCTAATATAATATATAATTGGTGCAATATTTACAATATTTAATATCGTTAATCACCAAGTATTAAAAATATCGATTGATATATATATATATTTTGATAATTATAAAATAATAAATATTTATACAAAAAGTAATTGATACGTCTATTGTACACGTATGCTATATTGTATTACGAAAAAGAAATTCACGATTCAAGAAATAAATCAGAAATTGATTAGAATGTTCCTGTTTATGATGCAATTACACGGTTACATGACTTTAAACTTTCACGCTTAATAGTGTGAGTCATTTCTTACGTGTGAATGAAGTTGACATAATGCAGCTTCGAATTTTGCATTTCATTCAAAAATGGCGCTGAATGATACTTTCTGAATTCAAATGTTATCACTATCATATTTTTGTTATTATAATTAAAAATTGACGAATAAAGACATTGTAATCATTTTTTCAATAATATTAGTAAAATATTAACTACGTTTAATTACAAATATATTTAATTTTGCTGATATATTTATATATATATTTTAATTATAGTTCAATTTTACTTCGTCAGCTATACCACCATTTTGACTTGACACATGCGCTTTAAACGGTGACGCGATCAATATCTCCCAACCAACTATAAAAGAATTGACAAGAAGATTCGAAGACATATTGCGTCTTATTAACGATCAAGATTTTACGTCGTATTAATATACTTTATATCAAGTTTCAATCTACAAATAAATTTAAATCGGAAAAAAAAATTATTTCCTTACATTTGTGCGCGAGTGATTTAATAAATCAATTATTTCTTATTTTCGTCATAATTATATAAAATGAGGCGCTTCAAAGCATATTTGAGAACTGAAGGGTCCTCGAAGGAAGAAGAAATTCGTAGATTTTCTGTCGAGCCTAGAGAGGTGACCAATTTCACATTTTTGAAGGATAGAATACAAAACATTTTTCCAAGCCTACAAGGGAAACAATTTACTGTCACCTGGAAAGGTAAAAATATCATTTTAATTATTTAGATTAAGCCATTGATTAATTTGATGGTTCAAATGTTTATATCTCTTTGGATTTGATACACATTTTAAAGAAAATATTTTTCTTTTATTTTTATTTTTAATATTTTTTAGATGACGAAGATGATCATATTGCAATATCAACCAATGAGGAATTGGATATTGCTCTGGAAGAAATTAAGCATCAAAATCCTCCTAAATTATACATAATAAAACATAAGGACAATCAGAGAAATGTGTACGTTCAGCCAGAAGAAATAGCAGGAGTGGTACATCATAATATCTTATGTGATGGCTGCAATAAGAATGTCAAAGGTTTTCGATACAAATGTATTGAATGTCCAGATTACGATTTATGTTTTGATTGTGAATCGAAAGGAGTACATCCAGAACATTGCATGATTCGTATAGCAGTACCTTTACAATGGACATCACGCTATGGTAGGCGCTTGGCTCACCATATGAAAAAATTTATACGTAAAAGCAGTATCTATAATGCAAGACTAGAAGAAACTAGAGAATGTCCAGCTATGAATGAAAGACATTACGCAAGATCTAGACCAAATTGCGATAATTCTTCATGGGTCGACACTTTTGCTGATTATTTTAATGATTGGACCTATAATGCAGGTGAGTGTCCCATGAAGAATATTCCAAAACCACCCGAGACAGCAACCGAAGCTATACCTTCGACTAACGAGTCTTCGGCATCTAAAGAGGCTAAAAAAGAAGCTAAACCACATATTGATCTTTTAAAGATAGTAGAAGATAATATTGCACAGTTCTTGAATCCTCTTGGAATAGATATAAGTATGAAAGTTAAGAATGATGAAAAATCTGACATTTCGCAGAACAATGTTCCCAATAAAAAACAAGCTGATACAAAAGTAGGATTCGATGAAAATCCTGCTAAATTTCCTGGTGAAGGGAGAAAATTGAATGAGAAAAATATGAATAATCCTGAAACTAATGACGAATCATCCGTAACAAATATAAAAGAATCACTTTCTGAAAAATTTGATAAATCCTCAGATGACGAAGATTGGACTATGCTGAACAAAGATGAACGCTCTGCTTCTGTTGCCCCTGCTGTTCCTGTTACTGATCAAACTTTGCCTACTTCTTCTACTTCGTCTGAGCCCATCTACGAAAATGTGCTAAAGAAGGTATGATTTGATTCTGGAAAATATATCCGTATTTAAAGTAACAAAATGTTATAATAAAAAAATATATATCAAATAAGTTATATTAATTTGGAATATTTAGGTTAATACTCCATCAGCTCCTGTAAAAGAAGAGCCAAATGGAAATCATTATCCATCACTACCAAAGCCAACTCAGCCAAGAATTATATATCATTCAAATCCGAAGATTCAAAATGCTGTTGAAATTATGATGACCATGGGATTTTCTAATGACGGTGGTTGGCTTACTCAATTATTGGAGATCAAAGACGGTGACATCGGAAAAGTTTTAGACATGCTGTCGCCAGTACGTGAATGACGCAAACTATTTTGACAATATATCTTATATAAAAAAAACTTAAGGGAAATCTTACATAAATTTAGAGATATACACTTTTAAATATTATTATAGTAGACATTCCAACGAATCGTCAATATGTAATTCTATATACTTTTCTTAAATATATAATGCATGTAAAAATGTAGCATTTCTAGATGTTTGTGTTCTAAATTTTATGGATTATAATAATATAATAATCAATAAAGTATTGCAAGGTTTAAATCGCTGCTTATTTTTTTCTATATGTCACCTAAAATTATAAAAATATAAACGTATTTAAAATTATACCAAGATTTTATTTAATATAATATATACTTAAAAGATAAAAAAAGAATAAGTTTCATATTTACTTCATACTTTATTTGCAATATTTTTATAAAGATCTACAAAGTTTCATTATTTCCAATGGATTTCCGGCAGTCAATGCCCATATTTCTATTAATCCTTCTGGAGTTAAATTTCTTATCCACTTTCGGTCATTATAATATTCCATTATTGATTCAAATTCTGTTTTATTGTAATTTTTTACCCAAACGGGTAGGAAAGGATCTGTAAATTCAAAGCCCTCTTTACCAAGTAAATATCGAGGATTATCAGACTCCTTTCTTTCCTATTAAAACAATTTAAATATATCATAGAATCGTTTTTAATCATATTTTACAAATAAAAAAGTTTAAATTTTAAATTATATTTTATTTTATATTATTACCTTGCATGCTCTAACATCTACTACCAACACAGCAGCTCCATTGCACCAATCATCTTTTACGAAATTTATAAAAGACAAAGTTAATGATATTTGTTGAGGCTTCATCCATATTTTAGCATCATTACGTATTCTGGTATGATCTGACCAAAATGCGTTGTAACCATCTATAGCTGCTAAAACTTTACACTTTCCTGCGATGCTAGATTCTTTTAATTCGGTCAATAATGCATCTATTACACCTGTTGCATATCTCACTCTGTTAATACCAAACTCAATCATTTCTAACAAGGGAGTACCCTTTGATGATAATTCTCTTACATTCCATTGATAATCTTTCGATATTCTAAGCTAGAAGACAAATTTAATTACAATGATAATTTAACAAATAAGCATCTGTAAATACTTACATCAAGTTTTGATAAAAGATCATTATTCTGACTTTTAAAATATAATAACCATTTTCCTGCATCGATCGGTAAATCTATAATACCTGGCATTGTGATTGAATTAGCTATTTCTTTTGGAAACATAAACCAACGATTAGCTAAAATTTAAAAAGTAAACGTACTTGATTAGATATTAAATAATATGTACAATATAAAAGGCGATACAATTCTAATGATAATTTTACATACGAGTAGGTACGTGAACTATGATCATCTCCTTCATAAAAGCGTAATGTAATATATGCGTTATCACTAATGATTTTCCTGTACCATATTTTCCATCTATAGATATTTGCAATTAAAGAAATATACATGTATTTAACGTAGCATGATTTATGCAGTAAAAGATATTATAAAAGGATACATAATAGATATTTGTTTATAGGCCTACTATAATCAGCCTGTTCTAGGTATGACAATATTTCTATCACAGGATTTCTAACTAATAATGAACATTCATTGAAAGTATTCGCTAGGGCTAAAAAATTGTTGGGAATTCCATTAATTTTATAAAATGTTTGAACAATATTGTCTGGTATTGTATATAATCTATTCAAATGTTGTTCGTTATGATTTATTGGATTGGATTCTATTGTACGGAACGTTTGAAATTGTTCATTTCGTATATCTTTTGGCGATACATTAGCCAAAGTACTATGTCGTCTTTGCCATTTAAATCGACATAAATATTGTAAAAATAATCCTAAAAATGATTTAAACTGTATAATGATACACATGTTAAATATAATTAATAAAATATTCATAATAAATAATCGTTGCAGTTTTAAGATTATTATAAATAAAAACTTACGCGATGTTAATGACATTTTTTATAATATTCTCTTTAATGAATATGCAATTGATAATTAATAATTAATAAATATGTTCAAGTTCTCTCATAATAAAATTAACATTTAAATAAATATATTATTCTTTCTTCATATGGGGGGCAAAACAATCATAAGTTATAAATCAAGAATACACTCGGTGATATGAGATACATAACCTAATATTACTGGATACTGTCATCAGCGTCATCTGGTGCTTTATAAATAAGAATACAATTGCATATTTTTAAATTTGAAATATCGATGATTTCGCACGCGATAAATATTTTTTGATGAACGAAATTTTAATTAATAGATAAAGATTTCAAATTGTTAAAAGAACTATTTTCTGTAAGAAAAATTGCTTCAAAAATTATTGTTTTCTCGAGGATAGTTTATGAGTAAAAATGAAGCTTTGTTAATAGTTAAAATAAATCAGAGATAATGAACAATTTTGAATAAATCTATTATAATCTAGATTAAAAGGTTTAATATTTATCCGTAATATATAAGAATTTTCAGTATATTAAAACTTTAAATAAATATACGATAAGTGTATATAGAATTTAATATTTTATTTTTATATATCAAATTTTTATATATATATGTATATTAATAAATCACATTTAATATAAAATTTTGCTTTATATTCTTTGACACAATACCTCAAGTGCTTTGAAATATGCATACTTAATATCAAATTCCATGTCGTACCAATAATTAATAGCTATACACGCATGTGATTGTCTTACATGATGAAACCAAAGAGAAGGAAGATATAATATATCCCCTTCTTTTACTCTTGCTTCTAATCTTTGTACATTTTTATATTTTGGATATCTATAAAAGTAAGTGATTATTGCATTAAGAAAAAAAATAATAAACATTTTGTATATTTGTGACTATGATTGAAAAAAAAAATAATACCTATTATAATCTGAATTAAGAGGGTCAATATTTATCCATGGTATCCTATCAAAATTTTCCGAATACTTTGAATCTAGATTATTCCTAATATTGACTGGTTCGATAGTCCACTTTCCAGGCTCTATTTCTTTATAAACAGCAGGCGGATATTTTTCATATGGAATCCAAGGTAAATCCGTAGGAGGATGTAATATGAAAGTTTTTTCGCCTGACACTACGCAATATATGTTTTCATATGGGTCTTTATGCACTACAAATTAAGGATACAGGTGTGTTAAAAAGAATTTGAAAAGTTACGGTTTAAGATTTCATTTTTTTAAAAAGAAAATAATTTTACTAGATGTAACGGCTCTGTGATCGCCCATCCAAAAATTAATAGCGTCAGGCTTTTTACCGAAGGCATTCGTAGCCCACAAAATATCTGTATCGATATCATCCCAAAGTTCAGTGAAATCTTTAAAATTAGAATTCTGTTTCTGAATATAAAATATACTTTCTAATTCAGGATTTTCAAGAGTATTTAAAAACTTAGACATTGTCAGAGAACGCTCTTCTGGCATAACAAAATATTGTTTCGTAATATCTTCTAAAACACATTTTGTTATTGCATCAGCATACCCATTAGGTGTAACGGCTACAGAAACTAATTTATCTCCTAAAATCTCTCGAAGATAATTTATAGACCATTTTTTGATAGCTGGCCAGTGTTTGCAACCATTTCGTATTATTACTGGTAAATTTTTTGATACATAATCACGATAAAATATTAGAGGATCTATCATACCATTTATTTCTGCTATTTCATTTCCTAAGTATAGCTCTAGAAAATGAAAATAAATTTACAAATACATATGATATGAATATATACATATATATATATATATATATACAAATATTGTTAACCTCAAAAATATTATACACAATAATTACATATTTACAGTTATTTTAATTATTTTTTACAGAATTCATATAAATTTAATAATAATTGCATTTCATGCCACATTTTTATTAATTCAATACAAACCTTTGACTTCTTGAGAAAGAACCTGACATGCTTTCTCAATTTTATCTGTTGGGTCTATCATAGTTTAATGTATTTAAAAAAAAAATAATTAAATAATATTTTATTATTTTATAAAATCTTATGAAGTTTTCAAAACATAATTATATTATTATTAAAATTAATAAAATATGATTAAATTACAACGCTGATTATACAGTTATTCTTTTGATACGCTAAGAACGCCATCTTATTTTTAACCTTGCTTCAAAACGCTCTTCAAATGCAACACTAATTACCAAAGCCGGTTTCAGCATACACTTATTTTAGAAACAGGTAAAATAATAGTTAAACTGATATTTTATTTATTGTACTTTCTTATTTCAATCTATCAGTGGTGAGTATATACAAAATTTCATTTTAGCAATAGAATTTTGTTAATAGTTTTACTTTCATTTTAGGTTAAATTATAAGTTTGATGCGTATCTTAATGATTTAGTGCATATCTTTAATATAAATTTTATCATATTTAAAGATAATTTATGTATCATCTGTTTTAACTAATTTTATATTTCAGAAATTATATGTTTGTTATTATAAGTTGTGTTAACTTGAAGAAAAAAAAACACGCTCAAACAAATTGAAAAAAACATTTTTGTTAATTAGTAAAATTAATGAGAAATAATAAGAAAATATGTATTTTTTAATATTGAAGAAACACTATGGTAAGAGGAGGACGTGGTGGAATGCTCAGAGGTGGAAGAGGTGGTATGGGACGTGGCATGGGATTTCCTAGGAAACAATTTCTACCACGGCATCCATTTGATTATACATTGTGCGAAGTAGCATTTCCTCGTGTTAAAGCCGCCCCAGATGAGTCTGATCTTCAATCTGCTCTTGTGAAAAAGAATACGGACATGTGTCCGACTCAGAAAGAGCAAACTTCTATTTTAAATTTGGTTACAAAATTGCAAAGTGTTTTGGACAATTTAATTGTTGCTCCTGGAACTTTCGAAGCATGTGTATGTAAATTTTATTATTTTTCTTCTTATTATTATTAGAAAAATGTTTTTATGTACTTATGAAAACAAAAATATTTGCATTTACAGCAATTAGAAGAAGTGAGACAAGTTGGTAGTTTTAAAAAAGGAACGATGATCAAAGGTCATAATATTGCTGATATTGTTGTAATTCTTAAAACACTTCCAACTAAGACAGCGGTTGAAGCACTAGGAACAAAAGTCAACACTGATCTTAAGACTGGAAATCCCAAAGAAGTTTTCAGGCTTGTACAGACGGAACGTGGATTTGATATCTCAAATAACGAAGCTACCGTAAGAGTATTAATTACAACCTTACACCAAAATTTACGTAAATTGGAATCAGATCAACATTTAGATGTACAAATCTGTCAAGGTGATTATATCATTATGAGTTAATTTTTGAAAAACTCATATTTATATATCAAGGAATATAATTTAGTTTTTTATTTTTATAGGACACTTGGCAGCAATTCGACACTCTCGCTGGTTCGAGGAAAACGCTCATCATTCTAGTATTAAAGTTCTGATTAGATTACTGCGTGATCTCAGAAGTAGGTTTGAAGGACTAGAACCATTGTCACCATGGATGTTGGATTTACTTGCGCATAATGCAATAATGAATAATCCAAGTAGACAGGCATTGCCAATAAATCAAGCTTATAAGAGAGTTCTTCAATTATTATCTTCAGGATTATTTCTTCCAGGATCTGCTGGTGAGTAGCATAGTAGTATATTTCTTCAGTTAAAAATAATCTAAAAATAATAATATCTAAAAAATTAATATTTTTTATATAAATATATTTATTTTATTTCAGGTATTTCAGATCCTTGCGAAGGTGGCAATATTCGTGTTCATACTGCGATGACTTTGGAACAGCAGGATTTAGTGTGTTTGACTGCTCAAACCTTATTACGTGTTTTAGCTCATGGTGGTTATAGGCCACTTCTGGAGGGTACTAACAAACTAGCCGTTGAAATGAGTGTATGGGCAGGTGGTGTTGTCGCTAGTCCTTTAGACAAAGCTTACGAACCTCCTACAGAACAAGAACAACAAGAAGATATGGAAGAAAGTAACGAAGAAATGATTACAGAAAATGCGTAACTTCAATGATTGATTATAACTTTCATTATAAGACGTAAAAAAGCACTTATCTATGTCATCAAAAAAAAAAAATCTGTGTTTATTAATATAACGTATTATACATTTATCAAAAGTAATAAGTTTTTCTTTTGTATCGACGACGAATACTTCAAAGATTTATTTTATAACGACAATGGCATCATAATCAATTGTAAATCCCATTCTTATTAGAATTATATGTATTATTTCTAGATTGATAATGGTCATATCATTTTTGACCTATAAAATAAAAGTCTTTAAATTTAATCTACAAAATATTTTGTTACGTTAAATATAATATCATATTTATTGTTTTGATATGTAACAATGACACGAAAATTTCAAGTCTTTCGTTAACTTTTAGATTAATGTATCTTCTCTTTATATAGGTTTATATTTTTGTATCAATATTATTACGATGACGAATTCACTAATTTGCTAAAAAGATACGAAATTTTCTAAGATTTAAGATATAGAAGACAATCTTAGAAAAATGATATGACATTATTTGTTCAGCTCAAATATTTGGTGTATATCGAGCGTTCCGTCGTAGAAATAAGCATCTAAAGAAGTTTGAAATAATATTTATATATAAAAAAGTTTTTACCGTAAACAAGGATCGTTTTCGGGAGTTCGACTGATACGAGCACAATTGACAGATCGTACATTGGCACCGACGCGTACAGGAACCTTGAAAAGTTTACCTTGGGGCATGCAAATACATACTTTAAATTGTTCTTGATCTGTAGGATTTTGTACGAACATCGGTGCAACTGGTATATTATCCATATCAATAATAACACCATTTTTCGTATCAAATATGATATTTCCATTGAGACTTTTAAGAAAAACATCGTTACTAGCATTCCAGACGATCTCTTTGCTTTCCATTTTGATACCTTCAGCACCGTGTAATGAAATCCGATCGTTCGAATCGATTGTTAAACTTTCGTTAACCGGAGACGTTATTCTGTGAGTCTGTGCTATTTTTACATCGATTTTCTGGACCCCATTTGGTAGACCAAAATTAGGAAAATCTGTTGTAAAATAGATTGCCCCGGTACGAGAATCTTTAACTTCGAACGATTTAACTTGGGATATGCTCGTACCATTTGGAAGTAGTTCTACACGAGAACGTGAACTTTCCTGATCCAATCTACCCTTAACGTCGATTCTAATACCACCATCGTCCGTTGATATTTCCATCGGCTCGTCGCCGTAACTTTGACATACGCCGGATTGTAAACAAAGCTAGAATCAAATTTCATTAAATTTAATAATCAGCGTGCAAATGTAATATCGCACGTATTAACAAATATATTGTAAAAAGGAATTCAACAATACTTTGTCCAAATCCGTACGGCCGTAAAATTTGACGAGATTTTCGTCCGGTATCATTTCCATAGCTTCCATGCCTTGACTGATTCTTAACACGGCGATAATTGTGATACTTAAAAATAAATTACACAGGCCAATTATTGCTAAGAAAAATGTTATCGTCCAAAGGCAGTAACGTTTTCTCGATGATTTTTCACCGATTGGCGTTGATCCACGCGACGTAACGATCGTAGTTCCATTAATATTTTCCGAACTAAGAAATCATTATTATTATATAATTATATATATATATACAAATTATAATGATTATTATGAGATACGCATCTTCATAATCACCTTATACGAAGACTACTGGTACTATTTTGATGAACGCTCTTTCTGATCAATGGTCCATCACTATTCGATAAATTATCTTCCGCTTTTGACATGGAAGGTGATCCAGTGTCATTTCCACAGGCATCGATAATGGCCGACATTGAATTAAGCTAAACACACGTATACTTATATACATACAGTTATTTTCATTTCGCTAATTAAAATTAATATTCATATTAATTAATTCTAAAAACAAAAAAAAGAGAGAATACAAACAAAATATCATTTGTATACTATCTAATGTTAATTAATAATCCCAGGAATTTGTTTGTTTATTTTGGATTTAAATAACGAATATAAAATTATTATTGAAAAATTGTTATGCATCAATATAGTGGGGGGTAGAGTTCGACGTACTATTTTTTTGTCTACAGTCTTGGTCAATGTTCGATATAAGGGAATCAAATAAGAGATTGAATCCAGTATCGATTGCTTTACGTTGCACACAATATTTGATCTAAAGATCAAGAAGCTTTTCAACGATAGTAGGTAGTAGTCTTTCGAAGAAAACGCAAATAAACGGATACAGTTGTTAGACTCTTGAAACGTGTGAAAGAACGAAACCGATTCGACCGAGATAGACACTGAACTAGCTAAAATCTGGCGGCGCTTGCGCGTCTAAAGATCAATGTCGAATATACTTTGGAATGTGTGTCTACCTTCCTTTTCACTTATACATATATATTTTATACAAATTCCTTATTTCTGCCTTTTAAATAAAAATGCAAAAATTATTTATCTGAAATAAATTATTCGAACGATCAATCTCAAAAAGTAAATATATATTCAATAAAATGTCAATCAAAATTATATTATATTTACGTTCAGAATTAAATGTTATAAGATTTGGTTTTCCTTGTTTGTTTCTTTTGGTCAGGATTTATGCGAAATAAATTTTCGGAATAATAAATAGTTTTTTTATTACGTTCGAAATAAATGTTAAAAGTTTTTCGTTCATTTTTGTTGTTCTCAGAATTAAGACGAAATATAAATTGTGAGAACAGATCGATAAAAATGTCAATTCAATTAATCTATGAGTATTATTATTAATGAAGTACAAAATGATATAAAATAACGGTATAAAATACAATATTATTAATCGTGTTCTGCCCAGATTACACTTTCCAGCCAAGGAACATAATTATATACTTTCGTGTAGAGTCCTGGAGAATATAAACCACATATCTGACCTGCACTGGTAACACCTATGATGTTGTACATGCAATAGTTTTCGTCATTGAAAATTAACAATGGACCGCCACTGTCACCCTAAAATATAATATATAAACATGTACGTGAATTATTAATAAATTATTATGTTTATTATACAAAGAGATGGTGTGCAATTGAACGGAAAAAATGGACGAGTGACATAGCTCAAATTGAAATAAAAAATAAAATACAATGTACCCCACAAGTGTCTTTGCCAAATTCACCGGCGCATATTTGCCATTCGTTGACGATACCACGATTGTATTGAATGTTTGAATAGCTAAATTTGTTGCAAGATGTATGGTTAACGACATTTATAGTGACTTTTAACAAATCGTCTGATTTTTTTCCGGTGTCTAAAATATTCGAAAGAAAAACATTAAATTCATATTTATTCGAATGTATTTTATTATACGTTCGCTTAATTTTAAACTAATGTTTAATATTCGATGTTATCACACTTACCAAATTTAACGATACCCCATCCTGTAGCGGTAGCCTTATTTTCAGGTGAATCAGGTAAAGCAGTTTGCAAACAAGCAGGTCTAGCAAATTCATTAAATTCTACATCGGTTTCTAGTTTAAGTAACGCAATGTCGTGATACAACAATGGAGGCTTGTATTGTGGATTTCGAATTTTTTCAATAATTTTGTAATCTTTCGGATTGGCTATATCATTCGTTGATACCAGATTGAGATCACCAACTCGCACTACAGTTGGAGCAACGCTAACAAAACGACAAAAAAGATAAATTTCCTTTAAACTTTAAATATGTTTATGGATAAGCGTGTAATCTCTGGAAGATTGATAAAAAAAAAGAAAAATAAAAAGAAAGAAAAAGAGAAAGAGAGAGAAATGTTATTTTTTAATTCGTAGAACTTTTAACTAGATAATTTGACTCACCCATCCCCTGAGCGTAAGCAATGGGCAGCCGTTAAAACGAATCTCTTTGAGACCAAACTTCCTCCACATTTCCATTCAATACCATTACTAGATTCATAACCGAGTGCTACCATGTGAGGAAATTCTCGTGCAGCTGCTTTTTCACCACCGACGATCAATGTTTTACCCTTTATACCGCACGTGGAGACGTTAATCGGTTTTTGTCCGATAATAAAAATTGGTGGATATATAAGTTGGTAGACGTACTGAGAATATTCTTTACATTCTAAGAAAAAAAAACAATATTCATGTACTGGATGTTCTGTAACTGTTATTACAAATGAACAAGAGGCGATGTCATATGGAAAATTAAAGCTAAACTGTATAGAATCAGAATTTGTTCATATATTAGTTTTTGTTTTGGAGTATAACATTTCAATATGTACTTTTTTTAATGGGTTTAATATTATTGTCAATACGATGATAACACTCATATCGATTCTATTTTTACGTTTATCTAACAAAGATTCTTTATTATTTCTTAAATTGTGTAAGTTTAATTAAATTGACGCGTACTCGAACATGTTTTTCAAATTTATTTTTCTTAAAAACAAAGATTTATAAGAACAAATATTATTTCTACATTTTCAATTTACGTTACACAGAACATCCTTTATATTTAATATTTTTAATTTTCAATTATTATATATTATGCTAATTTTTGTATAATATGGTACAATATTAGACATAAATAAATAATTAATTTAATTTATAACTCACTTTCTCGAGCAATAGTACCACGTCCATCATACGTTGGATTTGGTTTTTCTATAATCATTTTAACATCAGTAGTAGGGGACTCATCGTTAGGACAACAAACTACAGGGATACGACCTTTATATCCACAATTTTTTTCTGGCGGGTTTCCGGCCTGTAACGACTTATACACAGGAATACAATCAGATATTAATTTACAAATTCCTTTTTTCCCATTTATGGAACATTCGCTCCCTAAAAGGCAACGTACATTTGTGACGTCACGTTTCAAAAATAAATTAAATCCAAATCCGAAAAATTTGTCTTACCTTCGTCCAATTGACCATGAACTTGAAGGAAAATGATCGAAATGAAACATAGAAGGTAAACGATTGTCGATGTTAATGTCAACGAAAACATTCTTTATCGAGGAAAATGAAAAAACTTGAACACTATTGTTTTCTTCACATATTTTTCATTCTTCGTAGTAGTCTCTTTGTTGCTGGTAGATACTTCCAAACGTTCTTGATAATCAATCGCTACTACTGTTGCTTCTTTCTCGACCGACCTTTTTGTTATCCAAGTTCGTAGCATTCGCATTTGCCCCACCACAAATCCTTTCACTGATTGATAGTTCGTGGAGATGGTAAAAATATCCAACTCGTTTAACAAGAATCAGTATTTTTAATGAACCTTATGACGGTTCAATATATATATCTTTTGTAGCATTAATTATTAAATATTACTTTTCTTTTATTTCCTTCTTTTTTTTTTAATTTCCCCATTATAAGAATTTTCTGACGTCATTACTATTATACTATTCAATATCTATTTAGTTTTATTTTTCCTTTTTCTTTTCCTCGAATATACCAGTTAACTTCTTCAAATTGATCATCGATTTTCTATGATCAATTATAAATATTTTAGAAGAAATATGATTTGTTGTTAGAAGAAAATGTATATGACGAAGTCGTATTATGAGTCCAGTCATTTTGTCTGGTGGAAGTAAGAGGAACAGTAGTTTTTTATTTATAATTTTCCGATATTGAGACATTTCATTTTATCGATATCACGTGACCGGATTTTTTCTTACATTAAATATTTCTTTAAAACGTGATGATTTATTTCAACAATTTTTCTTATCTTTTCTAAACAATATTTTTATTCGTTATGTTAAAAATCAATTCGTCGAAAAATGAAATAACTGAAATAAATTATTCTTAGTAACGCGTAATTAGGTTATCTAATTAATGACCTCAATTTTTTCTAAACAAGACACAAATTATAAATATATTGTCATGTCTCAAGATAATATCGAAGATATTTGAAACTTCGTAATATAGTCGTGGTAAAAATATAGGTATCTAAACTACAGAAAAAAACATGTGTTGCTTCAGATCTTTCCTCGTTTGTATTAATTACTTTGAAGTAAAATTTATCCTCGATTTTGTTTTTTATTCGATTATTAATGAATACATTGAAAACGCTATACGAGAATTCATATCGCATCTCTGAGAAAACTTATTGTTTATTTGCATTAATAGTCATCAATGATATTTTGTATAATTTATCATGGTAAGAGGAAAACTAGTCTCGAAATTTATGATCCATTAGAATAAGTTCTAGTTAGGATAAATTCTATTATGTCATTTATCTAATTACTGAATAAATTATATCTAATGTATTCATTTTTATATTTCTTTTTTCTTTTTCTTCTCTCGTAATATCTTATCTCGTTATTTCTCAGTAAATTGAAGGAAATATGAATATCAAATCTAAAGAATTATAATTCAATATCGCGTTAACGTAATATACAGAGTTCATTATATATAAACAATAAAACAATTATGAAATATTAAATAAAATGTATTAGGTTTTCCCATAAGTTCCTTTCTTGTTTTTGATGCGACTTCAATAAACGATATTTGTTTTTTAAGATTGATTTACTATGTTTTATATGAACCCTTCTGCTCTATTATTACCTTCTTACATCTTTCAGGAACATCTTTCAATTTATCTAAATTTAGGATCTTTAATAATAATGTAAAGTAACGAATGGTTTCGTACTTGTTTATTATATTCGTTCGATTCATTTTAAACTAATATTTAATATTCTATGTATATTATATTTACCTTAAGGATTTCGAATTCCTTCAATAATTTTGTAATATTCCGGATTGACCGTGTCATTTGTTGATGCCAAATTGAGATCGTTAATTCTTGTTTTTAATTAAATTAATTACTTTCTAATAAAAAAAAAGTTGATATTTGTATATGCAATGCACATACTTTCATTGATTGTTAACGCCAATGTTTTATGATTTTCAGCTCGTTAACAAAGCATGATTAACGATCGAGATTAGAATGATCGATAGAACGAGAATTAATTACTTTTCAATATGATTTTTCTTTATTTAAAGTTTAGATCTTCGAGTATCGACTTCGTTAAAGTGTTTTTTCGTTCGATTAAACGATATGAATCTTCGAAGAAAATGTTTATCAAATTTCGTTATCGTGTATCTTCTATTGCAGTTTATGATATTATTTACAGTTACGCTTTCCAGAAAAAGCGAAGAAAGTTCGTGTATTTTTTTTTAATTTTATTCCATTTGATTTCTTTGCAGTTGAATTTAATATTTCTTTTTATAATTTTCATAGCTTTTCTTGTTCAACATTTGTTGCATCTTGTGTTATTTAATTTTATTTACAAATAATTGTTATAAAAGTTTAGGACTGATTCACACGATTAATATTATTTTATTAATTATTGTAAAATGAAGGAATGCAAAATTTGAAAACCACTAACATGAGAATATAATCTCGATATGGATCAGTTCTAAAGTAAAACGATTATTTCATGCGTAGAGATTGATGCACGTAGTTTTTCCTTTTATTTCAGAACTTCTTTCAATTCTATAATTTTTTTCTAGAATGTAAGGAATATGGTAAACTGGTTTATGAGATTGAGGCTTCGCCTGTCCTTCGAATTGGAGCCGGTTTTAATAATGTCTCTCGTTGTGCTATCGTTGAGACACCATTGATCGTTGGCGGTGTAAAAACTAAAACCGCTGAATTTCCACATATGGTAAATGGAAATTACAAAAAAGTCAAATATATAATTAAAGATTTTTCATTTCAATGGAAACAAGTCACTTCATCGGATTAATATTACAAAAAAAATTGTTAATCAGCATTTTAATGATTTAATTTGCAAAATAATGATTACTAATTTTTTAAAATACTGATCAGTTAAATAGAAATAAAAAATAATATATATATAAATAGATAAATAGGATTTTAATAGTAACTATAGTGATAATAATTTGCATAATAACGAGTGCTAAAAATTCTTGCGTGAGCCAAAAGTGTATGGATTATTTAAAAAATCAATTACCCTATTTTGTAAACTTTTCAAATTCGTAATTGGATTCTTAATATTTTGCTATTTATAACAAATCATTTAATAAAATTTAAAAAAAAGAAAGGGTAATTAATTTACAAAATTACTTATATTACAATTTTGTCCGTTCACCTTGTGTGTAGTACTACTGATTATTAATAATTGTTAATTTTCTGATTAATTAAGTATTATTTTTTTTATCTGCAGGCTGCAATTGGATTTGGTAGAAACTTATCAAATGTGTCATGGGAATGCGGAGGAAGTATCATTTCGGAAAGATACATCCTAAGTGCAGCTCACTGTTTGGAATCACACAATAAGTATATTATTATTATCATATTTACAAGATAATTTATTTCTAATTGATCGGAGTATATACACTTTCACACGCGAATTTGATACAATATTGTACAAAAAAGAAAAAGAGAGAGAAAGATGATAAAGAACATAAGAAGATTTTAATTAAATTTATCCGACTTCTTAGAATTAATTTATTTATTTGAATGAATTTAATTATTGCTTGGCTTATGTATAAAATGTTGTTTATGGTGGACAATTAGATCGATCATTTTTGTAAAGAAAATTTTGTTATTATTGTTGCATTTTCAGAGGTCCTGCGACAATGGTACGAGTAGGTATGAAGAATTTAGAAGAAAACGAAGATAGTTTGCAAGAAAGAACAATAATACGCAGAATAAAGCATCCAGATTATCGATTACCTTCCAAGTACCACGATTTGGGTTTGATAGAATTAGATCGACCTTTGGAATTAAATCCACGAGTTAGACCAGCCTGTCTTGAAGTTCATTTTCAACCACCTGAAAAGAAAGCTATTGCAACTGGATTTGGAAAAACAGCGTTCGGTTGGTAAAATATTCAATAAACTACGTTATTAATTTTATTTCATAAAATCAAAGGAATATGAATTAAAAATTTTCTAACAAATTAAAAACCCTAATTATATTTTTTATTCATATTTGTTTTTAGATGCAACGTCAGGTAGCAAGGATTTAATGAAAGTGCAATTGGATTATATATCGAAGAAAGATTGTAAAAAACGATATCAATTCGATTTAGGTAGTCATTATTTGCCTAAGGGATTCATACCAAATTTGTTTTGTGCTGGAGTGATGGAGGGTGGCAAAGACACGTGTCAAGTAATTGTTAAGCAAAAAAATAAAAAAATCTAATATTATCAAAACTACAATTAGTAAAGATATTTTTCAATAATTTTTGATTTATACAAATGTTAATTTAATCCAAAATTATTAAATGTCTTACGATATTAATAAATTTGTTTCTCTTTAATTTATAGGGTGACAGTGGTGGACCATTGCAACGAGTACTCATTCATCCTTATTGCACTTATAGCATCGTCGGTATCACAAGTTTTGGAAAATTTTGTGCATTCAAAAATTCACCAGCTGTTTATACCCGAGTCAGTTCATATTTGGATTGGATTGAATCAATAGTTTGGCCATGAACGAATGAAACAAGATTCATTATAATAGAATTTAAAATAACAATGTATTATATATGTCATATTTAGTTTTTATGTCTGTCTTCAGAAATGCCTTTCTACATATATATTTACAAAAATAGCTATTATTAGGAACTCAAGTTAAAGAGGATTAAAACGAGTAGACTATGTAATATTTAAACGAATATATTACGAATTCGTAAGCAACTTTTTCTTAACGATGTATATAAAGTGATATCTTATTTACGATTCTTTAGAAAGAAAGAACTTTTTCTACACATTTTGTAGAATATGTATTAAATTATTATGTTACAATGTATCTATACATTTTTATGTATTACTACATTCATAATATATTCAATACATTCTCATACTAATGTATTTTATTTGTAGTTTATTTTATGTATAACATATAATAATAATAAAATTTTAAAATTAAAATTGTAAAGGAAACATGATAAATGGTAAGGAGTAATGGTTTAAAAAAAGATACTAAAATACTCCGTACATTATATCACTGTATTTGTTATACATTTACTACTTCTTCTTTTATTCTTAATAATTAATATTATTAATTATTTTTATTGTACAATTTTTTGATTTTGTTTCTTTAATTTTTGTCTTTAATTTTTAATTTTTTAACAATTTACTACGACGATTGTAGAAATGAGAAAAAAGAACATCTTATTTGAATAATATCCTGTTTAAACTATAAGAAAGAAGAAATTAATATAACAATTATGTGTCTTCTTCTCTCACATTTACAATTAACTTCATATTCACACAAGCATACATTTTCCTCCTTAATTATCGCATTGTTTTCGCTTGTCACAGGTTTTGCTCTGAATCATTATCGTCCATTTCAATTTGACGAGCTTATCTGTGAGTTTTATGAGAAACAACACTGTATATTAGATGTATAACACATATAGAGGAAATCAAAGGAAACCTTGACTAGGTTAAGATGACGATTTTGTTATAATATACAGATATATTTCATACATACGTATTCTACTAAACTCCATGATTTTACTTTTGCATTTTCTTCTTTTAATCTTCTTCTTATATATATCTTTTATTTAAATTATTATATTTTATTTTTATTTGCGAAGACAAATAGAACACATATTTTATTCACTTTTTCAAATGTCTTCTCAAACGAATTTTGCTAATATTCGTTGAGAAAAGAAGGGAAAAAAAGAGAAAAGAAAATCTTCTCACACATTCGTATTAATTTTAATATTTTGTATTTTGTATGATTATCTCGAAGAGAGATAGGAGACGGAAGTATTTAGTCCAAGGAAAGAACGGACTCTATCGAGTTTCTATTCCTTGGTTGTAGTCTTGGACCTCCTAGATAGCTCAGAGGATTGCCGAAAGTTCGACAATCTTCTGACAAATAGATAGGGTTCATGCTCAGAACCAAGGGTTTTCTGGTATCTACAAAATCAACAAAGAAAAGAAAAGAACAAAAAGAGAAGAATAGAGAGAGTAATAAGTACTATTATTTTTAACCATGGAAAAAAAAAGAGGAAAAGATAAAGATAAATAAATTTATAAATAAGGATGTATGATGGTTGTGCATTTACCTTTTATGATCTTCTAATTTTTTTTTTTTCTAAATAATGCAATTTCAATTTTGTACAAAATGTGCTGACAATTGAAAGTAATTTGAGTTTTTCCATTTAAGTAATTTTGTAAAAAAATATTAGAAGATCTTAGAACTTAAGTGCAGTTCGCGCATGTTAGGCTATGATGAAGAAAAAAATTATAATGACACTGACCTGTAGATGTCGATGAACGTTCAGGAGCTTTCGAACGTTGTCCAGTGTCATTGCTCGTGCTAGCCTATACATATAATGAATATTCCTTTTAAATACGTTTATTTTTGTATAAATTAATATTTCCATAATATAGGAACACGAAGAGGATGCGATTAATCAATCCTTGCCATGATGCTTAGAGACAAGAAACGACATTTCGTTGGTTTTCCTGTGAGATTAGTTGTGGGTTAGTTTAAAGTAAAATGTGAGCAAATGATAATGATCGATCGATCATTTGAATTATCGATCTATCCATTCGTTGATCTTCATAATCTCAATAATAGCTGGCAACAATTTGGAGCCTGTTTATTTCAAAGCTAGTTACATACATGTAAATGTTCATTGGAAGAACACAACACATGTCCTTGCGTCTTCAAGCGAGATAACAGCATGCGATGCAATAACGTTCCTGATCGGTACACGTATACGCCAATCGATGCACAAGCGATTGTTCTTCTTTTGTATGTCAACGATTTTCACCATAAAATATGCGTACGTTTATTATTAGTATTATATAAGCCGTTCCAAGATCATAACGAATCCTTGCATGAGGCACGATAAGGTTCTTTAATTGTTGTTGTTGCAGTTGCTTTTAACAGGCATAAGGAATATATGGAAAAATGATGCATGGGGTTGAATGGTGCAAGAAACTTAGATTGGATCCGGAAAATGTGTATATGTATATAAGTATATATGTATATTATATATATATATTTTTTTGTCTTCATTTCCTTTGTACTGCACTTTTTATATAACATGCTATATAAAACATTGCCCATGAAAATGGACTTTGTCGTTAGAATTACAGAGTTATTCTTTTTTAATTAGCGATTTTCAACGCACTCATCGCGTTTCTTTCTTTGCAAGCTTCAAAATCATTCTCAAACAAGATTGTATTCGATCGATCGGTGATAATTGATTTCATATTTGAAAGAGAAAGAAATGAGGAAAGAAGAAAAATAAGGAAAGAAAAGATAATAATTCACGTGCAGGATAAGAAAAAAAAAACAAAAAGGAAAATATTAACGAAAATGAGAACAAAATAATAGTACCTCTAAAGTTCGCACGTAGAATTTGTATGGTTGGTTTCGAGAATAGTATTCGGTGGTTCGACAACGTTTTCATCGACAATATTTTCATCGACGTTCGTGCTGGACGAACTACTCCTCGGCTGAAATTATTATTACGATTTCGATTAAATTAATTATACGAGAACAAAAATTAGAATCAAAATCACTGTAAGATGATGCTACATAAATCAACTGCGATCATTTATACCGGTGTCATCTTGGAGTTATTCCTGTATCTGTTAAACTCTCTTTCATATACGATATAACCATTATTTATATATATTTATTTATGGTGTATGAATGATTCGTATAGAACAAACGATAATATCGCCACCAAAAGCACACCAATGCCAAAATTATTTTCTGCAATAGTGTGAAGCTGCTAAAAACAAACCGAACACCTATAAAACGTACACACATACACATAGGAATGATAATGACTTTTGGAATCATTTGAATGAAAATTAAATTTGAAAAATTTGTCACACGCACACTTTCATTCTTCCTGACACACATAGATACATACGTGTAAACAGTTGATAATACCATTTTTATTATCATAGCAAGCATACCAGCATACGTAACATTGTGTGCATGTACGCAAGCTCACGTGTATATGTATGTGTGTAACATAAATGTAAATTGTATATGAAATACCAAGCTGAAAAATGATCGACGAAATTCAAACGTTTAACCACAATCTGACTAATACATATTTCATAATTTTCTTTTATAATCTAGTGCGATTATATGTTTGTTTAAGCAGGCAGTGAACACACAAATCCGTGCCGCGTAAGTGTCAAATTATATGGGAATTGAATAAGTGAAATGAAAATTACAATTATGACAATTAGTACAATGATTCGTCTCCCATATAAATATTAAATTAAACGAGTTTACGTTTGTATGTGTATATGTATGTATCGATTGATAGGAAAAATTATTATTATCATCGTTTCCCGTTAATTATCTAATTAAAGTATTCTAATTTGCTTATTTTTTTTCGCTCTTATAAACGCGAATCTAGATCGAAAAATCTTAACAAATTTCTTATAACAAGATCCAAAAAATTGATCGTAAATTATCTTGTAATCGTAATGCTTAAATTTTTGATAAAGTTATTTTTACTACTATATAATAATTATTATTATCATCATCATCATCATCATCATCATCATCATTATTATTTTTATATTAATATTATCTATTTTTATTAATATATATATATAAGTAAGAGGCACTAAGGGTTTATCAATGTATTCAAACGATCTCATCCTAAATGCAGTTGAACAAACATTCTAAATCTCATTTACTTTTACGATATGTATATTCTAGGCACTAGAAGTTTCTCTTATTAATTTATATTCCTCATCTATTTATATATATATATTCTAATCGCGTAATATATTTTTTGTTCTCTAAAGAGTTCCTAGATATTTCGTGCAATTTATCTAATTTTTGAACATATTATCGCGAGGATCGATCAATCTTGCTGTTACTCTTTCAAAACGAGCTCCTCCGTGTGGCCTTTTGAACACAACAGGTACACTAAGATCTAAACTCATTGGTCTTTTTGGTGGATCCTTTTTAATACTAATAGGAGTTTTGTTAGAATTCGTATTAACGTTATTAATAGTTGTTTTTGTCGGTATACATTCAGTTTTAATTTCATTGATGCCAGTCACGGAAAAATTCGTTTGAAGGAGTCCCTTCTCTTCATTTAACGATGGATTATCGATCAAGGACATTCTTCGTGACGTATCTCTTACCGACTTCAAGAGGACCTCGTCCTCCTGGCCGTCTTCGTTATCTCCTTCTTCTTCTTCATCTTCTTCATCATCATCATCATCATCAGCAGCAGCAGCAGCATTGTTTCCTTTATCTCCATCTTGTTCTTCTTGATCATCCTCTTCCATCAAATCAGTTTTCTCGTCATTCTCATCTTCCTCTTCTTCGCATTCTTCTAATTCTGGTTCTTCTCTTAGATCCTCCATTGACTATATATCAAAAATTAGGAGAGAAAAAGAGAGAGAAGAAAAATATATATTAGAATAATATTCGATAAATCGCCGACTTTTTTTTATTTCTTCAAGAAAAGCTGTTTAAAAACTTTGTCAATTGTATTTATTGTTTTATTCGGCCTAGAATTATCTAACAATTGGTATTGTGTGTTTTTATGATCGATACTAGAAATTTATTTCTTCTCTTCCTTTTTAATTCTTGTCTAAGTTACATATTAAATACATTTTAATACGCAAAACATATATTGTATGTTGTTGGTAATTATAGTGTTAAATAGCTTTTCTTGTGTAAGTCAGCTTTTTATATTGCACGCTTTTTAATATGTATTTGGCATGGCAAAGTAGAAAAAAGAGAGAGAGAGATAGAAATAGATGTTCAATGATTCATATTTAAGAGAGTTAAAAATTCCTATTCATGTGATATTTATTTTAGAAAATTTCTGATTTTTGATAGTTATAGATTTGTTGGATTTATACTGTATTCAGAATGAGATTTGAAAGAAACATGCAAAAGCCAATTAGTAAGCCTTGCAAAAGCTTAGCATGCATTTCTTATTGAAAACAAAAAAGATATATCTTTACAAATGGGTTTGGTTTCGGAGGTTTATTGACGATGCCAGTATTTACCCCTAGCAGCTCCTTTTTCTCTGGTTCCTCGTCTGCTGTGAAATAATATTTCTATTAGAATTTATCTCGTTGGTATTAGATAAAGATAATATTAATCTTTTGCATTACAATTAAGCTTATACTTTGATAATGGTTAATTTTTTAACCGTCTACATTGAAAGATATAATCATTTGTCAGATCTCAAAAAAGTTGAAGAAATAATTATTCTTATACAAATGACGATCTCGTAATGTAAAAGATTGAAATAAATCACAAGACCAAGACATTACCTTTTATGTGAACCTTTTTATCATTCATCAATTCCTTGGGCTCGGTATTAGGGATTGGTTTGTATTCTTTAGCTGTAGCTTTAACATGAGTACCATTTGGCCTTTTCTCATCATCAGTAATTTTAAATCCAATAGTTTTAATACCAGTCGTTGTTACTAAGGAATCTGTGTACTGTTGAGGTTGCCATCTTTGTGATCCCGAAGGACTCGGTGATTTGCTAGCTGCAGCTGCTGCACTTCGTCGACGTCTTCTATCCTTTCTTGCACTTCGCCATACTTCATAAATACATCCTATCACGGCAGCGACGAATAGACAAACAAGAGCTATGAAAACGTAGGTTCCTGCACCTTGTTCTTCTTTAGTAGCGTCAGAGTATTGAGATTTGTAGAGAATCCTTTCTGGGGGATCTCCGTCCCATGCTCGATCACGTCCCTTAAAGAAAAATAAAAAGAAAGGAAGAAAACAAGAAGAAGAAGAAAATTATAGGAACAGTGTATCTTAAAAATGTAATTTTTATATAAATTATTTACTCACAACACTGTCATTTCTTTGAGACTCGATACCCCGAGGTTGTGCATGAAATACAGCACATTGTGCACTCCTAACACCACCTGGGCTAGTTGCTCTGACTGTTTCACTGCCTTGTTTTGTAAATAACATGTACTCTTCTAGTGGTTTCATTATAGGTCCACCATTAATCGAGATAACAACGTCTGCCAAAGAGATGAGATACAATATTTCTAAATTGTCAACGTTTATACTAAAATCATTGAGTTTTAGAATTATACTTACTGCTTAGGCAACCAGTGTATCCTTTATAAGCAGAAAAACGAAGATCTGTAGTATTCAGTCCACCAAGTTGAATCTCAGTCGAACCTGGATCATAGTCATCACCTTGATTGCCTGTATTGATTGCCGGGATTGGTATAAGGCTTACTTCTTGACGATCGATCTGTGATCATTTACAATAATAATAAGTAAACTCTAATTCATAGATTAATGAATTCAATTAATCTTTTCATTGACCCACCAAAAGCGTGGCTGTGCTATTTTCTCGTATATAATAAATGCTATGCCTAGCTCCATTCAAGAAGTTTCTATCGTTGAGACGTACACCATAAACCGAGCCTTCGACATCCTCTTCGAAGATCAGCTGTCCCTCCGATGTTAAGGCCACGAGTAGATAATAGCTTCTTCTGAAAAAAAGTTTTTCGAAAGACATCCCGGATTCCAGACGTCGACAATCTCTTCGCAATGATGCAATCTCTTCATCTCCGTTATCCGGAAAGAAAAGAGGTATCTCTACGTAGTGAGAAACATTAATAACAAGGGTCTTAGAGATTTTACTTGTTTTCTGTTTGCAAGAGCAACAATGCCGTTGTACGCTGCCGCAGTTCATTCGTTGAAAATGCTAGTTGTACTTTCACTTGCTTCACTTCTCCTTCTAGGTCGAATTCACGTTGAAGTACACTATCACCACTGAAATCGGCACCTTTCTCTATTGAGGGATAAAGATATTTCAACAAATGTTAAATAATTCTTACAATTTGTAGATTATTCATATTAATCATGGTGGTCTTACCATCTTCACAGTGTTCACCAAAATATGATGTTAAGTCACAATTGCAAGATGATTCTTGCCTTCCAAAGTCTTCTGTACATATACCCATGTTCTTGCAAGGCATAGCGTCACATTTCATTTGACAATTTGGAAGGACACCTTTGCTACCTTCGTGATTGGCTTCGTTGGCTAAGTTTGGTAAATCCACGTGATACTTGCCGATCATTAATCCTCGAAGACATCCTACGTATCCTTGAGTAAGATTACCTTCTTTTCCGACTCTTAGAAGATCGTCTGGATCGAAACCTCCCAAATTCATCTGTCAAAATAATGATTGTTAATCATTTTGGCAACAGCTAATAAATGAGTTATTTTTCAATGAAATCAAATTTACTTGAAAGTAATCTGTTGGTGGTGCGGGCGGTCTTTGAGGTGCTAACACTTCTTTTTCAGGATTAATCCAAGGTTTATTAGAATAAGAATCTAAGAGTATAGGAGTTGCATTCAATGTTTTGTTACATTCATTCACAATAAGTATCGTAGATTTATTTTCATGTATTATGGCTATTTGTATTGATATTCCAGTGTTAGCATCTGTTTAAAAAGAAGAAAATGTTTTTTTAAGTAAATAGTATACTGTAATATATAAAATATTAGGTTACTCCATAAGTTTTTTCCGCGCCACGCTATTTATGACTTCGAGCCAATTTTGGAAAGAGGGCATAATGAGGCTTCCTGAGGGATGTAAGAGGGTAATAGAGCAGAACGGTTCATATGTAACACAGTACATTAACCTTAAACTGAAGTTGCATAAAAAAAAAGGAAAGAACTTATGGGACCACCTAATACATGAAAATAAGAAAGGATACATACGTGGATGATGTACAGTAATATTTTTGATTTCATTACCAGCATTGAAGAGATACACGATATTGGTGCCATTCGAAATGTAAAGATGTATAAAATTGTTTAAATGATCGTTAGCATAAAGTATCAATGAATGAGTATCATAAGTTCTCAGATTAATTAATATGCTATGTTCGAACATGCTCTTCAATAATATTTTTTCTCCATCGTCGTCCGAGCCAAAATAATTTTTTTTTAGAAAAGCACCCGACGAAGTAAACGTCAAAGCTTTATTATTGATGTCTGTTCATAATATTAAGATTTATAAGTTACTGAAACTTTGAATTAATAACTATTAAAAATAACTTACTTGTTTCACAAAAAATTCCCTGATGAGCCCATTTATTTTTGCAAACACATTTAAATTTACTCCATTCTTCGACACATTTTGCACCGTTTTGACACTTGTTAGGCTGACAAGAAGGTTTGCAATCTTTTATAATCTCCGAAAGATGTACCGACATATAGCTATGGATATCTAAGATTTCACCATTTACAACAAGACCTCGGAAACATCCAATTAATCCTTCACTGACCGATGAAGTCTTCAAATGTTCTCTGTGATGAGAAAAAATCGTTCTATTATATCTTTAATAACAATTTCTATTATATTAATCGGTCACTTACGCTGTAGCACCACCGATAAACATAGAACCCTCGAACGGACCAAACTCTTCTTCAGACGTTAAATTCACCATTTGATAATCAGTGTTAATCATAAATCTAACATGATAATCATTATAATCGATCCAAATTTTTTGCCATTCTCCGTTATTCAATTTCCGCCCACTTTTTATTTCCAATTCTTGAACGGTTCCAGTGTTGAGAGTAAAGTTAAAAGTAAGCCGATATTCTGATGTCAGTGCTACCATGAACGATGGATAATTACTTCTGATTGGTGGTTGATAAAGAAGGATAGCTCTCTCTCCTGTTGTACGAAAGCTAAAAGCTATGTCCCCTTTTCGCCAACCTGGCACTTCAATATAGGATTGGGAGGTTGTAAAAGTAACGACATATTTCTGTGTGTCTGAACAAAATGAACAAAACAAACAAAATGTTCATCTTACAATCATATGATATTATCCTGTTACAATGTAAATTTTATTGACGTACTTGTCTCGACACATTCCAATGGACCTAAAGTTATACGGCCTTGAGCATCTTCTTCCAGATCTTTTTGTTGTAAAAAGACCATACCAGTGATACCTAATGAATCAGGTGTCTTGTAATAACCTTCATCGGATAGCCATTTTCCTGCATTTCCAGACGACACGTCACAGTTACAACTCATATTTTCGTCCACACAAGTTCTGTTTTCTGGAATATAATGAAAAGATCAAAATAATATAATATTTAGATATTCTTTACACTTGTTAATCATGAAAGTTATTAATAGATTAGGAAACTTACCGCTACATGGACAAGAGCCTCTATTAACATTTCCAATAAAATCAACTGTTGTTCCTTTTGAACCAAGAAACCAGGTTGCACTATGAAGTTCCAATGGTGCTTTGTAACAATCATACTTCACATATTGTTTACAATAAAGCGAATGAGAGATCAGTTCTTGAAGCATTTCTGCAGTAAATTGTCTATACGTAATACTATAGGAAAAATCAAATTGAGAGAAGGATCTAACGTCTACTTGAGATGGCAAATTATGTTCAACGATTGTCTTGGTTGAATCTTCGATAGATTGAAATTCACATTTTACTACTGCAGGTGGAAATCTTCCATTGCCATCAATGTCGATTCTGTAAACGCCATCTTGTGTGTTGTCTAACAATGCTAATTCTTCACAGGTTTTTCTATATTGTGCTGCAATGAAAATTAATTATCATAATTATAGTTAATTTACAGTTATTGTATTTTTGTTTTAGATAAGATAGATAGGACGTTTACCAAAATGGCAATTTTTTCCAATATAACCGGTGTCCGTACAATCACAAGTAATTCGATCTTCTTTTACAGAACATTTACCACCGTGTTCACAAGTATTTGGTCTTTTACATGGGTCAACGAATTGGCAATTATCCAATGCTACTTCACCGACAACTCTTTCAGTATTTATAATGTATCTAGGTTCAATGTTTTGTCCATTTACTTGAATATCTCGCATGCAACCTACTAAACCTGATTACAAAATAGATCATGATTTGTTAATCACTTAATTTAATTTAATATCTTTCTTTTATTTTTGTATCTATTGTTGAATAGGTTTACTTACCAGCATTACTTTTGCCACTTCCAATGATTACCTTGTTATCCAATTCAAAAATCATAGAAGAAAGTTGCTTGGTCTGTTTATTTCTATAATCGACTAGAATGTTTAACTCGCCTTTTGTATAATTTAGTTCAACAGCGTGCCAGGAAGTGTTGTAAGGTGGAAATTTGACAGCAGTTGATACTGTAATATTTTCTATTAAGGCAGGTATCAATTGAAAACGTATTTCGTCGTTAACCAAGCGAAGCTAAAAACAATAAGTAAAATTTAACAAATAATTATGTCACAATATACCTCATTTTTTTTTTTAAATCATTTATTGAAAACAATCTTATTACCTCCCAATAACCAAGTCCCTGTTCACTATGGACTTCTCCCGATGCAATAACTGCAATTGGTTTGGAACTTTTAAAATCAAAGTTTAACTTAAGAGAATCCGTTTTCTCAATAGGCCACCAAATATGACTTCCTGCGAAAGGGTACGTAATAGGAATGACCTCAACGTCGGCCTCGTAATACTCCGGTTCTAGCACGCCGATATAATGAACCATAGGATTAGATCGTTTCAATTCATAGATGATCGACTTGTCGTTAAAGAATACGTATTTCAATGATCCTAAAAAGCAGTTTTATTCGTTTACCTTAAATCACTTCTTTTCGATATTAAAAAAAAAAAAAAACCAAAAATAAAACTTCATTTTTAAATAAGAATTTGTAATTTTGATCAATTATTTATCATGATCAAAAAGCCAAAAAATGTTGAAACTCGTACGAACCTACAAAATTGTTATACGACACCAAACCCTTTTTCTTATGAAGCTCTGGTCCACCACCGATATATATTTCAGGATCTATAATCATATTATAATTTTCCCCAGGTATCTTGAGTACTTTAACTTCCTCGTCCAAACTAACAAATACCCATGAACTATTGTGGAAGATGGTTAAATTGTTCCAATGATCGGATGTAACGTAATCGCCAAGCTCCGTATGAATTTTGGAATCATGACCAAAGTCTAATTCAACGACAACCGAATCGTTCAAAATGGATGCTGCTATGTAATGCGGTGTACCATCTATCTCACCAGATGCATAAAATAATGCCGAGTCGTCGAATTTAGTCTGAAAAATTGATTAACATTTCAAATCACAGTTGGTAATAGTTTATTCGAAGTATTAATAATAGCAAGTTTAAGTCTCATCAATTCTGATGCACGGCTCTAGATATTGTTATTTGTATCATTAGTTTTTACCTTGAAAGCCAAGCTGATCCTGTTAACGGAGGAATGAACACGGTCTTTCCAATCGTAAACTCGAAAGGACACGTACGAAGATCCCCTCAACGTTAAAATCGTGGCCGCTGAAAAATGATTTTACATTTGGAAGTCCATTAGTTTTAACTATCAAAGGGATCAAGCAATCCTTTGATTGCTTTACAACAGACGACGTTTGACGGATCGGCTTTATCTCAGTTCTTAAAACGTCCCCATTTGCATTAGTCGTGTACATTGTAAAAAAAGAGAACTAACTTTTGGTCAGGAGATACGAAGCTATACTAATCTTAACTGATACATTTTAATGGTAATAATAATAATAATAATAATAATAATTTTCTTTTCAAAAATATATTTCTTTTGTTACATACTGTAGACGTCACAACGCTCGCCCTCGTATTTCGTTCCAAAACAGTCACATGTCAGACTGTTATAATGATTGACACATTGGTCGGCCATAAAGCAAAGGTTTTCCCTTGTCCTGCACCTGAACGATCATTGGATATTTAATTTATCTTGAAGTAATCAATTGAATCAATCAGTGACTCTCTATAAGGTGTATTATCGTTGAAAATTATTTATAAAATTTGAATATTAATTGATATGCCATGCTCAATGTTTAAATAATGTTCCATATTGTGTTTTTCTTTTTCCTTTTTTTTTTTCCCCAATAAATTTGTCTTATAGAGAGTTACTTAAAGGGTTAATGATGCAATAGGATTTATAATATTATAATTGATGTATGAATAAACAATATTTAAATGCAGATGACGACTTTAGTCGGTCAAAGAACAGGAAAGTGACGTACTTGTCGATGCAACCCTCCTTCACATTTTCATGCTTTGTTGCAATTAACGGTCGAATAGGTAACAAGTCACTTGCCGACTTGCCGGAACTGAGGACCATGTCTCTGATGCAACCGACAAAAGATTCTATGATATATTTTACTCCGTGTAGACGCTCCTCTGAACTTAATCCTAATCGAAGAGAAAATAGGATTAAGATTGGACGCGAGAATGGTAAAATGGAAAGGAAAAACTGTTTCCATTGTGTTTTACCTCCTATAAGAACAACGGATGCCAGTTCTTCCGAAACACCATAATTGACGACACGTTCGAGAACTTCCAAACTAGTCTCTGCTTGCTTTTCGTCGACCCTCGCGATTAGTTTAGCTCCGTGAACGTCTATTCTAACCAGAACACTGTGCCACTCGTCTCTGTTAAGTCCTTCACCGACGGTAATACTCGTTGATATTTTTCCAAACACGTGTACTACTTTCAATTGACCCTTCTCAACTATCACGTAAAGCGCGTAAGGTTCTAAACCCTCTGGACGATCTTTCACGCTGTGGTAAACGAGCAAACCGTGTGGTAATTTCGTTCGAAATTTGAAAGATATTTCACGGCATAATCTGTGAGATTATAATAAACATTTATTTTTATTCAATTAGTTGTTTCTCTCGTCGAAAAATAAAATTATTAATAAATAGGTATCTTAGGGAATTTGGACATTCAAAAGAAATAGAACTTCGTTTTGATATAACTTACGTTATAACGTTTATTTATTATTTACGTATAAACATTAATTTTTATTACTTACGTATAAACGTTAATAACGTTTGACAACTTATCAAAACGAAGTTCTATTTCTTTTGAATGTCCAAATTTCCTAAGATACCTATTTATTTATTTTTATTGTTTTATCATCTGTTGTTTTTTTCTTTTTTCATTTAGTTAACATTCCAGAGATTCCGTCATACCTCAATTGGAAGGTCTTTATCCCACTGCCATCTAGTTGAATGAACGTGTTACTTTGTGCAAACATGAACGTCTTCTCGTATCCTGATTCCATGAATGTCAATTCCTTTTAATCCGGGAAAAAAGAAAATTGGTCGTACGCGGGTAGTTTTAATAATCATCTCATTTTAATGCGAGGAAAGTTGTTGAGACGAGTCTGAGATTTGCCTCACCTTTCCTCGTTCTTCCTTTGGTACTGGTGGCCTTGTTGGTTCGGGTGGTGTGAACGTAGGTCTTGGAGTACTTGATGTAGTTATGGGTGGTGTACTACTCGTCGGAATACTCGTTGTTACAAATACGCCTCCTTTTGTTACCAGGTAAGGTGGTAGGGTGTCTAACAATCATTTCCATCTTATACCAGTGTTTTATCAATGTGTCCCTCTTATGATAGTAAACGTCTACATTTAATACTAATAATACCGATGCTTCATGTATATCTATATTTACCACAGTGGATCAAATGATCCGTCTTTAAAAGTCATATTTTTTACGATGAAAATATATATAACATTTATGCAATACAAATTTTAGATTCACAAGCTTAAGAAGAGTCATTTGACTCATCGTGATAGGTTTACTGTTAACTATATTATCATGATTCTATTTTTGTAATAGATTTACAATTGTCTTATTAATTGAAACTAATAATTCTTTTTTATTAACTAGAATTACACGCTAAACAGATGTGTTAGATTTTGTATTGTTGTTTAATACTAACAGTATAATAAACAAGGAATTTATTGTGATATATAATAAATAGTTTGTGAAATAAAATACTCACGATCAGGACCACCGATACAATAATGAAGACACTCAGCTTCAGAATTGAATCTATTCTCATTTCCTAAACAACTTCCATAGGGAAACATCTTGCATTTTCCCTCAGCTTTATGAAAAGACCACTTATATACATAATGCTTGCAAGGTCCTTGAACCTGCTTTTCTAGGCATCTCTCTGGTATTGGTTTCTTCGTTGTAGTGATTGCTACCGTCTCCTCGATCGATTCTGATTCCGAGGAGGCTGTTAGATTCGCTGGAACCTTTCCAAGGATGTTCAGCAAGACAAGGATCCCGAAGATCCTCTTCTCGCGTCTGGTCATCCTTCTTCATTCGCTAAAATCGATCCCATTTTTATAAGCTTTTTATTTTTTCTTATTGATAATATCGCAATAGTAGAGAACGATTTCTTTTTATTTGAATTTTTCTTTGTCAACTTTTAATATTAAATTGTTTAATCTATTGACATTTGTTATATTAAAATCTTCAGAGTTATTTTACATACGTACGTAAAATAGATAAAAGAAAAAAAGAAGAAAAAGAAATGAATGGTTAATTTTGTAAAATTCTTTCTTTTTCTCCTTTATTTTGAGGTTTAGAATCGATCTCACGTTTTCTTGCATGAAACGAAGCTTTTAAGATTCAGAACGCACGAACGCGCCCACGTATCTTTCCATAAAGCGCTTAAAATCTTCATCCTTCCGGTATACCTCGCAATGGTTAAAACCCACCTCGATATGCTATTGTAGATGCATTTTTATGATTGTGACAACTGCTTTTGGATTTACGACTTCCCTTTCGTTTATCAGGTACATAATATACAAGAATCACGTTCTTCATGAATTACGTAACTCTCGTTATATATCTATTGTTGTTTTAAACTCTCTTGAATGAAATCAACATTACAAACGATAAAGAGGGCCCCATAAGTCGTTAGGTGAATTTCAAATATCAATTCGTCTATATCTCGAAACTATTTGTTTCTCATATCGTCAAATTAAACGTCCAAAAATTGTTTACAAATCGAATAAATTAGCTTGGAAACACACAAATAATTGTGATTTTAAAAAATTACACGGGGAAAATGTTTAATTTAGTAGAAGCGAATTTTTGGGGTCGATGCTATGATTATAATTAACGACATTTTATAACACGAAAAATAATTATCATGTAAGGATATAATTAATTTTTTGTGTTCAGATTGTATAATATCTTTATATTATATTGAACTTGAATTATCGACGAATACTGTGATAGTAATTTTTCTTTTTTTTTCCACAAACGCGAAAACAACGATGTTAAATAGGAAAGCAATCATTGGTTAATATAAAATATGTTGTACGAATGGAATGAAATAGAAAAAAAATTTGATTCTTTCGTTCTCTCTGGATGAATAATCGCGCGTGGGACAAAGTCTCACATGATGAACGATTCTACGAGGTCAATTGAATTGGATCGTCGAAGTAGAGTTCTCTCTCTCTCTCTCGCACTCTCTTTTTTCTTTTTTTCTCTTTCTGACTCGTCTTATAGATATAAATTTCGGTTCTTCGTATGTACTTCCGACCTGGCATAATAATATCAATGACTCTTCCTGGAAGATGAATAGGATAACTCGACTCACAGATCCGGATGTGTACTCGTACGTGAAAATATTTAACATTTTCTTTTTTCTTTTTTTTTCGTCAAATTTCAAATAACAATTTATTTTACACAGTATACGTATAAAAGTGTTGGTAACGTAAAATTAGTGCAAATAATATATATAGACGCGAATGCAAGTATCACGCGAGAACCTTGAAAGATTTAATCTGTTAAAAAGGGAAAAGAAATGAAATAAAATGAGAAAAAGGCCTATATAAGACGATCATTCTTTGTGACCAAATATCATTCAATGTGTGTGTGTGTACATTAATATTTATAATAATATAAAAAAATTTTTAATATCACTTTTTTTTTCTTATTTTCTCGTGTATCAAGGAATGATTAAATTTATATATATGAAGAGTTCAGTAATGAAGATTATTTTTTTTTTTTTCATAGAAGCACATATTTGTTAAGTTATAAAAAGAAAAGATTTAGTTTCGCGTTAGGATTTCAGAGTGTCGATAGGTGTACCGTCGTCCATAATACTGTAGAAAATAACGGAAACGATCGTTCAAGCGTAATCAAGAGAACTACGAGAGTGATCTTCGACGTTTCTCTATCTAAGAAGATCAAATGAGGTTTGATACATTTTATTTGAATTATCAAACGCGTACAAATTTTTAAATCTCTGGGATAAGCTATCTCGTTCAAAATTTGTTCTATAATTGAGCTTTAATCGCGTGTGGCGAAATATTGTACAAGATAGGAAACTTATTTTAAAAATTCTTTATAAATATAATATATTAAAATATATTACACACATAAAAAATAAGTATTGTTTATAGCTACACACACACAGGAAAAAAAGAATATCTGAAGTAAATCTAAATCAATAAAATTGTACATTATAAAACATTTCAATTTCACGGACTACGAAAGGCCACTACCGTCAAAGTATTAGACAATAAAAGAGAGAAAGAAAGAAAAAAAGAAAGAAAGAAAGAGAAAGAGAGAGAGAGAGAGAGAGAGAGAGAGAGAGAGAAGAGGAAGAAAGAGAGCAAGTTCCAGCGGCAATTTCAATTAAATCACATTAAACTCAATCTAATTTCATCAGAGCGAAATCAACGTCGATGGTATATAAATTCAGAATGTTTCAACGAGTGAATTGTGGAAAAGGGGAAAAGGGAGAGGGAGTGGGAGAAGGAGAGGGAGAAGAATAAGAATAAGAGTAGTTAGAAAAAGAGATAATGAGAAATTGTGAAAAAATACAAATAAGATTAAGATTCAGATATTGATCAGGGAAGATCTTAAAACACTGCAAAACATAAAGTGTTGCGTCAAGGGCATACAGTTTGGTCAGAAGAGCTCGCTCGCTCACTCGGTGCACAAATCTGCGTACCTTCGTGCGCCGTGGTCCAGATGAGATCGCGGCTCGTTGTCGTTCAACACCAGAGCAAAGTCACAACAGCAGCTGCAGCAACAGTAGCAGCAACAGCAACAGCACCAGTAGTAATAGTAGTAGTATAGTAGCAGAGTAGCAGGATGTGACGTCAGAAGGCCCCCGACAAGCACCGACGTTCGACTCTGCCGGCTGCGAGTCAATTGTCTTTTTCTGTCACACCGACGTACACCATTACAGGAATCCTGTGCATCGATGATGGTGTGCACACGCGCACAATATACACAAATATATTTATGTTCTTATATTTGATATACCTTATATATCTTATATATATATATATGTTATCATCAAGGTTTAACGAAGTGTAGATGTATAGTGTTTTGAATATTATAAATAGAAAAAAAAATGTATGTCTGCTTAATAAAAAAAAAAGACACTGAACTTTAGAGATTAAGTTGCTGAAGAAGTCCCAATAAAGGGACGAAACATCCAACTTATTAAAACGAAGTTCTATTTCTTTTGAATGTCCAAATTCCCTAAGATACCTTTTTATTATGTTATGTATGTATATATGTATGCAGTGTATATATGTATAATTTGTTTCAGTATAATATATGTGTTGTGATCATTTATGTGGGAGTTTGGATTTTCATATTGTTCTAAAAACATAAGTGTATATATAAGTATATATATATATATATGTAGAGCGAGATTTTAGAAAATTGAAAGTATTATATACGTATGATCCCGTATGTATGGGTATACGCGCGCGCGCGCGCGCTCGCACGCACGCACACACAACGCGTAACACCTCCACCACTTCGAACGAAGCTTCTACCACTTGTATCTCCTCGTCTTCTCTTCCTCTTTCTCTTCTTCCTCCTCCACCACCACCTCCTCCAGCACCTCCTCTACTTCCAGCAGCAGCAGCAGCAAGTAGACACTAATTTATTAATACCACTCTCTGACCGCTACTACTCTCCACGGTTACTCATCACGGTTTATTGACTTTCATTGCGATCTCGTCTCGTACGACGCGAACCTTCCTTTCGTCCTTTTCCACCCCCATTCGTGTGTCACTATTTTTCTTTCTCTCACTCTCTCTCTCTTTCTTTCTCTTTCTCTTTATCTTTATCTTTATCTTTTTTTTCTTATTTTTCTACTTCTTATTTTATTTTTATATATTTTTATATCTTTCTTCTTTTATTTCATTATACCATTTCGTTTTCTTTCCAGTTGTCTCTTTATTAAATTTTTTAAATGAACATTACAACACGTTAATTTAATTGTTACTCATTTTGCTACATTATCAACAACCCCTTGTCTATTATTATATATTTATATCAAAGTTTTAATTACATTTTCTCCGGGCTTCTTGTGTGTGTTATTTTCTTCTCCTTTATACGGATAAGACCAGTGATTAGAATTCACTTCTTCGTCCCGTTTGTTCGATCTTTTTATTTTTTTTTTGTGTTTCTTATATGTATCAGGAAATCGGTCTGCAAGCAGATAAATGAAAAATCACCTTACTATTTATTTTATTCTTCTATTTTTTTTGTTGTTTCTTTTTTTCGTGACTTCTTTAAGCTTAATAATAATTAGTTAGTATAATTTTACGATCAATAGAAAATGCGGAATTAATTTTTTTCTTTTTTAAATCACCTAGGAACTTTTTTAGCTCCGCTCTAATAATAATAAAAAAAAAAAGAAAAAAAAAAAAAATAAGAAATTTACTAAGAAAGATTTCTCACCGAACAAATTATTTTGCAATCTAATTGCAATCGTTAATTAAGGTAAAATCTTAAAGAAAAAAAGAAAAAAAAAGAAACGGGAATATATATCTTATCAATGTGGGTTTATGAAGGATAGGATAAATTCTTTCACAGCCTTGCATCTATTATTTATATTACTCGTATCACGTGTGCCTGGTACCGCTTTTCTACGACGAGAAAGAGACAATAGTGCGTGGAACAACCTGTTACTTCTCGTTCGTTCGTTCGTTCGTTCGTTCGTTCGTTCGATCAAGAAATTTAGTCCTCGCGAATAAGAACGAGCAAAAGGCGAGTCATACCAACGAATGAAAAATACTTTCGTAATTATGACAGGCGTAACAATTGCAAAACGCGTTAGCCAAGTGTTTCTTTTTTTTTTTTTTTTTAAACAACACAACGAAAAAAAAAAATAAAATAAAAAAAGAACACACATGTACACACGCACGAACATAATATGGCACGGTTACAAAATTGTTCATATTTGTTATAATATTAAAAATTGTGATCATTAAGGGCCACATTGTATAAAAATTGCATTTTTTATACAATCGTAAAACTTTTAGGTCATTGTACAGAGAAACATATACTAAATAAGCAGAAAAAAAATCAAAGCGATCGGATGATTCTTCTTCGAGTTACAACTGCAGCCAATTTGAAAAATGTAGTTTTGAGAAAAACGCGTTCAAATCCTTTCTAATCCTTGAGCGGCTACTCTTTAGAAGGCTGTAACTCTAAAACTATTTGAAATATTTATTTGAAATGTTAAAGATATAGACTATCAAAATATGCAAAAAGAAAAAATCAGTTTTTTAAAAATTTCACACTAGGTGTGCCCCTTAATTTATGAAGTAACTTTTTGAGAAGCTCGTGTCCTAGTTCATTTTTACTCGTTAATGAGGAACCATTGTTTAAAATATTTAAACTCGTATTAGAGAATCCTTTTGTTTCGTTATTTTCTTCTTTCTTTTTTTTTTCTTTTTCTTTCTGTTATAGACAATTGTACGATTATAGTGATACGAATGTCGAGTTAAGAGAACTATAGATCTTTAACGAGCTTTAAACAAAAGGAACGCGTACGATGAAAATTGTTAAAAGACCGATTTGGAATATATATGCGATGCAGCTTTTTCTTACGTAATTTGTGTTCTTCGACCTTCATTAATGAAATTACGATCTTATTTTACATCACGAAGATTGCTGCTCGAGTAATTAAGATCCATCGCACACGTTGCGTAATCGATTTGACGATTCCTACGAGTATGTTCAACGAAAAAGTTAGATAAAGTTGTAAGTGATTGTTTTTTTCTTTTTTTTGGCTCTTGCTTTTTTTTCTCTGTTAATCATTTTTTTTTTATCAATGGGGCAAGAATATTGGCCAGGCTAGAGTCACACTTTTGTATGATTTTGTTTTTCGTTTATTTTCTTGAAGAAATTTCTCATGAGATCGTAGTTTCGAATATTTAAATGTGTTGCTTAAAAATGATGTTTAGAGATTCAACGTACGTCGTTTATTATCTACCAATGACACAACATATTTTTCTTTGAACACTAGCTTAGCCGCCTAGATCATCTCCCATTAGAATTTTATTTGTAAAGGACAAATAGACTAAAACAAATTTATATAACTGATGTGAGATAACTGCACTTGGTATTATGGTAGAATGAATCAGGGATGCAGTTGCAGAAATTAATAAAAATTCAGTTATGTCAGAAACAGCATATTTAAAGTGATGTTAAACTCGTCTTCGTGTAAGCGAGCAACATTTTGAACAACACATTTAAACAGTTTTACAATTTTTTATATAAATTTTGAATAAAGCTTTAAATGACATATTATGTTTATACATAACATTTTGCATAGAATCTGCTCACGACGTTTGTACGAAAAAACTTTAGACACTGTATATGTATATGTATATGTATATAATTCGAATGTAAAATAATTACTAATAATAATTTTATCTCTTTTTCTACGTATATGCATACGTACAAGCAGAAAACGTATACAGATTTATAATATTTGTATATGTATGTGTGTATATTTAGAATAAATAAGATAAAATTATTTGACGAGATATATTTAATGATAAAAATCATCAAAGATAAATTATTTACTGATGTCGTTTTATGATCTTATTTTTAGCTCGTAAAAGGCTAGTCGAATCGATAGGTGGAACGATCGAACGCAGGTGCGTTCTAATATATACATTTTACTTCTCGTTAAACATTACATATGTGCGCATGTAACTATATATAACATGCTTGCTCTTGTATGTGTTTAATAAGTCACATAGTATATGATACCCGTTTTTCATATTCGTACGTATGCAGGACGAGACGTTTTAAGCCAATTTTCTTTTCAGATTATAAAATTACAAGCTTAGATTGTTTAAATTACAAGCTTAAATACAAGCCTAAATACAAGCCTAAAAAGATCTAGAGAAATGAAGTAATTAATTTTTTTTAAAATCATCTCGGAAATTTTGGTCCAATCCTGTACTCGTTCAATGCAGGTTAATTAAATTTGTAAATTAAAGCAATGGTAAATACGAATAACGGATTTATTCTCATACAAATTATTAACATTTATTATCTTAAAGTATATTTTATCAATTGTTACTCGTTTTGCTCGTTCATTCAACTTATCTACGAGTAATCGGTGGTGGCTTTATATTCGTATGTGAGTTTTTCTTTTATTAATAATTTTGTTTGCTTTTATTTTTTTCGTTAGAATAAATGTCAATGATTTTTTGAATTTGTCACGAGGAGGAGTACTACGTTGAGTTAGATAAAATTCGATATAGAAAAAAAAAATAGAAAAAAACATTCATTGAGATAAAAAATAAAAGAACACGATAACGTTATAAATTCTGTCGTGATCTCTTCGAAAAGGTCAAAAGTTAAATCGTTTGACAAAGATGATCAAAGAGGTCAGTTGATACTATCATTGATACTATGGTTAGATCAATCAATGTTCTTCCAGGTCAATGAACTTGAAAAATTTGTTGTCAAAATTCAACATTTCTCATGAATAAAAAAAGAAAGAAAAGAAAACTGAATGGGGTTCGTATCTATGAAAAAAACCTTATGGTGTACACATTTATGCAATTAGGCAGATAAAATGCAGACATTCTTCATTCGTATTGGATACATTTAAGGCCAATTATATGCATTTAAAAGAAAAAGAAAAAGAAAAAGAAAAAAACAAATAGAATCGACATTTTTCTTGATAAAAAGAAAATGAAATAAAGAGAAAGTGAACGTATGCATTTATGTATTAATATGTATTAAATTATGTATTATTTTATGTATTTATGCATTTCAGATGCATTACGCATTAGTATTCGAGGTTAATATTAAAATATTATATATTTGTGAAAAATTGTAGAATTTTTTGAAAGAGAAAAAAAATGAAAGTATCTGCTAATGTGGTATGTATGTATGTATATATACATATATGTACATATACTTAGGTATATTCTCCGTTAGGAGGTTTGCTCTGGTTGCTTTCGTCACGGCCTAGGATACCAGGCCGCGTGCTCGGTGCCTGCCTCTCCTTTTGTTGCCGGAAGATCGATATATCGAGCTAAACCGGTGAGTGGGTCAACGTAATATCTACGTTTCTATATTACTTTGGTATACGATAGATGAGATATATATATATTTATAACCGATCTAATTATACTTTATATCTCTTGGATATATATATATTTTAATTTAATTAAATTTGATTTATTTTTTCGATTATTTTTATATTGCTTCAATTTGCAGTTTTGTTTCTCACATCTTTCAAGTTTTACACATCTCATTATCTTTTTATATTAAATTTATTTCTTTTTTTCACAGAGAGAGAGAGTGTGAGAGAGAGAGAGAGAGAGAGAGAGAAACTGAATAAACGATTATGTCGAATATATTTTTGTTTGGACGTAGGAGAGTATTTTTTTCTTGTGATAGAGAAAAAATTGTAACGTGACGGTACATGAGTAAGGATGCTGTGTATTTTATACAGGCAAAATACAGGTCAAGGTTCGACGTACCGAATAAACCTTGACCTAAATCAATTGTGAAAAAAGAGATGATATACTTGATAAAAATTAAGCTTTAATGGTTGTAATGTTAAAAAGTTCGATGAGAGGATAATCATAAGCGAAATAAATAATTATTGTACTTGTATAAAAACGAAACACGTTTCTGTGACAATATAATTATTAATTTATAATAATTTATTTTATTACACGTGAGGTGTTTATATATGAGTATTTTTATGGATATATTTTAAAAGTCATCGAAAAGATTATCTGATTCGTTGCATCGAGTATTACAGCAAAACTTGTCTTCTTCGGTCATTCATAACGGCACGTTCTTATGAATATGTATATGTATGCACATATGTGTTATTTTATTGATCACACAAAAAAGTGTAATGAGTCATGGTACGTAGTATTATTCGTAATCACAACCACTTGAAAATCTTCTCTCTCTTTTCTTTTTCTTTATGTTGATATTAAAATACGCGCGCGTGACTGCGCACGCGTACGTGTTTTTTACCCCTTTTGCTCTTTCTTTTTCCCTTTTTTGTTTATTACTTTTTCTTTTTATTGTTCCGAAAAAAAAGTATCGAGGAAGTTGGCCCGTGTAACATAAGAAACGTGTGGCTCGTGAAACGAATCGATTAATTAGACATTATGCTACGTGTGCATTAGTGACTCGTGTGCAACTGTGCACGTGACTAAATTTATTAATCACGCGCCTTTATTCGGAGACTCACTATTTTTCTTGGTAATATTTGTTCTTTCCTTATTTACGTATATCATCTCTTTCTCTCTCTCTTTCTCTTTCTCTTTCTCTCTCTCTCTCTCTCTCTATTTTTTTTCTTTTTTCTTTCTTTTCATTGATAAACGATTTATACATAATAATTTCTTCAACGTCATTTACTCACGTGAGATTAAAATATATATGATAGAAAACTTTATAGTTTATACGAATTTAAAAATTTCGGTGTTAATTAACGATAAATTAATTAGTAATATATATGTATAATGTTTTATTTTTTTTTTTTATATGAAGCTACATTAAATTAATAATTAAACAAAAAATTGGATATTTTTTAAACATGAATTTTAAGAATTATACTATTTTGGAATGAAATTTTTTAATGCAGAGTATTTTGATTCTCAATTTTTTTTCAAGTCAATATAATATAAATAATAAGTAAACATTGAAAAAATATGGTATGATTAATTGAAAAAAAAAAGAAGAAGAGAAAATAATTATTAAACATTTGTAGTGTGTGATAGAAAAGTAAAATATACATATACAATAAGTAAGAATATAGAAACGTTATCGGAATCTTATATATGATTATGTCGGTGGGTCTTATAGGTAAGATCTCGAATTTATGCAAGGTAAACATAGTCGGCTAGTTGAAACCAGATACGCGGCACGGCATACGCGAAGTATGACAATTAGCGTCTAAAGATTGGTATAATGCGAGCGAGAAAAACTAGACAACACTTATTCTTATATACTTTTCCATATACATATATATACTTATCACATACTTCTCATCTTCTCTACTATGCATCAACGAGAAAGGGAGAAGATGCATCAACAACCACCACCCACCACCCATCACCACTACCACCACCACGTGTGCCCTCGAGAAGTATAGAGCAAAGTGCTTTCCCCATTGTTGCGATTGTTTCAGAAAAATAAGACAAAAAATTGAGGGAAAAAGAGTGATTGAACAAATACTTTTTTTTTCTTCTATTTTTCTATTTTATTTATTTATATTTTCAGTTCCCTTGCGTTTGCAACGAATTGATAACGACGATATGAATAAAATATGTTGGTCGAAAATATTGTGATTTTTGTAAAATTTTGTAATTTTTACTTATTAAATTGTTTATAATGAAAGAGATTAAAATAATATTCAAGTATATATCATGTTAATTGTTGTCCAATATTAATCGTTGGTATTAATTAACGTTCGAAGTTTCTTTTTTCAATGAATAAAATAGTATAGCATATGATGTAAGTGAGATTTTTTATCAATCCTATTTTTTTGTTATATAAAAAAGAAAAAAAAACAAAAGGTAAGACAATAAATCGTGATCGATTATATGTGTAACATAATTACTCACAAAAAGACCGTAGGAGTAGTCAGCAAAGATGTATCATCATCATCATCATCATCCTCCCCTCTTAGAATTTTGCTCCTTCAAAACTCGAAGTCTCTCCCTTATTTTTTTTTTCTTAACGACTTTCTTTTAAATCCAACTTACGTACGTGTTCTGCTTTTTTCGATAATCAATATGGTCTTATAAGTCACGATAAAGATAATATAAACGGAGTGAAGAAAATAGAATTTATTGAACGTGGATGGAAGAAAAAGGAAGGGAAGAACAAAAAAAAAGGAAAAAAAAAAATGCAAAGGAGGGTTATGGAAGAAGTAGTTAATTGATTGAACTGTTGCAAAAAGTGATAACGAAATCAAAAAGTATCCCCCCTTTTTCCGAAAAAAAAAAAAATATTCTCTCGCTTGACCAGTCGCGTAAACGTACGACCTCGAAGACGCGCGAGGATTAACTGTCGCGTTTCTGTGCACTCCGAGAGTAGTTCTCCCCTCTTTTACTAACTCCACTTGTGGGAGGGAGAAACTAAGAGAGACAGTGACACTGATAAAATGAGAGAGAGAGAGAGAGAGAGAGAGAGAAGATGACATCAATGACGGAACACCGTGTTGCTAGCCCTCACCCCCTCCTCTTTTTTTTACCCACCCACTTCTTTCCCTTGCATGGATTCTAGTATCTAATAAAAAACGGGGAGGATTAGGAATACACACACAAATTTTATCGTAAATAATAATTCTTTGTAATTTAAAAAAATTGTCTAGACACGTGGTTGTGCTTGATTATATTTTTTACGAAACAAAAAAAATTGGAAAATTTATGTCTGTTTTTTTTTTTAAGACGGATGCGCTTAGTTTTGATATATTACAAAATTAGTAATATACGATAAGATATGAAAAGAAGTATCTTTTGGGTTACTTCTATATTTGGTTGATATCATTTTTTATGATTTAAAACAAAATTCGAGTTATTATGTGGACTTGTGTAGACGAAAAAAGTTCGTAGATTTTTGTCGAGGTATCAAATGTAATTATTTTATTTTTGATTCTCCTATCATTTAACCAATGGATTTGCGATCCTCTGAGTACGCGCATTCTCACTACAGGTCTCTCTCTCTTTCTCTCTCTTTTACTTATAGAAGAGAATGACAGTGACGGATCAATGAGTGGCACCTACCGCAGCATCCCTTCTTATCAATTGTTCATTTCATCATGCTCAATACGTAATCTAAATTCTATTATCTCATTCTCTTAAAAATGTTTTCGATAAAAAGAAAAACAAACAATTTGATATCTCATTAATATGTTCCTTTTTTTCTTTATTTTTTGTTTGTCCTAATCGAACGATTGAAATGAATATTACTTTTTAACGAGAGATGTGATGGTAGATTATTACGAAAAGGTGAAAAATGATCATAGTTGAAGGTATTTTTGAATGAATAACTCTTTTGGAATAAAAGTTCTCTTCGTGTCAAAGGGTCTCACGTATCGCTCGGTACTCGTGGGAGACGTTAGAAGTATAATAAATAAAACTGACAACGAGATAATAGACAAATTGACCCTAAACACATCCGACCGCTCCCCGTCTCTGTCGGAGAGTATCAGAAGGACCTGTTTTGTCGTTAGGGCGGAAGGGGCGCCTGATGTTTTCTTCCCTTCCTACAGGAGTGAAAACAATCCCAAATAGCATTTCGGAGAAAAGGAAGGGGAAAGAAAGATACACGTACCTATGACGCCATCTTGAAAACTACAAAATTATTTTTTTTTTTTTTATAAAAGAAACAATAAATTTTCTAATGAAATAGTTAAACCCTCGTCAAAAATGAAACACGCATGAGAAAAATGTATATATACATTTTGATTATTATTATTATTATTATTATTATTAGTATGATTTATGCGACTTTGATTAGCATATCTATTTATGTGTTTACATTGTTATTGATTTTAGACATATACAATTAATTTAATCAACATTTTTTTGGCAATAAAATATTAGGTATTAATAACAAATTAGATAATAATAGGCTATGCATATGGAATATATGTAAAATGATTATAATTACGATACAAATAATCTGATTATAATGAAAGAATTTATGGAATAAATCATTTTAATAATGAGAACTTGTAAAGGAAGGAAAACATATTGTATATAAAAGATAAAGACTTTTCAAAGAATGTTTATAAGCAAAGTGGTGAACGCTACGTGGTTTAGTCGATAATAAGGAAAATTGCATTGGGTTACCGACCTGGCAGTTGCAGTTACGATTGCATCTATCTCGTGATCAAGTATGCAGCAGTAAAAGAGACACGTTTCACGTGATGAGATACGATATAACTTGATGCATTTATATGTGTGTGTGTGTGTGTGCGTGTAAGTGTGGTCATTAACAGCCTTCGGCAAGAGACACGTTTATATATCCTCTGATATTCTTACATGATGTTGCTATGAGTTTCTTTTCCATGAATTCAGATGATAAAATATTTCTTTTATGTACATGTTATTGTACCATATCAATCACATGTTCAGAATATATTAATTTCTATCGATTTTTAATTAATAAGAAAATTTATTGTATTTTTTCTTTTGTGTTACCACTTATCTGTTCATATTTTTTTAGAATGAAGTAATTGTTAAATCTAATGATGATTTATCGAGTCAAAGTAAAATTAAACCGACAGGGATGTGATACCAAAGGTCAAGGTGTATTACTATAATATGTATGTCTCTATCATACTTGCATAAATTAATATATTTCGTATTAATATATATTTGATTTTTGTTAATATTTACAATAATAGCTTTATGTTTCTTATTTCTTAGGATGTGATTCGAGTAACATGTACTATGCAACTAAATATGCAGCTATTTAAAAGTAACAGTAAGCGGGAAATGTTAAATGAATATAAAAATCGAATACAATATAATACTTATATATAATGAATAAATATTTGTAATATTTAATTGAATATAGGCTACCTTTATATATTTCATTTTTTCATAATATTAACAAATATAGTTATGGTTTTTTTTTATAATTTATAATTTATTGAGTCAATGTAAATATTAAATTTTAAACGTAAATTAAAAAGGATATGAGAAAGGTATAAATAAATTAATTACAGTATTGTATTGCACTCATTTTTCAAGGATGAACGGACCAAGTAATTGTTGCTAATCACTTTGCACTCATTACTAACTGTAAAAATCACTTCCAATTATCGCTTTTAACGAATGCCTTAGAAACGAAACGCTATGTCGTTATTGAACTACGTTAATGATTGTTAAAATATTCGACCCATTTGTTACGTCATCTTTTATCACGTCTCATTTCTCTTTTCTTTCTCTTTATTTCTTTTTTCGAAAGATTTTTACGAAGAAATAAATTTTTCCTCACAATGTTCAAAAATATATATCTCTCTCGTAATTTTATGTATAATATAAGAATACATATATATTTTTGAAAAATTCGAACTTTGGATCGTAATGATTGTCTTTGAAACACACACACATTTATGTTAGTTACTCGCTAATTTCTTTTATTTATGTTGCTTCAATATATCCTAATTAGTTAAATTCACACCGAATATCATATATATATATATATATAGGCTTTACAAAACAGTACATAAGTATTTGCTTATCAATGATTAATTTTTATTAAAATTTATTAAATCGAAATGTTACATGATTTCGTTATTTACGAACAGTTCAAATTTCTTTATTGACCTTTTTAATTTGTACAATTTGTCTGTTGTTTTAATTATTTATTATGTTAGAACAATTTTATCTTATTACATTTGTATATTTCTGTTTTTTCCCTTTTTTTTTAAGTTACTAAGAAATAAGCAAGTTTAAAATTTATTAAAATTCTAGTAATATTGCTAAGCATCATATCGGTAATAGTAGTGCTTTACCTTTATCTTATCGACCGAGATATGATGGTAAGTTACCATCATATCTCGGTCAGTAAGTCATATTACCAACTGTCAGTGAGATAAAGGTAGAGTACTATTATTATCGATATGATGCTTAGCAATGTTACTAGAAATTCAATAAATTTTAAACTTGCTTATTTCCTAGTAACTTTTAATAGCAAGTAGTGTACACAAAATGAATGAGTAATTAAATTCTGTATACATTTAAAAACAAAAAACAATTAGAAATCTAATATAGATATTTTGTTTTAATTATTAATTAAAGAAGTTTACTCGTTAAGAATGATTCTCTTAGAACAGGTACAGGAAAAAGACTTACTAGATTATTAAATAAACCGATATCATATTGGAGCTAGAAAGACCGGAGAAAAACGGACAAACAAAAAGTCAGCAATTGATTGAAAACAAAAAATAATGGAAAACTTATATTATGGTAAACTTTATGTGATATGGTGTTCAGCCGGCCTGCCACTAGAGTGGCTTTTTCGAAAATTTTTTTCAAAGTAACTTACTTGCTCACCGTTTGAATTAAATAATCGTCTTCATTAAGGTAGTAGAAAATGAAGGAAATAGGAAGAAAAAAATGGAAAAGATGGTTAGTCAACGACACACGGTTGCATTAGCGAGCAACCTAACATCATCAACTTCCTTTGAAGGGATTTTGTAAACATATTTCTAAGAGGGAGCCCTTCTCTAGGTTCTTTCATTTTCTTACAGTTAATTATTAAGGTAGCGCGTGAATCGCGTGACCAACATCGTCCCACGAACCCGGAACTATTTAATAGCAACTATAACATTGACTTTTCTATTTGATCTCTACATTTATCAAGAACTTTCAACATTTTCTTGATTTGTGTCTACGTTTCATTTTACTATTAACTAAATTGTCTTTTTTAAAGAATTATGATTTTGGTTATATATTTTTTAGGAAGTTGTTATCTTCACTCCTACTTTTTTAGGTAATAATTATATAAAAAATATTATATATATAATTATATATTAAATATTAAGTATATTTTACCGAGTTCTATATATATACAGAATAGAAAATAGTAATGGAATATAATAGGTTGCAAATTTCTCATTCAATGAAAATATTCCATCCGTAGAACTTATGCTTAGTTAGAAAAAGCAAGATACTTTTGGTACGATCTAATATTTTTAAAATAGGTAAAAATTAATTCTAAATTTTTTTATATAAATTAAATTTATTCTTTACAGAGTATATACATACATAATTTTACAATTAGTCTTGAAAATCGATTTATAGCTTAGTATTATAGACTAGTAAGTAAACTTTTAAGTAGCATTCTTTCCGAATGCAAATCCTAGAAAATATTAGTATAAATATAAATATAACGCCATTTAAATATATTTATTTAATTATAACAAATAAGGTAATAATAGAAAGGGGATGGAAAAAGAAGAATAAAAAATTACTCGACATACATAAGTATAAGTATGTTGTATGCATAAAAACATACGCATATATATATAGATACGTGAAAGGTTTAAG